TAATAAAACCCTTGAAATAATACATTTTTAGATGGGTTTTGAGGAAAAAAAGGATCTAAATGCATGATACCCGGTACTCTAAACAGTTCTAAAGAGGTCTCTCAAGAACTATTCTATTTTTTGATGGGTTATAGTAAAGAAAAGTACCTAAATATATGATATAATATAATACCCGGTACTTCCAACAGTTATTAAGAGGTCTCTCATAAACTAATAGAGTTTTGGATGGTTTATAGCCTAGATAGGGAGCTAAATATAAGATACCCAGTACTCCCAATAGTTCTAAAGAACCCCCTCCCTACCTATACAACATGTGTTTATTAAAACCCATAAAATAAAATATAAACGCTATATAGAACCATATTTCAAAAATGTCAAAACCATATGGAGGAGAAATACAAATCGAAAGATTGTAAGCCAAAAACACAACAAATGTGACCGCTAAGGGGATGTGCAGTGAGGGATGAGTGCAGGGATGAGTGTTTTTTTTCATTCGCGTGTCCTTGCACACCCCCACACACCCCCCCATACCGTGAGCCACACACTGATAATGACGTTAATGAAGTTCCACAGTTGCTGCCGCAGAAGTTTTCATCAGCTTGCCACGTTGTGTTACAAAATGTGCCCATAAATGTGTCACGCCTCCAATCCAAGCTATTCTAACCCAGCTCTAACCACCACCGGGCCGGTCCGGTCCGGGCCCACCCCCGCACCAGCCGCATCCTTGATGTATCCTCCCCCTGTTTTGGAAAATAAGAGGCCAAGTTGAAGGAAATAGATGACCGGTATAGGTGATACCCTTATGTCCTTACAAGGAATCTTTATATCCTGCAAAAGTTTAAAGGAGGATATCCTGGATGATCAGAAAAATAGAAAGACCCTGTGGCAGGACATTTAGACACATCGGAACACGGATGGTCGAGCCCAGCAATCAAAGGGCCGTTGAAATGGCTACCGGTTACGCATAATACATCCGTAAGGTCCTTGGTGCTCTGGTCCTTGGTCCTCTAGTCCTCTGGTCCTCTGGTCCTCTGGTCCTTGGGCCTTATAGCTAGGCTACGTGCCGCGTAATGCGGCGGGCGCATGCGAGAATCCCTTCAGTAGTCGAGTCGTCCTTAAATAACATTGCGTTGTTCTTTATTGGTCGTTAAATCTCTTGCGGTTGTCGTGTCTTCGTTTTGGCGCCACACCCCCTCCCTGTCTCCCTGCCTCCCTGCCTTCCTCCTATCCTTGTATCCTTTCCGCGTTCCAGCCACTCCCACACAGCACACAGGATACAGGATCCAGAGCACACACGTCCGCGTTGGAGTTCGCGTTCGCCCCACCCTAGTGCTGTTTCGTGCACCCCCGCAGCTGCCACCTCTAGCCACCAGGGGGAGCCACGTTTGTGGATGTGAATCTTAAATGCGACCGGCACAGTGGAACAGGTGAATGAGTTTTTTAATTAAAAATTATATTATTTCTAGTAATTTAAGAGTTTATTTTTTAAGGGGATTTATTATATTTTAATATATATTTATAAAATATACATAAATATTTTTTATAGGTTTATTATGGTTTTCAACCACTGTCTATCATGTCCTGTTGTTGTTTTTATAGTCACTGTGGAAAATACGCGAAAAGCGGCCCAAAAACCATTCGATTTCATTCCAGAACAGACCAAAAATCCAAAAAAGCTTCCAGAAGGATGGGGACGTGAAGTTACCACCCCCCCACCACCCCACAAAGGAAAATGCAAAAGCAAAGACAGAAAAGGCAAAACATAAAAACACAACAAAAAAAAACCGATGAGGACACAGTGGCGCCGTTTTGTTGTTGTTTAATTTTCCATTTAGGGTTGAAGGAGAGAGCGAGAAAAAAAAAACGGTGGCAGGAAGCAGGGAGAAGGATGAAGGGGGGTTGGCCGAAGAAAGTGGGTGTCAGCCGGGAAGAGCGAATAAGAGAGCCCATCCCTGTATTTGTTTTTGTATTAACGGTAACGTTTCGTTTTCAGAAGAAGAAGAAGAAGTTCGTGACGTTTCATTTCGTTTCGCCTCTTTCGCTGCTCCGGGTGATAAGGAAAGCGCGAGAGAGAGTGGGAGAGTGGGAGGGAGGGTGAGGTGAAGTCACCCCACCAGACCATCCCCTCTCCCCCGTTTATCCACCCATTGGCATTCCACACGTTGTCTAGGCAAGTTTTTATTTTTATTACACGGTGAGAAAATTATAATAATTATAAAAAATAAAAAATATAAAAATTTAATAAAATTTTATATTAAATATAAAGTAGTTATATTATTTTATTAGTTTTTTTTTAATATTATTAATTTTTAGACATATTTTTCTCTCAGTGGCCTCTTCATTTCACTTTCTACACCCTCTCTTTCTTCGATACTTCACTTTGGCATTTAGTTTTGTGGTGTTTTGCGGCCGCCATCTGAATGCCAGACCAACCACCCACCCCTGGATACCCTTCTGGCAGCGGTGTCCTTCATCAGGATGCCAACAATATAAAGCCTATTTTCATTGTTTCCTCTCTGACACTCGAAACAGCTGACAGGCGTCGACGTCAAAGTCATCTTGTTATTGTTGCCTATTCTTATTCTTCTTCTTCTTATTCTTCTTCTTATTGTTGTAGTTGTTGTTGTTGGCTGACTTGGGGCCGTTAATTAAATTAAGTAAAAGTAGCAAAGTATGTTCGTACATTATTTAGTAGGGGTCTCATCTCTATAGTATATAGTATATATAGTATCTTCTTCAGTTATTTTTTTTTTTTTCACCTTTTCCTGCCCCCCACCCCCTTACCCATTCATGGTGAACGACTTTATCAGGCCTAGAAAGTGATAGGGAAAGGTAGAAAGAGAAAGGGCGATAGAGAAGGGGCGATATATGTATGTAGTACCAGAGGTACCCGCTAATTGTGGAGCGTATGTGTGCAAATATTTAGAAAGATAATATTTATGAAAATAATTTTCAGATGGGTTCTATAAGGTCATCACGTACCTAGTGTTATTCCACTAGAAAGCTAAAAAAAAATAAAAAATAAAAGTACATAATTTAATTAAAATTAACTACTTCCGGGAGAAAGGACCCTGAGAGAAAGTAATATCATTATCCTTTTTTTTATGAACTTTCCCGCTGTCCTTAGGCCTAAAACAAAAAGCGATTAGGGGGGGAATCGATTAAAAGGCTTTTGCACGTGACGGTTCTTCTCTTTTTTTTGGGAGGAGCCCTCTGCCGAGAGGTGGCTGTACGAAATGGCCATAATTGAGCCGTATAACAAGCCCAATGACCGATTAAGCCAACATGGCGAGTTCTCTTCTTTATAGAACTTTTTTAAATATATTTTCAACCCAAAAATCCAAAGATTAGATTGCGTTTTTTATGAAAATTCCATTTAAAAAGCCATCTATAACTCTGGGAAGTTAACATTTCCGGTTTGTATCTAGATATCTATGAAATATATATCTATGTTTAGATGCATCCATTAGTACTAACCATAATCATAATCTATTGATTTTTGGAAGGAGGGATGCCTTTGGAAGGTGGAGAAAGGGGAGGGGGGTCTGATTATCTTCCAAAGTGGAGCCCTGTTTTTTGGGGCTGCGAGTCTGCAGCTGGCATTGGAACACGTCAACGAATTTTTTCACGCTTATCGGTAATGTATATAGAACCACTTGGCACACATTTCGCCATATATATATATGTATATATAGTATATATGTGTACCTGTCTGTATCTACAATTTATCTGCCGGTACAACCTTATCTTATCTAACACTGTGTGCTGGCAACAACGGAAAGGCAAAGCCCCAACCGGCTTTTAGAGTTTGGGGTTTGAGGGGGGGTTCCGGGGGGTTCGGCGGATGAAGAACTTCAATTGAATTTCTTTTCAATTTTAGCCCTTAACCCCTACACTCTCTCTCTCTACGCTTAACCCTCCCGAGTTTCCTGCTTGATTTTCCTTCATAGCCTTATTACCTTTAACTACACTGAGAGAAATATAATCTTAGTTTTAATAAAAATTTTTAATAATATTTTTATATATTCCACACACTTTTCTCAGTGTTGAAAAGCGAGAATATTTTTCCATGGGTGGTATTTTTGGGGGGGTTCACACAGTACCTGCCACCTGCCACCAGGGGGGGTGGTTGTGGGTGGCTGGGGAGTGTGTGTGGGATGGTAATGATGAGCGACGGTGTCGTGTTTTCATTAAGCTTCACAAAATTTAAATATGTTATAATAATAATGTTCTCCCATAATAGAGGTTGTCTGAGGGGGGGAGGGGGAGGAAACTCAAGACAATCTCAGGGGGGATGGAGCAGGAGTGGGAGGACATTGTCTTAGACGCTGATCCTAATCACAGGGCCAGATTTTTGGCATACTTCCCGGATACTTCACCCACCCTTAACCCTCCTGTGACCTTTTTTTGAATGTTATCTATGAGATATGTATCTTTGGGAAGATCTTTAAGATGGGAACTTACCAAATGCAGTACGGTGTTGACCACCTCCCGGTTGGTCACTTGGCCCACTTCGATGAGACCGATGAGGACGGCGAACTTCAGGTTGTCGGCGGTTGTCATTCTGACGATTTCGTCCGGCCGTTTTATCTCACTGTACGGCGGACGCATGATGTCCGCCATTTTGTTAAAGTACCGTTAATAATTTAATTTATTTATTTATTATTATTATGTTTGGTATTTTTTAGTTTTTATTTTTTTGTTGGTTTTTTTTTTATTTTTTTGATTTATTTAGTTAATTTTATTTTTTTTTTTGTTTTGTCAAAAATCGAGTTACAGAATTAATGGATGGAATGCACACGAAAATACACACACACAGATATACACAAATACATAATAAATTTACATATATATATATATATATGTATAATAGATATATATGGAGATGGTATAATGCTATATATAATATATATAAACAATTAGATATTGCCAGGCAATTGGAGGGGAGGAGAAAAAATTGGTTGAATTTTCTTTTTTATTTTTTTTATTAAATTTTTAAATTTTTTATTAAAATTTTAAATTTATTTTGGCTGGATTTTTTTGTATTTTTGATTTAAGACGCATCTCTTGCATTGCACTTTCTTGTTAATTTTTTTTTTAATCGTTTGCTGGAGTTTTTCTTGTTGTTGTTGTTAATGTTGGATAGCAGCTATAAGTGCTTTTGTTGTTGTTGGTGTTGTTGGTGTTTCGGCCTTTTTTGTCGCTCATGTTGAGCAACTTTTCATCAAACTTTTCATTATTTTCGCAAGATTTTCATAAAATATTTTTTCTTGAATTTTTTTTTAAATTGCACACTTTTGTTGTTGTTTTTTTTTTTTTTGTTTTTTATTTTGAGGTAATGGTGGTAGTGGTGGTGGTAGTGGTGACATTACATAAAAAAAGAGAGAGAAAGAGAAAAAGGTACATGAGTAACGAATGCAATTTTGGAATCTACAGGATGCGTTTCAAAAACGCACTTTTAAAAATAATATTTAAAAAATAATATTAAAAAATTTAAATAAAAATACTTATTACATAATCCATCTAAAAAAGCAAAACTTTGTTTGATCATCCATGGGTTAAGGTTGGGGTTGGTTGGGGGGAGTTAAAGGTTAAAGGTAGGTAGGGGGGGTTGCATGGGGCATACACGTGCTTGATGGAGCGAATTTTCGTTCCATTATTCATTCGCTTCTTGGAGCCAAAGTGGAAAATTGTCTGGGGAATTTATGTGCATTTATAATTTTCATTTTATTTCTATCTTTTTTTTTCTTCTTCTTTCGTTTTCGTTTTCGTTTTTTTTCTTCATTATTTGTAGATATATTTATACATGTTTCAAGACCCTGATTTTTATAATAACTTGGCTAATTCTTGACCAGTACTACCGACCACCGACCCGTCACGCACCGGCAATGAGACACGAAGAGGGCATTAACCCTCCGATGGGGTCGGAAAAGCCATGGAAAAACTGTCGAAGCCAACTCTATACATTGAGTTAACACATTTTGTTGTGAGAAAGAGAGAGAGAGAGATAGATATAGAATATGTGTTGACACACCTGAAGAAGGTGTGCTACTGGCGGCGGCAATGGAAACTCTTATGAAAGACGTCTTGTTACCAGGCTTTCATTTTGACAACTGTGTTTGTTCTGCGACGGGTTCTGGTTTTCAAAAAAAAACTATTAAAAGCCAATAAAAAATGGATGGAGTATCTGTTTCTTATAGATCTGTTATGCGATATCTATACGATGTTATATCATATGACTTTTGTTATTTGTTTAAGAAAACGAACTCAGAAACCATTAAAAAGCAAGCTTTGATGTCTTAAGAAGTCTTTAGTAGAGTTAGAGTATCTGTTTCTTATAGATATGGTATACGATATATTCTATACGATGTTATATCGTATATTTAACCCTAAAAAGTCCCTAAAAAGCAAGCCTTCCTGTCTCAAGTAGGCTTTAAAGATAGATTAAAGATAGAGTAGATCTATTTCTTATAGATATGGTATGCGATGTATCTTATACGATGTTATATCGTATGAAAACTGCTCAAAATCCTTAAAAAGCAAGCCTTTGTGCCTTAAGTAGTCTTAGAAGTAGATATAGCCTCGGTTTCCTATAGATATGGTATACGATATGTACCATACGATAATATATCGTATATATAACTTTAAAAAGTCCCCAAAATCCAAGCCCTTCTATTTTAATTAGTCTTTATAATAGATATAGTATCTTTTTCATAAAGATCTTTTATACGATATATTCTATACGACGATATATCGTCTACATAACTTTTAAAAATCCATAAGAATCAAGCCTTCCTGTCTTAGATAGTCTTTAGAATAGATATAGCCTGTTTATTTTATAGATCTTTTATACGATATATCCCATACGATATTATATCCCATAACTCTACCATTTTCCTCTAAAAACTCTACAGATTTTATTAAAAACCGGCTAAAATATGTAACTAGGCCTTGAACTAAAGCCAAAAACTCACTAAAAAATTAAACACCAATTACATAATAACTCTACACTTAAAAAATTATTAAAAAAAAGGTCATAAATAATCTCTGAAAAATTCCACAAGTATCTTCCATCCTATAAGTCACTACTTTTTATAAAGAACTAAGCTAAAAAAGGAAAGTCTTGATAAAAAAAGCGACAAAAACAAAACAACAAAAACAACACACATTGAAGATAAGAAAAAAAAGAGAAAAAAAAAATTAAAACACTAAGGCCGGTTCTACATTTTTTTTACTGGTTTTTTTTTTGTTTTTGAGGCTTTGAACTAATTACCATTTTTATTTGCACATTTATTACTTTTTGGGCAGAACAGGTGACGAGTGTGTCTCCAGCAGAGTCTCTAGATTGCGGATTATTGTAGCTTACGGATACTTTAGCTTCGAATGCGGCCGGCCACTCTGCTAATTGCACGTCAACAGAAATTCCATTTTCGAGAGCCGAGCCAGGGTCTCAATTGCGTTTAATATGCTTTAGCTTTTTGGCTTGGCTTTCAACTGCTACCACTTTTTGTTGTTTTCATTTTTATAGCTCCCCCTTAACCCCCCACCTTAACTAAGTCTCTTCCAAACGGAAAGAGAAAGAGAGGCAGAGCGCGAGAGGCGGCTAGTTGTTCTCTCAGTTTTGGTAATGTTGTTACGAAATAAAGATGCAATCCATGAGATCCATCTGAATGTGGAGATTTACTGATGAGATATTATAATTCTAAAATAATATAATCTGATTTTTAAGATACTTTTTTTTTTTTTTTTTTTAGAAAAATATCTCATAGATATCATTCTAGTTTCTAGCCAAGAATAGGGAGTTTACGTTTCGGTTTTGCCAACTGGAAGCTCTCTGCCTTTGTTGTTGTTGGTATTGGCGTTTTTTTTTTTTGAGGATGGCCAAAAGTGTCAGGAGCACGAGGGGGGGGGTGAGGTATGAGAGAAAAACCAAATTCGGTGGTTGATTTTGAAAGGTGACGGAGCCGGTAAAGGGGGGTGGCGGTGAAACCCGTTTCGGGTGATGTTTTTGTTGCTTTTGTTGCAATTGCAGCAGGCGGCCATCTAATTATGAATTGCAGGCACGCCGAGACAAGTTTTTCCTTTGTTTTCCTGCCGCTCTCTCTCTCTCTCTCTCGCGGATGCCAGGTGGGCTCTCTCACTCTCCCACTCTCGCACTTTCTCTCTCGCTGGGCACCTTTGAGTGGGAAAAATCAATGAAAGTCGGCCCACAGGAGAGAGATAGAGAGTGAGCCATGGCTCTCGCAAAAGAGAACCATTTCCCTCGTTCTGTAGCACTTCCTTACCCCAAAAAAAAAATAAAAAAAAAATAAAAGTGGACACACGTCGTCAGTTTGTTAACTTATTGGGTTCTTACCAACCACACTAACACAAACCTATACACTCTCTCTCTCTCTCTTCTCTTAGCCGCTCTTGCTTTGCTCTCTCTCACTCTCTGAGCCAACATCAACGTTGCGGCTTTTTCTTCTTCTTCTTGCCAACGTACTGTGTTTTATCGTATTATTTTGCACCGCTTTTTTTTTTTTTGTCATTCCAGCAAGCACACAGCGACACCAAAATGCTAATTGGCCCAACTAACTACTAAAAAAAAAAAGCAAAACACACATTTAGAAAAAAAATAATAAAAAAAAAAACGAAACTAAAGCAAACAAAATGGTTAAGAATCTAAAAGATACATTAACGTAAGACTCCATATATTTACGTTGTTTTTCTTGTTGCTCTTTGCTGACCGTTCTCCGTTGACTATTTATCGTAATTCTGATTGGGATTTTTGTATTTTTTTTTTGGTTAAGCATTGCACACACATCCTTGCTCGTGTTAATCCTTGTTTATGTTTTACTTTTGTTCTTGTTACACCGTTACTCGAACTATTGTTGTTGTTGTTGTTGTTGTTGTTTAGCACACACACACGTCAAAAAAATTCCAAAAAAAAATAAAGGAAAATAACATAAAGAAGAAGAAGAAGGTGAGGACGCGGCGGTCGGCGACGGAACGGGACGAGTGGCGGTGGCGGTGGCGGTGGCGTTGGCGTTGGCGGAAGGAGCAGCGGATAGTTAATTCATAAATGACAGAAAACAAAACATAACTAACGTTCACGTAACAAGAAGAAGCACAACCATTATTCACGTTTTACGTTCACGTTCCGTTCCGCTGGCTAATTGGAATTGTCTCCCGATCCTTGCCGCTCCGCAATTGTCCGCTTATTGGAGTCACCTTAACAGTTCCTTTCTTCTTTCGTTCCTTTCGTTCGTTCGTGGTTTTTTTCGAACGATATTTTCGAGGAATATTGTAAATCCAATTCAGCGACTAGCGCTCTGTGTGCGTTCACGTCGGCGATTCGAAACGAAAAAAAAACTATAAACTTGTTCCAACTGTTTATAACGCGGAACCGCTCGTCTGATTGGACTCTCTCTCCTCTCGCTAGATATGCGCAGCGAGAGGATTTCTTCCCTCTCAGAGCCTGCGTCCGATAGTATTTCAGAATTTGGCAACTCCAAAAATATTTCAAAGATATTTTACGATAAATTCTACAATTTACTAAGCATTTTTTATTAATTTCATTGAAAAACATTGAATAAATTAAAATAAACCTCAAAACTCTTGAAGAATCTAACTGAATATCTGTCAGATACATTTTCTTATTGGAGTTGTCATTTGAAATAATATAAGCCGGTTGTTTATAGCGGGCTTTCCTAACCCTAAAGACTACTTTGCTCTTTTAAATGCTCTTAATAAAAGGAAATCATAGAATTATAGAATTATATCTAAGGATAATATTACTTGCATCCCAAAAACTGATTTACAAAATCCTTGTTTATAAGTTTGGAGAAATGGCGTGGAATTTGTAAACGGGAACATGGCCCTGCTGGTCAGAGTCCTGGCCAGAGAAAGGTCTCCAATCTCATTTTCCATTTGTCTCTCAAGAGAAAGGTGCTTCCAATCAGCTGTTCAAAAGGGAAATTTTAAGAGAGCCTGGCTGAGGCGCGCGTAGCAAAGTTTTTCAAATTCTGAAACTGTTCGAAATTGGAAATAAAAGCATCACAAAAGCTAAAGAAGGATTTACTTTAACTTTAACAAACCAAAATATAAAGAAAGCCTTTAAAAATGCTTAAGAAATCTAATTTCAGAAAAAAATGTTGTTTTTAGGTAATACATGTTTAATTGTAAAAGTCTTATAAAAGAAACAGTGCTTAAACTTAAAATAAACGTTTTAATATTGTTTTTTCCTTGCTTATGCTAAGCAGACAACAATTTATTACATTATTTTCCATTAAAATCAAAATTTTATTTATTTCGATAAAAATTTTCAATTTTGTCTGGCAGCACCGGGTCATGGCGCGTAACGCTGGCGCTGCCAGACATAAAAGCAAAACTATCGATATCTCGATAAAAACAAATATTTATTTCGATAAGAGTCTGGCAACTCTAAGTGAAACTATTGAATAGAAATACCGATAGGTCCATCCATAGAAAGCAAAATAATCGAGGCATCGATGTTTCGCCACCTCTAGTTACGTGTTTTCGGCTTCTCTTCACTTCCTTTTCGTTTCCTTCCTCCTTCATTTTGTTGTTGTTGTTGCTGTTGCCATTCGGCTGCCGTTAGTGTGTGATTAAACAATAAACAAATCACAAATCGCGCCAGCAACAACAATCGTCTATAAACGCTAGTAAAAAAATCAAAGCCAGGCCATCACTGCCTCCGCCAACCGACACCGACACCTCCACCGCCATCCCGTTCCCCATTCCCCTATTGACGTGCCGCGCGCGGTGTCTTATATTGCGGAGTACGTTTTCGCTGCATTTGCTGACTGGCTGGCCGCCTAATCGGTTCCTTTTTTCCCCCCGGGCTGGAGTACTCTAGCTGGCGCTACCGAACAACCCAAACAAGAGGCCGTGAAAAGTGCTTACCAAGAACAAACAATTCCCAAAAAAAAAGAAACAAAAAAGATCGAAACGGAACGCAATACAAGTGAAAAAAAAAACGCGTGTGGAGCAGCGCCCGCGACTCTGTTCATTTTTTTTTTGTGGTTAAAACAGTTAACGGCAGAAACAAAACAACAATAACAACAATTGCTGCAAAATGGTAAGTTTTCTTAAAAAAAATAAAAAAAAAAATTGTGCGCTTCTGTTCTTGCCTTGGCTGCTGCTAGATATTTGTTTTAAATGGTTGTTATTGTTTTTGTTTCGCATGACCAAATGCAATTTCTTTGTTGCTGTGTTGCTTTTTTTGTTGTTGTTATTGTTGTTTTTTTTTGTTTTTGCTACGCACATGCACACACATGCACAAACAAAAACAAAGCGCCTGCCGAGGCAAGCAGCCGAGCAAGAAGAAGAAGCATTTACATTCTCATTCAATAATTTTTTGTTTTTATCTTGAAGACTCCGTCTAACCTCCACCCCCCCTTATCTTTTAGGGGGGGCATTCTAGAATCTGTGACAAGATTTTCGTCATTTGTCGTAAAGGGCGCCCACATTTTGGATTCGCATATTCGCGTGGCCTGGAGAACCATGTGTTTCCTCTTCCACTCGCCGCTTCTGACCCCCTCTCGCTCTAACCCACTGCCCAAGTCTCGTACACGCGCTCACTCATCGAATTTTTTTTTTTTTTTTTTTTTTTTGTATTTTTATTATTATTTGTTGTTGTTGTTGCTCTCTTTCCACACACACACGAGTTTGGGGGGGGGAGGAAAAAAAGATTCCGAGTCGAGAGAAAAAAAGTTGCGCTAGGTTAGGGTTAAGGCCATGCGATTTAGTTGGAGGGTTAAAGATGGTCAAAAAAAAGAAACATGGTGTTTATCAACAGTTATCTGTGGAAATACAAGAGTTACCGGATCAAGTGGAAGGTATTTCTTTTATAAACATACCGTCTGTGGTTATTGTTGATTTGAATCCGAATCCAGAGTCAGTCTAATAAACAAAAAGGTGTCTTAATCCCACGGTTTCTTTTTGTTTACAGTTATTCTGAAAAAAAAACCCCAAACGGTACTTGCCAAAACCATAGTATTCTTATCACTCATTGCATAAAATTCATGTCCTGTCCTGGCACTTGTTGCTTAGCGAGTGCATCAACCCCGACCTGCCCTTAGCTGGGACAGCCACCTCGTCATCCTCCTTGATGGGTGTTCACTGTGATTGCAGTACAAGTGCATTCCGGCAAACCGAACTCGAATCCGTGCTGCAGCCAGCCACTCCCACCGACAGCGCTGCTCCTGCTCTGCTGCAGTTTGGGGATTTCTGATTGGAACGGGGGTATTGGGGCTCTGGCCAAGCAGGCTCTTATTTATCGGCACTTCTGCTTTGGTCACTGCATTCGCAGTGCGACGCATGCGCCTGGCCAGTTGGGTTCTTGGCCTGGTCATCTGCAAAGTATCCTTTCGTGTGCTATCTATCTCTTTCAGTTGTTGTAGGTTGTCTCTATCGGACAAGTACACTGGGAAATATTATTTAAATAAAGTCTATTTTAAAGCTTGAAATTAATTTTAAATAATTTTAATTAAATTTTTATTTTAAATATATTTTTTCCAGTGTATCTATCTTCAAAATAACATTTTTATTTCCAGTCTTTGCTAATTTCTTCCCCTCTCCCTCTCTCCCACTAGCTTGTGTTTTGTTTCCTTTTGTTTTTATTTTTATATTCGCCGTTTTCTGGCAACCCTTTTCTGAAACGGTTAATGGAGCCATCCTTTTTTTTTTTTCTCTCCCTGCCTGGTTTACCGTTTGTTTTGCAATTTCATGCCATTTTTTTCATGCCACAACAAGTTGAAAGGACATGACGCTTCTAAGCGTGCGAGTGGGAGGGTGTGTGGGTGGAAAAACACATGTTTTTGTTCAGAGATTTTCAGCATTTCCCTTGTTGCAAGGTCATTCGTTTTGATTTTATTTTGTGTGTCAACAAAAATGTTGCAATCCATAGATTTTTTGTGGGGGTGATGTGTGGCAGGGGGTAGCTTTATTCTTGTTGTTGTTTTTGGGGATTTAAGGACTAATTGGAGAGGATTAGATTCTAGAAGGGATTAGATATTAATTAAGGAAAGAGATGGCAATAGATTTTTGATTAAAAATTAAATTAATTAATTCAATTTTATTATAATTTCTTATTCTTATTCTTAAAAATTATTACAAAATATTTTAAATATTTTCATTATTTTGAGGCTTCACTGTCTCCATTGCATTATTGAAGTCTACATTTTGGGGCCTCATCCTTGTAGGTTGGTATATGGACACATATAGCCACCGAACGAACCAACCCGGACCCGGCGACAACACCTCTTCATTCACCTCCTCCTCCCTTCCCCCACCCCGCCTCCCCCTCTCTTCCATCTCAATCACATCTCAGTCTGTCTCGCTCTAATTGCTGTACATGCGCCACAGATTGCCGTCTCCACCCCCCCCACTGTCCCCGGTTTTCATCTTTCCAACTGAAGCAATCCCTTTGTTTGAAAACAAGGGGGGTGGGGTGGTGATGGGGTTGGAGTAGGGGTGGTGGGTGGTGGGATGATGGGATCACATGCACATTTCGCATAAAGGAGGAAACTTGGTATCTCTGCATGCCAAACATTTCAAAGGGCCCGAGCTGGGGGTGGTGTGGGCGGGGGGTGGGCATACCAACCCCCTGTTGGCCCAAAGTGGAGCACAGTGGTTCCACAATGAAGGAAAAGTTTCAAGGATGTATTCCAAGGAGGAATTAATGACCTTTGAACCACTGTACCGCCAAAGGATATCAAAAGGGGTGACAAAGGGGTTGGCCTCGCGTTTGTTTATCGGCCTGTTCCCTGTTCTGTTCCTTCGGCACCGACTCCTCCACCTCCTCCTCCTCCTCTTCCTCCACCTCTGCCACCTCACACACACACGCCAGTAGTCTAATACCCCGGAGCCCCGGAGAGATGTTGGCCAGAAACAGGACTGGCAACCGAAACCGAAACCCACCCCAAAGTCCAACGTACTTAACCCCCGTCTACCGTCTACCTCGTCTTCTCCTCTTAACCCGCTGCCCGGGTGGTGGCCGCCGAAAAACTGCAGCCCGCTTTTGGATATATTCGCAGGATATGGACATGGATGTGGCTGTGATGATGGTGGTGGTGGTAGTGGGGGGACGGGTACACGACAGTGACGACGGCGACGACTGTGTGTGACTCCGGGGTTTTCAAACTCCGACTACTCCGGGCTTGTAGTTGGCCTCCACACGAGCATCGAATCAGTCGCATTTCAGTGCCGCCCAGTGTTTAGTACTCAGTAGTATCCTTCACATTATCCTGCACATCCTGGCCAAGAACCTTGTCGCTCCGCCGCTGAAAAGCATCTGACCACCTCGAGTGAGTGTCCTGCCACCCCATACTTTCCACTTTCCACCATTTTTCCGGCACTTTTTCTCCATTTTCCCTTTCTTTTTTTTTTTTTTTCATCCACGCGGTGTGTGCACATTTTTTTCCTCGTTCTTTTTGTGCCGTTTTTTCTAAACAGACCTTCTCCTCGGTCTTTTGTCTTCTGTCTCTTTTTTATTCCGGCCAGCAGTTGGATCTCTCGCTCGCCCTTCCACTTCCAGCCCGCAAAAGTGTGCTACAAAAATAAAAGTGCCGTTTTTATTTTTTTTTCTGTGACATTTATTTCTTTTCTGTTTTGTTTTCGTTTCGTATTCGTTATGGCCAGTATCTGTGTGTTGGTGTTAGTGTGTGTTTGTGTTTGTTTTTTTTTTTTGGGTGATTCCCCGCATTTTTTTTAATATTAATTGAAAGTTTTTCCAATCGAGAGAACTATATGGAACTATGGAAAATATCGATTTTCATTCGCGTTCTCGTTGGTAACATTGTTTCTTAAGGCACTGCAAGAAATTGGGAAAGATTATTTTATATATTATTATTTAAAATTAATATTTATTAATTATATTTAATTTTTATTTCTATTTTTTAGACATCAAAGAAACGCAAAACCTTTTTAGACGCCGACGACGAGGATGATAATTTTGATGAGGACGATTCTGGCTCCGATTTTGATGATGACGAGGATCCAGACCAAATAGAAGTGCCAGGTGAGTGACAAGGAGGGCCAGGGACTAAGCCTTTATATTAAGTTTAAATACTGATTAGGCTTAATCAAGGCAATTATCTTAAGAACCTTTGATTTTGGAGGAAAATTAATTAAAAGACAACCTGCATTAGTCCCTGAAATATTAATGAAATCACCTTTTGGGGTTGATGGATCTGTTCGATATCGATATATATATAATATATATACTACCTCGCTATATACCAAAAGTCCAGTGCTATGTGCATGTGGCATGTGGCATTATAGTGCGTCACGCATGTCTATAATGATTCCCAGGGATATATATAAGATATAAGAGGGGGATATAAGAGGACATCTTGCGTCATAATGTGGAGCTATCCGGACCTGAATAATTCAACTCCATTAGCCATCAAAGGTGGCGCTATTTCTGGAAAAGATTTGTGGCATCTTCTTAAGGATTGCTAGCATTACATGGGGCTGTACACAAGGATATTATGTGGTGCAGTTAAGCACATACTAACTATATAATTATGATTATGTATCAGTGACGTACATGACCTTTCCCCTTTGTCGGGTAATTTGCTGCAAAGCATTTACCATCTTGTACATGCCCCCCCAGTACATACTTAAGCTCCCCCAACACACACACACATGCCACATGCCACATGCCACATGTACGCACAATGCATATCTATCTTTGCTCATTAATTAGATATTTACCTTAAATGAGGGTGGTCTTGGTCCTGGTCTTGGTCTTGGTCCTGGTCCTTGAATGATTATGTCTGCATTGCATTCGATTTCCATCAAGAGGTTGGGTCGCAAGTGAGCTCCGCAAGGATCTAATTATGATTCTATTTGATTCTCCTCCTCTTCCAGGTGGAGGTCGTGATCTGAACACCGCTGTCACCTACGCCCAGAATATACGCAGCGGCGTGGGTGTTCCCAAAGCCACTGCTCCTGCCCCAGTACCCATCGAATCGGCCAAGATTGTCATCAACAACAACAACATCAAGCCGATATCGTTGCTGCGCATCAACAACAACAACAAGCCCATCGTCGGCAGTATCCTTGCCAATAATACCATCAAGACCAGTAACGGTACCATCGCCACCGGAGGAGGCACTGCCACCGTAGCCGCCAATCCTCTGCGGAAGATCATCACACCGATAACGACAGCGGTTAGGGCAGCAGGTGTGGGCGGAGCTGCAACTGCCACCGTCGGAGGCGTGACTGTGGGCGGCAAGATCACCGCGATACCGATGCCCAGAAAAGTAGTGCTAGAGAATAATTTAAGCAACATGCCAAAGAAACTAAACAACCCAGTAACTGGTGAGTATTTAAAAAAAAAATAATAATAATTAAGTATTTTAAAAAATATGTTGAAAACACAAGCTACAAAAAAAAGTGCATGTTTGGAGAGATTTTTCAAGTTTGGAGTCAAGACAGTGTGGCCTTAGATTCTCAGAATAATGTGGCCTTAGGTTCTCAGAATAATGTGGCCTTAGTTGTAGTATAGTTTTTGAAGAATTTTTAAAAGAGTTGGAAATTTTAGTAAATGGAAGTGCATATTTCTATAATTTTGTTTATTTTTCAATAATATATACTATATTCAATACTATATTATATATTTCAATACTAGTGTGACCATATTTTTGTAGAGTATTTAAAGAGTTTATTGAAAAATGGTTTTCTTTGTTAATGGTTTGGAAAATATTCGTAAACGGAGAGGTATACTTATATATGTATTTCTTTAAAATGTATATTCCTAAATTAGTATGACCATATTGTCTCAAGTTTTTAAAGTTTTTGAAGCAATTTTTAAAGTTTATACAAAAGTACATAGAAAAGTATTCCTAAAAAAAGTTATTTTTAAAAGTTTTTGATAGTTTTTGATAGTTTTTGAAATAATTTTTGATATTAATGCAAGAAATTATGGAATATGTCTCTAATAGAAGTTAGAATTAATATTTTCAAACAAATATGACCATATTTTGCACAGTTTTTAATAGTTTTTGAAGTAGTTTTCACTCAGAATAGAAATATTATGGGAAATTTTTATAACAGACCTTAAATTTTGTGTTGAAAAAATAATATAACCATAGTTTTCATAGTTTTTAAATGTTTTTGGAGCTGTTTTTGAACCTTATACAAAAAATCATTGAAAATATTAGTAAAAGAAGTACAAATATACATTCCAAAAATAATAATACGACCATATATATTTCAGTTTTTAAAGATTTTAGAGACTGTTTTTGATCTTGATACCCAAATTTATAGAAAATATTAGTTATAGAAGTTTAAAAGTTAAATTATAAAAATAATATGACCATATTATTCATAGTTTCTGAAACTATTTTTTGGAACTTGCTACAGGAACTCTTAGAAATAATAGTAATAGGCGTTAGAAATGTTTATTCCAAAAATAGTATGACCATATTTTTAAAATTTTTTTAATTTAAAGATTTTAAAGACTTTATTCTTAAACTTGATTAAAAAACTATTAACAAAAATGTTGTATACCAAAAATAGTATGACCATATTTTCGATCTTAATACAAAAAAAGGCTATATAATAGTAACTAAATAATCAATAGTAGCCATGTAAAGTTAGCTATATAATCATTAAAAGTACATGGATAAAATATATATTTCTCACAACTGGCCACACTGTTCTACACTTGAAGAAAATAAAGCCAAACTCAGCTGTGAATAATTTATTAATACTGCCTGTGTTGTTCTCTTCCTTTATCTCTCTCTCTCTCTCTTCTCTCATGTATCCCTTTTGCTTTCCTTTGGTTCGATTACACTTGAAAAAAATACCCACTCCCTATTTTTTGTTGGTTTTTTTGTGTTTTGTGGTCCTGTGCTTTGGTTTCGTTTTTTTTTTTTGTTGAATCCGTATCCGAAATCCGTATCCAATCCCAGCGAGAAGCAGCAGCCACCCAGCAACGGCCAGCGGTGGTGGGTCAGGTGGAGGCACCGTTGCCGGAGGGGGTGCCGCCAGCAGTTACCTGAGCAGCGGCGCCGGGAGCTACCTGAACAGCCTGAGCACCAACGAGCTGATGAATTTGGCCGCCTATGTGGCCGCCAAGGGAAACAGTGGCCCACCGCCGCCGCCCCCCTCAACGGCCACCAATTCGGTGAAGAGTGTGATGGGCGGGGCGGGAGCGGGAGCGGGTGGTAGTTTTTTTGGCGGAGGTGCCACTGCATCCACATCCGCCTCTGCTGCCAACTTCAACATGGCCGCGTCTTTATTGGCGCAGAGTAAGTCGATTAATGTTGGTAACAACCAAGAATACTCTTCTCTCGTAAGGATAATCTGAATCTGTAATCTGTGTAATATATATATATATATATACTATATAAGGATTATGCCCGAGTAGGCTGTGAAAAACCCACCTAAGCCCCACCAGCCTCTAGGAATTTCAGTCTCAACCCAAACGTCCACCGGATCACATAGAAATTCCTTCCCTTCGGGTTTAAAAAATAAAAATATATTTAACCTTAATTTTAAATTCGAAATTCAAAAAATAAAAAGTCTTTCGGTTAGAAACCCAACCCTTCCCCTCCAAGTCCCCTATTCTTCTTCCAAATTCGAGATGAACATGAATATCCAAGAGACGAACGAGCGAAGGATGATGATGATGATGATGACGAAGCGGCAGCGGGAGGAGGAGGAGGAGGTGAAGCAGCTCCGGACACTGATGTCCCTGCCGCCGGCCAACTGGGAGGCACTGCAGCAAGCCGTTCGGGTGAACGTGGCCAAGGCCATGGAGGACTTTTATCGGCGGCATGCCCGCGGGATTCGCAAGCTGGAGCTGATGATCGAGAGGGAGCTGTTGCCGAAGCTGAGGGGCATACCGCCAGATGGCAAGGCCAGCAAGGAGACCAGGAGAACGGTGCGTCTTGTGAAGCGACTGCTGTATCGGGTGGAGCGCCTGCGTCCAGTGGTCATGGTGCGGCTGCCCGTTCAGGACAATAGCAGCTACAAGCAGCCGGTGAGGATGAGCGGCTCGACTTCCGATTTGAGATACAAGAATAGACGTCGGGCTGCCAGGATGTCCTCCAGTAGTGGACAACCACGACGACCCGGCAAGCCGTGGTTCCCTCAGAAATGCCACAACACCATCGGACACACCCAGCTCCGGCCGAGCGATCCGCGACAGCGACAGAATCCGTGCGGCGGGAATATGACCTTCATGGAGTCCTCCCCCGCAATGCCCCTCAACCAAGGTCTGAAGAACTTCCCTCCTGGAGGGCGGTGGGCGGCTCCCATGTTCTACGATTGATTCTGTCCATTGGAGAGACCCTCCTCAAAAAATTGACACCATTTGTGGATCTATTGTGACCTCACAGACAATGGGATGACGATGTTTTGATAGCAAGGATTGTAATCTATGTAATCTGCAAGGATTATTAATGGGATAGATGTGTTCCAGTCCAGTCCAGTGCGGAGTGTGCGGAACGATATATACTGTATATATCATATTGTATACGTTTATAATTTGCGTACAAACTGTTCTTCATAAAAACGCACACTAAAAACACGAGCTTGTAACAAATGAAGGTCCTTCCTTCCATCCGATCTCATCTTCTGTTACGAAATTCCAAATATTGTTACACCCAAAACTTAAATTAAATTAAGGAAGTAGCTTTTCATTAAAAGGAAGTAACTTTTAATCCCAAACAGGGTCTGGAAGGGTTTGACTATTCATTTTATTAAGGATGTTCTACACGAAGGTCATCTGATTCAAGGAAAATAATCGAAATAATCGGAGTTTTTAATCGAAAAAGGATGAAAAATGTTACAATCAGGTCTTATTTCATAAAAACGTTGAGAGAAAATGAGATAGTGTGAAGGTTTTTAACTTAATTAACTAGTAATAACTAATTATTAATAACTAACCACCTTAAACTCTCTCAAAAATATCGAAATAATCGACAAGGTTAATCGGAAAACTATGAAAAATGTTACAAAACACATGCCCCATTTCAGAAAGCGTCTTAAAGTGTTCGAATTTGTATTCCACATGAGATAGTTTAATGTTTTTTTTTTTTGTAATTTAATAACTTACCTTGAACCTTACCTTGAAATATCGAAATAATCGAAATTATTGATCGGAAAACTAAAAAAATCTATCAAAGACGTATCTAATTCCAAAAAAAATTTCTGGAAGCGTTGGGATTTCTATTCAACATAATATAGTTTGAATGCTTTTCTTTGTAATTACCTTAAACCTTAAAGAACATATCGAAATAATCGAAGTTGTTGATCGAAAAAATTACGAAAAGTGTAAGAATCAAGTCCCATTTCAAACCACTACCAAGAGAGCTAGAATTTCTATTCAACAAGAGATAGTGTGAATGTTTTTACTTAATAATACACTTTAAACCTTATATAATAATCGAAATAATCGAAATTGTTAATCGGTAGATTATAAAAAAGTTAAAAAACATTATCATACTCCAAACAAGGTCCAGAAGAGCTAAGATTTCTAATCAACGCAAGATAGCGTTTTAAGATACATAGTTTGTCTTTATCCTTAAACCTTATAAAATAATCGATTTAATCGAAATAGTTAATCGAAAAACTAAAACCAACTAGTACCCTTCCAAACAACATCCTAAAGGGCCAGGACTTCCATTCAACACAAGATAGAGTCCCTCTTCTTCCTAATTAGTCGCTCGTAACCCTAAAAACTATCGATAAAATCTCAATTGTTAATCGAAAACCTATCCTTAGAAAAAATATTGTTCTAATCAGTCACTGGATTCTGAATATCCTTAATTATAATCCTTAGAAAGTAAGTCATGTAAGTCCCTTTCATTCCCTGCTCTCTTCCCTCTTGCAACCGCCCCTATATGTCTGTCTCTCTTTAGTTGGAAGACCATACACCTTGCTCTCTCTAATGCCAGAAACGTAACCACCAACCACGCCTCCCGTTTCCATTGCAGTGAGCTATGCCGGTGCCCAGCCGATGCGCCCCTTCAAGGTGACCGCCACGGGCCTCCAGAAGATGACTCCCAGCGCCGCCACAACAGTGGCCACCACCGCAGCGGCTTCAGGACCGGGAGCAGTTAGTGGAGCAGCGGCCGGAGGAGCTGGCGCCGGTGGCGGGGTCAAGGGAGGACCCGCCATGATGGAGGCCATCCAGAAGCTGATTGCCATGAACCCCGAATACCTGACCAGCGGAATACCCAACAATGTGTTCCAGATGTTCATGCAGTCGATGCAGCAGCCACGTCCGAGTGCCGCGCTGCCGGCCATGCAGGTGACTCCCGCCTCCGTGATGTCCGCCGGGGGTGGCAATGTCGCGGGAGCACATCCCTCGGCAGCTACTTACGTCCAGCAGGAGGACGACGAGGCCGACTATGAAGAGATGGGCGTGGCCGAGACTTATGCCGATTACTGGCCAGCCAAGTGTAAGTCCTACTCCTTCCCCTCCCATCGAAGGTAGTTTCTAATCCTGGACTTGCTCCGATTTCCAGTGAAGCTGGGCAAGAAGCACCCGGACGCCGTGGTGGAGACCGCCTCGCTGAGCTCCGTGGAGCCATGTGATGTCTACTACAAACTATCCATTCCCGCCGAGACCATCAACAGTGGCCAGCTGAGCGCCCTCCAGCTGGAGTCCATTACGTACGCCTCCCAGGCCCACGATCACCTCCTGCCCGATGGGAGCCGTGCCGGCTTCCTCATCGGCGACGGTGCTGGTGTGGGCAAGGGTCGCACCATTGCCGGCATCATCTACGAGAACTATCTGAAGGGCCGCAAGAAGGCTCTCTGGATATCCGTGTCCAATGATCTCAAGTACGATGCCGAGCGGGATCTCAGCGATATCGGAGCCAGTCGCATCGATGTCCATGCTCTGAACAAGGTAGGAATCTATTCCGATGGTGGAATCAATGACCACTAATTCTCATCCTCCATGTCCTCCTCTTCCTTTCAGTTCAAGTACGCCAAGATCAGCTCCGATGTGAACAACAACTGCAAGCGGGGTGTCATCTTCAGCACCTACTCCGCTCTGATCGGAGAGTCGAACAACAAGACGGGCAAGTACCGTTCCCGCTTCCGCCAGCTGCTGCAGTGGTGCGGCGAGGATTTCGAGGGCCTGATCATCTTCGACGAGTGCCACAAGGCCAAGAATCTGTGCCCGGTGGGCTCGGGCAAGCCCACCAAGACGGGCCAAACGGTATTGGAGCTGCAGCAAAAGTTGCCGAAGGCGCGCGTCGTCTACGCCTCCGCCACGGGTGCCTCCGAGCCCAAGAACATGGCGTACATGGTGCGGCTGGGTCTCTGGGGCCAGGGCACTGCCTTTGCCAACTTCAATGACTTCATAACAGCTGTGGAGCGACGGTGAGTAGTCCTCAAAGTGATGTCCTCCAAGGCGGGAATGGGTCTAACAAGAGGTTCTTCTTCTGTTCGCAGGGGTGTGGGCGCCATGGAGATCGTGGCCATGGACATGAAGCTGCGGGGCATGTACATCGCCCGACAGCTGAGCTTCAAGGGGGTCAGCTTCAAGATCGAGGAGGTGCCGCTCTCCAAGGAGTTCCGCAAGATCTACGACCAGTCGGTGGAGCTCTGGGTGGAGGCCATGCAGAAGTTCACCGAGGCGGCGGAGCTGATCGATGCCGAGAGCCGCATGAAGAAGACCATGTGGGGCCAGTTCTGGTCCTCGCACCAGCGCTTCTTCAAGTACCTCTGTATCGCCGCCAAGGTCAATCATGCCGTGACAGTGGCCCGCGAGTCCATCAAGTATGGCAAGTGCGTGGTCATCGGCCTGCAGTCCACCGGCGAGGCACGTACTCTCGACCAGCTGGAGCGGGATGACGGCGAGCTCACCGACTTTGTTTCCACCGCCAAGTAAGTAGCAGCTAGGAACGATGCAGCCCATCCGGATAACTGAAACTAATCCCACCACCATCCCCCCACTCTCTTCCGACAGAGGCGTCTTCCAGTCGTTTGTGGAGCGCCACTTCCCCGCCCCCGATCGCAATCGCATCAATCGCATCCTGGGCCTCTACGACGACACCCCGGCCACTGACTCCGGCTTCGGGAACAACAACAACAACAGCAGTTCGGGTGCTAGCTCGGCGGCTGGGAAGCGCAAGGCCGGAGGAGCAGCTGGAGCCGGCGGGCAGGACAACGGCAAGTCGAAGAAGAAGAAGCGCCGCAACTCGTGGCAGGACTTTGACGACAGCGACGAGGAGGAGGAACGCAAGCCGAAGACCGAGGCCGACAGTCCGGATAGCGACAGCGACGATGCGAACAGCGACGACGCCTTCGGCAGCGACCAAGATGACGACGATGAGGACGATGATGATGACCGGGACGGCGACAGTGACCGTCGCAGTGTCGCCAGCGATGCCAGCTCCGACTTCAATCCCTTCTTCAGCGGCAGCGACAGCGACATCGATCCCTGGGTGAATGCCCGCAGCAAGAAGACCACCAAGAAGAAGACCCAGAAGAAGCTCAAGAAGAAGGTGAAGAAGGAGAAGATCAAGAAGGAGCCGGGTGTCTCTTCCTCCACCGAAGGCAATGCCGCCATGTCCGCTGCTGTGGTGGCGGCCCTCAACGCGGCCAAGACCCGCAAGTCGCAGCTCTCCACGCAGGACAAGATCCAGGATCTGCTGCAGAAGAAGCAGGAGCTGAAGGGCACGGTGACGCCGGTGGGCGTTAATGGCGTCAAGCTGAACTACGGTCCGCCGCCGAAGGATGCCATCGAACGGGCGTGCACCATGAAGGAGGAGCTGTTGCGTAAGATCGAGCGCCTGGGCGCCCGCCTGCCGCCCAACACGCTGGATCAGCTCATCGACGAGCTGGGCGGTCCGGACAACGTGGCCGAGATGACGGGCCGACGCGGCCGTGTGGTCCAGAACGACGACGGCACCATCCAGTACGAGTCCCGTACCGAATCCGATGTGCCGCTGGAAACGCTGAACATCACCGAGAAGCAACGCTTCATGGACGGCCAGAAGGACGTGGCCATCATCTCGGAGGCGGCATCCAGTGGTATATCGTTGCAGAGCGATCGCCGCGTCTTCAATCAGCGGCGTCGTGTCCACATCACCTTGGAGTTGCCCTGGTCGGCGGATCGAGCCATCCAGCAGTTCGGTCGTACCCATCGTTCGAATCAGGTGGGTCGAATCCTCTCAAGCTTTCGCTTCTTCTTGCTTTAATGTCCAATCCATCTACAGGTCAATGCCCCCGAGTACATTTTCCTGATCTCTGACTTGGCCGGTGAGCGGCGTTTCGCCTCCACGGTGGCCAAGCGTTTGGAATCCCTGGGCGCCCTGACCCACGGCGATCGCAGGGCCACCGAAACCCGTGATCTCTCCCAGTTCAACATCGACAACAAGTACGGCCGGCAGGCCCTCGAGACGGTAATGCGCACCATTATGGGCTATGAGTCGCCGCTGGTGCCGCCACCCACCGACTATAGCGGCGAGTTCTTCAAGGACATTGCCGGGGCGCTGGTGGGCGTGGGCATCATAGTCAACAGCGAAAGCCATCCGGGTGTCCTCAGTCTGGACAAGGACTACAACAACATATCAAAGTTTCTCAATCGCATTCTCGGCTGTCCGGTCGACTTGCAGAACCGACTCTTCAAGTACTTTACGGACACCATGACAGCCATCATCCTGCAGGCCAAGCGAGCTGGTCGCTTCGACCTGGGCATTGTGGGTGAGTGTAGTCCAGGGATTAGGAAGCCACACAACAAGATAGATATTTATAAGTGACTTATCCTCAGATCTGGGTGCCGCTGGCGAGAATGTGAACCGAGTCCGACTTACACGTTTCCTGCGCAAACATGCCACCGGAGTGGCTCCCACGGAGCTGCACACAGTGCGTGTGGAGCGAGGCATGATCTGGCAGGAGGCCATTGATAAGTAAGTTGCCACTAAGCCCCACTTCCTGGCCACTTGGCTAATGATCTTGTGGTTACAGATACGCCGACCTCTTCAACGACAACGAGGGCTTCTACCTGTCCCACCAGCTGCGCAACCAGAAGCGCACCGCCATCCTGGTAGTGGTTCTCGAGCAGCAGCCGTCACGCAGCTCCACGAGCACCGATTCGGAGAATGCCAAAAAGAAAAAGACCAGCACCAAGAAGGAGATCATGTGCCAGATCTATCGCCCCAACACGGGCCTCCAAGTCCGCCACGAGTCCCTGTTCGAGCTGGAGAAGAAGTACCGTTCGGTGACCACCGAGGAGGCCGAGCCCCACTGGATCGAGCAGTACGATGCTTCGGTGAACACCTGTTCGCATGCCTACTGGAACGGCAACTGCCGGAATGTCAGCATGGGTCACGATTGCGAGGTGAGTAGTAGTGGTGCTTGATCTCAGATTGGGTCCCAGATTGATATCTCTTTTTGATCCATCTCCAGGTGGGATTGCGGCAGCGATTGTACCACGTCCTGGCCGGATCGGTTCTGTCCGTCTGGGGACGCGTCGAGCACATTCTAAATACACGTTCCAACAGCAAAATGCAGGTGATACGCATGAAGACAACGGAGGGCGAGAAGATTGTGGGCACCATGATCCCCAAGTCCTGTTTCGAGCTGCTGATGAACGATCTGCGCAGCGATTCCGAGAAGCAGGAGGAGTTCAACTACTGAACAGCCGCCGAGCCTAGTAGCATGGCCATTGGCTCCCTTTTTTTTGTGTGATTTTCCTCGAGATGCGCATCTTCCAGCAGCCCACCCACCTCCCGCAGGCCAAGCAAGAGAGTGTGTGGGCGGGCGGGCGTACGGGGAAAGCCTCTAATGAGTAATATATATATATATATATATATATATATAAATACTACTATAATTACAATTAACTATTAAATATAACGATGTATCTGTATGAATAGATACGCTTAGCACGTACATATGTAAAATGACATGAAGTATCCCTGAAGTAGGGGATAATCCAGGACAGTCGCTATACTTTTTTCATTATTTTTTTTTCTATTGACATATTTTTAAAATAGAATTAATGCACGTTGAACCCCAGAACCACACAGACCCCAAAAACCAAACCCAAAAGCCCCAAACCCAGACATCAGACACTAGACAGACATCCATGCTGAATGGATGTAGGACGCTATGTAGGGAGTATCGTAGTGAGAAGTGAAGAAATGAAAACGCTTATATGAATGGACTTTTTCTCAATGATGAAATAATAATTTAAATTATCACCTTTAGTTTAACACCACACCCCCCCCCTTGGTACAGAAACCGCCGACACACTTTGTAAACTATTTATTTTTTTATCATTTATACCACATACACACACAAACACAAACATATACCCTTATTATTAAATCGTTTTCCTTAAAGTAACTAAACCATTATAAGATATATATATATTTTTGATGGCTGCAGCGCAGCGCAGCAAAATGAAAAAAGAAAAAAACCCCAAGCTAAGGCATTTTTTTTTTCTTAAACTTAAACACAAAACTGCAGTTTGTAGTTAGAAAGTATCTACTTGTAATACCTAAAAATAAGCTAAGCATCTGAAAGAGAAAACAAAAAGTTAAGAAAAGAAATTAGGGCGGCAAGAGAATAAATGTGAAAATTAGAATGTAATAAGCGTGAGAATTAATGTGTGCACACATACGTACAATTAATAAATATAAATGTGCGGACTAAATGAAAATTTCAAGTGTTTTTTTTGAAGGATCTTAAAAGTTTCAGCACTTTTATCCGCACTTTTGAATTTTCCGCCAATTGGAAATCGAATACTTTGTCGATAAATCGATTAGTTCTGTAGTGCCATCTCTAGCCGATAGGCTTTCGGTTCCAGCTGAGATCTGTTTTTGTTATTTCATAATATATACTTTTGAGAAGCCATAACTAGAACCGCCATGCAGAGCAGCCGCAGCACCAGACTCTTGTACCTGACCAGGCGGCTCCTCCAGAGCCGGCCCGCCTCACAGAAGGCAGCCCCAGAAGCCCCAGCGGCTGAGGGACCAACTGCCGGCTCCGGCACCGGCTCTTCCGGCGAGCAGACCACCCACTTTGGCTTCCAAACGGTGCGGGAAAGCGAAAAGGAGCAAAAAGGTGACAGAAACTTGATAAGAGGATGGGTCATCGATCAACTCCTCCAAACCATTGACCATCAGGAACCCAAGAGCCACAGATAAACCCTGTTTTTCGAAATATCTTTACAGTGCACGAGGTTTTCGAGCAAGTGGCCAACTCCTACGATATGATGAACGATGCCATGTCCATGGGCATTCACCGGCTGTGGAAGGATATCTTCGTGGAGCGCCTGGGACCCACGCATGGCATGAAGCTACTGGACATGGCCGGCGGAACGGGAGACATATCCTTCAGGTACCTGAAGTATCTCGCCAATCAGCCCAATCCCAAGAACAGGATTAGCCATGTAACCGTGTCGGACATCAACCAGCACATGTTGGACGTGGGCGAGGAGCGGGCCAGGAGACTGGGCCTGACCAGCGAACGGTTGCCAAACGCCTCGGTGGCTTGGAAGTGCGCGGACGCCGAGAAACTACCCTTCCAGGACGAGACTTTCAATGCCTATACAATAGCCTTCGGCATAAGGAATTGCACGCATGTGGACAAGGTAGGTAGCCTATGCTTGAGTTAGATCCTTAAATACTTGCTTATTATCCGACAGGTGCTAACGGAGGCCTATCGAGTGCTGCAGCCGGGCGGTCGATTCATGTGCCTGGAGTTCAGCCACCTGACGAACGAGACCATGCAGTGGCTGTACGATCAGTACTCCTTCCAGGTGATACCGCCCATGGGGCAGCTGCTGGCGGGCCAGTGGCAGGCCTATCAGTATCTGGTGGAGAGCATAAGACGTTTCCCCAAGCAGGAGCAGTTCAAGCAGATGATCCAGCAGGCAGGATTCGAGCATGTGTGCTACGAGAACCTCACCTTCGGCGTCGTATCCATACACTCTGGCTTCAAGCTCTGAGACTGGACTTACAGCGATGATTGTTTTTTTTTTTGTCTCTGTTTTTTACATTTATATATTTTGATATGCTGATCACGTGGAACAGCTCATAAAGCATCGAATTGTACAAGCGCTTCTGGCTGTTTATTTATTTCTTTTGACAAATATTACATGTGCCAAAAAAAAACAGAAAACAAGAAAAAACTAAAAGATGCACAAGGCCTGGGAAAGACCTTGACGGCATGCCAGACCCAAATAGATGCCATCCGGCGATACGTTAACCCAAAAGCAACAAGTCCCCAAATCCAAAGCGGACTTGCAGATCGATTAAAATTCCAAACACTTGATCCGCCCGACAATTTCCAAAAAAAAGTGAAAATCAAAGCAGTTTTAATTGAAAGCTCATTTATGGGTTAGTGTGTGTGATATAATTCCTCAAAGCATATCGGACTAGGTACCTACATATATAGTAGTCGGATCTGGTGCAGGTGAAATTTATGCATGTGAATACTGAATTTCAACGATACCTTCATTGAAATGCCATTAAAATAATTGACCGTGCCCTGGGCTAATTGGTAATTGCTATCAGTCTGACTTGATTTTATTATAATTATGCTTTCACCTGGCGCCTATTACTTTGTATATGCATTGTACATTAAATACCTATTTACTTGATACACTTATCCGGCCCTGTAAATTTTATTTAACGCTGTTTTTCTTTTTATGGCCCACGATTATGTAAGAGCGGCCATAAAACCAAATCTGGCATCGGTGGCCAGTGGCCACTTTTGATTTGGATCTAAATTGCAGCCAAATCATAAACCTTCGCCCCATCTCCGGCTACTGAAAGTGAAAAGAGCCCCAAGTACTACTAAGCCCCAGCAAATAGAGAAAAAAATAAGAAATAATAAATAACAAAAACATGCGGAACATGCCGGGCCATTGAAAGCAAAAGTTTTGTGCGTACCGAGACGTGCGGCGCATGCGTAGCTGGATTCCGAGGGATTTTCTTTGGTAACAGTGGTTTTTTCCTAAAAATTAATAGAAAAAATGACTTGAATATATTGTAAATGTATTTTGAATTCAGTGAAAATTAAAGATAAACCTTAAAATTCAATGAAATGGCAAAACTTTAAAGAATATCAAGAGTAGATTTAAGATATTTATTCTGATTTATATCTATAAATATTCAGATATTTGTTTATAGATATTTATTTTCAAAAAATCGAAATTTTTTATTAAATTTTTATGAATATCTAAAGTATTCCGCAGCCGATAGAAAAAACTGAATACCTTTTATGAATCAGAACTCTATTCCTCTTTATTCTTCATTAAAATATCGGAATTATCAATAAAACTAAAATTTGGTGGTTTTTTTTGGTCAAAATCATGAGGGTACCCCTTGAAAAGTTCAAAAAATTTTTTCAAAAATTGTATTGCCAAGTTTTGATACAAAATGATTCAACTCGAAGTTCTAAGATCGAGAAGGTATAACATTTATGGATCTGACAAGTATTAGCAGAGATATGCATATTTTTCCACTTGAAAAATTTAAAAAATTGTAATGAGATTTTTTGGTTTTTTTATTTTCAAAAAATTGAAATTTCCTTTCACTCTTTTATGAATATCTTAGATATTTTCCAACCGAATCAGAAACAAAGTACCATTTATGAATCAGAACTCCATTTGCTTTCAATCTGCATCAAAAGTTCCAAAATATAAAACAAAAAAAAAATTCGGCCATTTTTAGACCAAAATCATGAGGAAACCCCTTGAAAAAATTTCGAAAAATGGGTCAAAAATTAGATTGGTAAGTTTTGATACAAAATGAAGTTCTACTGGAAGTTCTAAGATTGGGAAGGTATACCTTTTTACAATCTGACAAGTATTAGCCGAGTTATGCATATTTTTCTAATCAGGATATTGAAAAAAATAGAACCCGATTTTTTATGTTTTTTTATTTAAAAAAAATCGAAATTTCCTTGCACTCTTTTATGAATATTTTCAATATTTTGCAACCGATTTAAAGAAAGAAATACCATTTATGAATCAGAACTCTATTTGCCTTCAAACTGCATCAAAAGATATAAGATATAAAGAACTAAATATTTCGACCAATTTTTGTTCAAAATCATGAGGGTACCCCTTGAAAAAAATATCGAAATATGGGTCATAAATTGTATTGCCAGGTTGTGGTTGAGAATGAGAAACATTTTAGAATCCGTGAAGTTTTAGACAAGTTATACAAGTTTTTCCACACGAAAATGACAAAAATTGGATATATTTGTTTGTATATTTTTAATTGCCCAAAATCCAAAATTTTGATTTATTTCTTAGGGAATATTTTGAATATTTTTTATATTTTAACGCAAAGAGTTAAAATATAATTCGACCACTGTGCCTCTTCAGTGGGGCTTAGCATAATGAGGTGTCCGCCGGCAGGTGCTTGAAGGTGTCAATGGGAGGGGGTGGGGGTCAACTGGTGCTGGTGGGTGGATTTTGGGGCCTCTGATTGCGGCAAGTGAAATGGCAGAGCCAGAGTCATAAACTGGCCAACTGCCGTTGGCCATTCCGATGAGCCGCGTAATTTTATTTTATTTACAATTATTTGATATTTCTTTTGGATGCACTGCGTCTGTCTTTTTCCATTGACTGCTTGGTATGCAGGGCCAGTTACCACTGTACGGTGGGACACTGGGACACACAGCGATGTCCGCTTTATAAATACAACAGCCACCAAGGAAGTTCATTTCATTTTCTTGGCAGACATCGCAGCGTTGACATAACGCTGCAAATTAAACGGATTACACTCGAAAAAATACAAGAAACTAAAATAAAAAAAAAATAAATAATAAATTAAGCTTCTTAGTTAAAAAAAAAAAATCACGAAAAAATGCAACTTCTTACCAGTTTAGTGGCTTTTGGCTTAATTCTTACGTTTAGTGGCGCGGAGGCTGGTGGGTTACGTCTCCGGCACACCAGCCCCCGTTCGGCCACGCCTCCTGCCCCCAGCACCACGCCCACCACCACGGAAGTGGCCGTCGAGGAGAGTCCCGTCCAAGTAACTGAGTCGCAACAGGAAACGGAAGTGACGACCGGAAAGCATAAGCGCGGAATCCTTCACGGCGGCCACGCCCCCTGGCCGGCAAGGACCTATGCCGCCCACTACGGTTACAGCGTCCAGTTGCCGGGAGGAAGCGCCTTCCTGGCGGCCATCCCTGGCCACCATCGTCATCACGGGCACTTTGTGAAGTACGGCCATGCTTTGGTGAAGCCTGTGGTGGCTTCCGGATCCGGTCTGCTGGCCACACCTACTGGACTAGGTGGCGCTGCCGCCCTCTTGCCCACCGCTGGAGCCGTGGCTCCTGCTCTAGCCCCCGCTCTGGCTCCTGCTCTGGCTCCCGCTCTGTCTCCCGCCCTGGCCACCGCCATACCCGCTGGAATCGCCACCGCCTTGTCGTCCGGAGTGGCAGCCGCCACTGGAGCAGCTATTCCCTCATATGTCCTGCGTCCTGGCAATGCCCTGGTCTCCTCCTACAGTGTCAACTATCCGCACCAGAAGCCGCTGCTCTTCCAGGCTCCAGCTGCCGTGAAACCCGTCCACTTCCACGCTCCGGGTCACGCCCATGCCCACGCCCATGTGCACGCCGTTCAGGTGGGTTTGCTTTTTGGAGCGTTTTGAGAAGTATTTCAATATTATTTTCTGTTTATTTCCAGCCCACTTATGTCCAGGCCTTTGCACCTGCAGCTCCTGCCGTTCCTGTCCAGCCTGTTCAGCCGGTTCAGCCCGTCCAGGCGGTTCAGCCCATCCCGGTACAGCCTCTTCAGCCCCTCCAGCCTCTCCAGCCGTTGAATCCCGTGCAACCGCTGCAGCCAGTGCAACCTGTGACCCCCATTCAGCCCGTGCAACCTCTGCAACCGGTTCAGCCTCTTCAACCCGTCCAGCCCGTGCAACCTCTTCAGCCAGTGCAACCCCTCCAGCCCATTAACCCTCCCACAGTGACCTTTGGAGTGCCTACTCCCCCAGCTCCGGCTGTCGATGTGCCAGTGGTGCCTCAGGTGCCCCAGTTTCCACAATTCCCACAGTTCCCCCAGTTCCCTGGAGTGCCCACCTTTACTTTCCAGCCCGCCCAGCCGGCTCTGCCCGCCCAGCCTGCTCAACCGGCCCAGCCCGCCATTCCAGCTGCTCCTGAAGCTCCGGAGGTGCCCCAAGTCCCAGCAATCCCCCAGATCCCTTCTATTCCCCAAATCCCTGCTATACCCCAATTCCCAGGCATTCCCCAGTTCCCAGGCTTTCCCCAGATTCCACAATTCCCCCAAGCTCCGGCAGCGCCATCGGTTCCCTCGGTGCCCGCCTTCCCCAGTGCCCCAAGTCCGCCAACAACCACCCAGTTCTTCCCGGCTGCTCCTCAGCCACCACTGCCCCAGCAACCGCCCACTTTCGTCCAGCCGGAGGCCCAGTTTCCCGGCGGCATAGTGCCCCTGCCAGGATCCACACCCGTGCTCCCGGAATCCGGAACCGGAATAGCCTCCCCGCAGATCCCACAGAGTCCGGAGTTGCCGGAACCTGAGCAGCCGGCTCCCGGACCCGCCCGACCCACTCAGCAGCCGTGGAAGCCAGTCTTCTACCAACCGCCCACCGAATCCTCGGCAGCCACGCCCAACAATCGTCCTTCCATCACGCTCCTGCCTCCATACGGCAGCTCCCCAGCTGAAGGTGAGTTTTCTGATTTTTGAAATCCACTTTAAAAGATTCTTTAATTGTTTTTTTTAATCCCTGCCCAGGTTACCTGCCCCCCGTCGGCTCCCAGCCGTCTCCACTGAGCTCCAGCAGTGCCGGAGTTGGCAGCCAGGGAGGCATCTTTGATCAGCTCACCGATGCCGAGCTGGAGCACATCTTCGCCCAGGCCAACTTGGCGCAGCAACAGCACCACCAGAGAAACAATTACCACCACTACTGAGAGTAGGGTTCGAAACACACTTAGGGATTTTATGAAATTTTTTTTTTATTTTTTTTTCTCATCACTTTTGTCATTTATTGTTTATTTTTATTGTAAATTATGTTATTAAATAAGTTATTTATGAAGAATACAAAGGTTTCTTAAAAGTTTTCAAGGCGGAAATGGAAACCGGAAGTTAAAGTTAAAATCGGAAAGAAATATTAATCATACGCAGGGTGGGCTCCGTTTGAGTGATGATGGTAAGACTTTCTTAGAAGATTACTATATATGGGTACTTTCTTAAGATAGGCTACTATATATTGTGGGTCTTAAGACTGGATATATATATATATATTTTAAAGATTCTACCCCCTTAAAACGGAAGTAAACTTTTTGAAACTTTTCTTCACAAAACTTGTGATGAGTCTTGATAATGCCCTTTAAGATTGGATCTCTTGGAGTCATGTAAGCTTCTTCGCGGACATAAACCCCTCCACACTCGAAGGAGTATTGAAGCTTTTTCCGCCAAGGGCTTTCCACCTTGAACTTGAAGAAAAACCATTTGTTTTGTGGCTGGAAAGCTTTTTTCGTTTCATTCATAAATTGCCGGTCGTTTTGGTGAATGAGTGGGCATGGATGGGATGGGATTTTGGGGCTAGGGCATTGGGCATGGGGCGTGGGGCAGCAGGAGGGCATGCCACATGCCACAGGCCACATGCCGACTGCCGAGTCCGACGCTGACGCCGCCGCGTTCATGCCACATGTTGCAGGCACTCGGCTTCGGTTCACTTTCCGTGTTCAGTTCTTTGTTATCGTTGGCAGTGAACGCGCGGTGCCGCGGAAAAGTAAAAATAAGGGAATCGGATCGAACGGCTATATCCCTAAAAAGAAATCGAGAAACATATATATTTTGTTTGGTGTTTCTGTAGTTTTTTTTTTGTTGGTGTGATTTTTTGGAAAGCCCCCGATCGAGATGCCAGTGTCAATAATAGTGATCATGCGTACGTTCCAAATAAATAAACATTTAAATTCTTCTTAATTTTATTTTGTATATTTATGCGATGCAGTTATAGATTCCAGACACTGACCATTACCCATGTCTATATATAAATATATATAATTTTTTTTTTTTTTATCTACTTTATCCGCAATGTTTGTTTGGCAGTTTCGCGAAATAACAAATCGAAACCGAGAATAACAAACCCGTCCAGTCGATCTGGCCAAGATATTGGCCATCTGCGGACAAGCCCAGAGTGGCAGGCTTCTGATTTCTGAAATTAACACAAAATTTAATTAAAACATATAACAATAGTCTGTTATTGGAGACTATTCGGTGTAACTTAGTTTCTGGCTGGCCACTTAACGTTTATCAAAGGAATTGTGGGCTTTTTTTAGTAAACAAAAGTTTTAATTGCAATGCAATGTAAATTCTGTAATTTAATTCAAACAAAGAAGGAATGTTTAAAGTAAACGTTTCTTACAAATCTGTTTAAATTTCTAATACTTTCTATGAGAAAGAAATGTTTTTAAAGAAAAGAATTCAACAAATTGGATTTTTTTAATGTCTATGACTATTTTAAGATCTATTAAGTTAGTTATTTTCAAAATTTCCTTTCCAAATCTGTAGCTAAAATATAAATACATTTTATTTCCTCAAAAACTTGATGGACAGGACATTTTTTGAACAAACTTTCTACTCCACTGGCTTTGCCCAAAAACGATTTTCAATTAAAATTTCCCTTCAATTTGCATATTAATTTTTGTTATTAAACCAAAGGACTATGGACGGGGGCTATATCCCCGTAATATATGTATAGAATATATATTGTAAATAATGGACAGAGTGTTTAATTTTTGTAATAAAATGTCATTAAGTTTAAGTGCGTAGTGGCGCTTAGATTTATGGGCTCGAATGAATTGCAAATGCCAGGGGATCAAGGGGGTAGCCTCGTGTAAGGTGGAAACGAGGACGAGGCACTGTGTTTTTTTTTTTTTTTTTGGTTTTTTCGGGTGTAGAAAGGTCCTGCGTCCTTGCGGTTTTCGCGGCTTAACCACAAAAGTGTTATGGGGCTGGCCTGATGCCTGACAACGGTTGATGCTCCGAAAAAGTTCTGTTATTAGTTGTAACTGCTTTGACGGCTTAGGGAAATCCCCCCCAAAAGTCTGGATGGTGTCATGGCGACCGTAACTTATGAGCGGAAAGTGCCCAAACCACATCTTTTAATTCGAAAAATAATAACTAAAGTGGAGCCGCTGAGATAAACGAAATGTGTTAATTATGGGAGAGGGAATTTCTCGCCATGGAATTCTATTTACTTCGCAAAAAACTATATGGGGATGATGGAGAATAATATCGTATAGAGTACGGCCCTTCCACGTCATTAATTGAAAGATTTAACAAAAAGCTTAGCAATAATTACAATTATCCGGGTTTACTTTATTTTCCGTTGGTAAATAATACCTAATCCTAGATAAAAAGCTTAAGCTTAAATTTTTTGGCAAGTCAAAAGCGGAAAAAACAACTTGTAACTCAGCCAGGGGAAAGCGGGCAACCCCAATTTTTATTCCCCCCATTTTCCGTGGAAAGTGGAAACCAGGGGGGCAACGATTTTCCACTTATGAACTTGTCGCTCTTGGCCAAGTTCAACCCGGAAAATATGCGGAAAATTCGCCTCAACTTTTTGTTGGGTGGGAAGTTAACTGGAAAAAAGAAAAAAAAACGAAGGATAAAATAATACCCATTGCCGGGCAACTCCACTATCGCTTTTTAGGTTTTAGGTAATTTGAATACGACGAGCAATCGTTATTTATGTACGGGGCCAGTCTCCGTTTTCACTTGCCTTTCATGTGGGTGGGCCTATCCGGCAAATCCATTAACATCTAGCCAGGCACTGTGAGAAACTTTGAAGATTTTAAATTTATTATAATCGGAAAGGCTAAGTGTTAAATGATTGGAGGTTTTGTTATTTATTTTCTTCATTTTTGATAGAACTATTCATACCTGGTACTTGCAGAGTTTTAGAAGATGTACCAGTTATCATAAAAACCAGAAAATATATACTAGAGATATCATAAAAGAGTTTGATAATCACTATTTCCTACTTTTAAGTCTAAAAATCAATACATTTTTATAAAACTAATCATACCCAGTACTTTTCCTAAATTTTTAATCTAGAAATCTAGAAACCTCTAAAAAAATAAAAATTTAAACTCTGATCTATTTTTTCTAAGTGTTTTTTTCTTAGCATCCCGTATCCATATCATTATCCAAAGTACGGGATGCTAATCGATGCCCAAAGAAGTCCTCATCGCCCCACTTTCCGTATCAAATTTCGGTCCTTGGGTCCAGTTCTCAGCTTTTAACTTGATCAAGTAATCCATATAATTTTTCACCATTTCTATTTTTATTTTTATTTTTATTTGGTGGCATTTTAAAGTGTGGCATAATTCGATTGTCCATGACAGAGTCATGAGAGCCGGCTGCCATAAAGGTTATGCCTCATTAGGGTTCAAGTCGGAAGCGGTGTGTAACCATCAAGGATCCTAGGAGGAGGACTGAGTGATTGCCGAAAAAGCCTCACATCCTGCCAAATGGGAAAAGTAATTGAGAGTTGGGTCCTTTTTCGGTGAAAGTGCGAATGATTCAATAAAGGCCTCCTGGGAGTTCAAAAACACTCGCTAATGAAGTGGCAACACATTAGGTCTTTAAAGAAAACACATTATCCGCCAGAAGATGAATATTTTGAAAATAGTTCTTTATCTAAAGTGAAAGATAGAAAGCCAGAACTATCAATGAAATAATTTACTTAACTTTTCGTTTGCCTTCCCGAAACTTTTGAGAAGGGAAAACTTTCCCAACTTTCTTCTTGGCCAACTGGAGTCGTAGATTAGGTCCTTGGACACTTAACTGTGATATTATCCGGCGTCCTGTGACTCCCAAATAAAGCTGTAGTATATATCCGGGGATTAGCTTTTGATCTAATTAATATTATGCCCTTTTTTTCGTTTTTTTCTAATCTAAGCTAAAAAGACAAGGGACCCAAATCAGTATGCTATTTTCGGGCAAAAAAACAAATAGGAATATGAGATAAAATGGCGGTATTTACATATGTCGACGTGTGTGTGTGTGGGTATGGGTGTGTGAGTGATGTGACCTCTGACCCTGCCAAGTGGAAAAATGAAAAATGGCCAGCGTAATTCCCTGATTGAAGCCTAACAGAGAAAAAAGGGAAAGCAAATAGAAACCAATAAGCCCAAATGGGGGGCTCTGGCACTTGGAGAAATAATTCAAAAAACATGCAAATTTTATCAAAAAAGTTCTAGATTTAAACTACAAGTTTAGAATATATAATTTGACCTTTTTCTATACATTTTTTGCTTAATTTTCTTCCTATTTTTTCATGAAATTCCTTTAATTTCTTTCTCTGCACACAAAAACTTGCCTAGAAGCGGCTTAATTTTGCCAGGACCTTTTTCTATTCGATATTGTGTCTCTGTCTCTGTCACTTGACCCCTGACCCTCACAACCTTATACATTAACCATTTCGGAACGCATTTATTTTCATTTAGATTCGGTTTTGTTGCTCCAACTGTCATCGGCAGTTCAAACAATGGAAAAACTATTGACACACAAAGCCCCTCCCGAAAAAAAAGGCCCAGATGCAAATGATTAATTTTCATAGAGTAATTAAATGTGGTTGCCTCACTTTGTGGGCTGTGATTCGGTTCCTAATGGGTTAACAATTAACCCATTGCCATGTGCCGACAGACCCCTCAAGTGTCGGCCATTTGCCTTTAAAATGCCCAACTTAAAAATAAAACTCCGTCAGTGATTTGCACGATAATGAGTCTATATATATACATATATATAGATCGGGAATATATATGTACATATATCTATTGGGACTTGTGTGTGTGTGTGTTTATCATTGGCTTCTGTTTTTATAATTCTTTAAAAATGTTGTTGCCCGCCCAGTCAGATTCTTGTTTACAACTTTGTTGGCCAAAAAAGAGAAAAACTTTTTCCCTTCTTCCCTCGATTCGAGTATAAAAATTCCATTCCAAACTGAAAACTGAAAATTGAACACTGAATATTGAATACTGAACATCGATGAACGCCAGTTTGAATCTAAACACTCTTCAGTGAATAAAACTTTTGGAATTTCTCAGCTGTTTTTAGTTCATGTCGTAATACAGACGATACAGATTCCCATTCCAATTCCCATCCAATTTAATATGCTGCCCAAATAAATCAAATATTCCTTTTTGGGGAGGTAAGCTGGTAACTGTGAGATATCATTAAATAAAATGGTTTATTTTTGAAACAAACATATACATACCTTTATAAAATTTTAACAAAACACTCTTCTTTAAGCGGACCTACTGAATTACATCAAACCAAAGTACTTATAATTACAAATATCATATCAATTCTTTAAGTAAATTTAAGGAAGTTTCTTACTTATTAATTAAATATTTAGAATCAACAGATAGACAGTCTGACAGACAGTCTGAACCATAATGGACAACGGACATCGGACAACGAACTGCGGACCATTTGTTTACATTGGCATTGAGCACAATTGACTTCTATTTTGGTGAATTCCAATTCGGTTTTCGTTTGTTTTAATTGCTGTGCCCCGCCCAGGTCCCAGGTCCCAGACACTTGGAACTTTCACCTCTTGAGGCTATTTTCGTGGCCAAGGCAGGTGGATGAGGTGGAGAGAAGGGGAAGCCAGGATATAAAGCAAAGGCAAGGGTCAGGACTGGATAAACAAATCCCAGGGGGCAACTAATCTGCTCCTGAAGCACTTGAAGAATATTATAGAAAATTATAGGACGAATCTTGGTCTAATTCCTCTTTATTTGTTGACTTTAAACTACATTTTTTTTTCACTGTACACAGCCCTTGAATAAATATTTAATTGGGATTTTATGGCTTGTTAGAAATCGTTAAATTCTTTTCTTTGTTTCAGAATTCTTTGCAGTGCAAGTAGCGAGGAGTATTTGTGGAATTCATAAATATATTTTTGTAAACTGAGAAAGAATGTGAAAAAAAATATATCTTCGAGTTGTTTAACATTTTTCCCTACAATTGTTTGGATTATATTTGTTTATGTTACTTTTTTTCCCAGTGCAGTTGAGAGGCTCAAATGGGGAAATTATGATTTAAAAAGTTGTAGGACTTGCACTTCCATTGATTTTTTTTATTTTATCGCTCTCACCTCGGTATCCTGGATGTCCTGGATTGTGGGATCATCAATCATTTCCGGTAGCCGACTGCCCAAGTCCAAGCATTTCAATTTGCGGCAAAATGTGTTGACAAAACGTTGATACGCCGACGGCAAGGGTTTGAATTGAATTGGATTTGGGAGGACTTGTTGGACGTGGAGGAGGAGTCTCCTGCTCCAGCAACATGCACATTAGCAACACGTGTCAAATGCTCAATGTCCTTGTCCTTGTCCTTGTCCCGGTTCTTATCCCGTATTCCGTATCCTTTCGCGCCTCAGATGCCGCGCTTAATTACACTTTTATGGAGTCATCTCCTCCATTTCCCATTCCCATTCTCATTCTCATTGTTGTCCTTGTAGCAATCCTTATCCTTCGTAATTGCAATCCGTTGTCCTCTCCTCTGTCTGAGTTATGACCTGCAATGCAATCGCCGGATCCTTGTCGGTATCCTTTTTTTTGTATCGCGATTGGCGACAGAGGCGCGGAAAGCCATATGTTTGGGAATTTTCCATTTATTTATTTCTTGATTTCTGATTTTGTAACTCTATAATTATCTGCGAATTTTTAATCCTATTGTCTCCATAATGCTAGTATGATTTATGCAGAAATTAATCCTTTTTTGCGGGGCGAAAAAGTCAATAGTTCTCATCCCATTCGGACAGGTATTCATTTTAATTTGATTTGCATTTGTTTACCTTTTGCCGGCGATTTTTTTTCTCATTATAATTACACGGCAATTTCGATTATTTTTTCAACCAATTGCTATCTCAGTGCCCATTTGAAAGTCAGCCAGTCATGCTGATGATGTTGATGCCTTATCGATGTCGCCAGGACTTCAAGGATTCGGCAGCAGGCGGTGGGGCAAATGGAAATCGGGAGAGGCATTGAAGGGATTTCACGGGCCATTTTCATCGCCATTGGGCCACAAATGTACTGTGCGTAATTTTTATTACAATAAATACAATACACTCTACATATTTTACATATTTGCAATATTCACAATTTTTTTGCAACTCTCCAGATATTTTGCAACTCGCCGCCAATCGATTTCAATTCCGTGTGGGGGCGTCCATGTCCATATCGGTTATTGCGACGCATTTAATGCAATCGTTAAAAATGATAAATGCACTGACAACATCTTCTTTTCCCAAACTCAACATATATGTACATATTTATATTCATATTTCCAACCAGCGTGTATTTTCGTTAAGTTCATCAAGATAAATATCAATGAATAGGCCAAAAAGCAGCCCCTCTTCCTGCTCAAAGCTAATCGGATGCTAATTAACCCATTTAATTGGTTAAACAAATATTTCGGCCCCATTTGCTAAAGAAATTTATGGAGCAGATGTTCGTTTGAATTCTATATTTTGTTCTGCTTACGTTTGTGGATTCCCTCTGGCCAAAAAAACTGAGAAAAAAGTATTGCTTTGGCTTTCTGATTTTAAATACTTAAATGGCTATCACTTCCTGGATAGTTGGAGATTAGCTATTTATAGTTTTTCTGCTATTTATAATTGGAAATTAGATTTTAAATTTCAAAAAACGGTTACTTTCGCTTATCGATTTAAACTAATCTCTTTTCAATTTCCCATCTCTAGATCGTTTCTCCATCCCTATTCTGCTTGCCCTCCTGCTCGCACTCGCAGGTTCCGCTCAAGGATCCTCGGAGAGCACCCGAACCGGAATCGGAACGGAATCGAGTACATTAATCGATAAAAAGCCCGCGAAAGAGGAAGCTCCCGCCCGCAAAATGATCTCATTTATACAGGATTCGATTATCCTGGAACCCGATGCTATGGACAAGTGCCTCGATGGCTATTTCCACTGCAACAGTACGGCCCAGTGTGTGCCCCAGAGGGCCAATTGCGATGGCACTGTCCAGTGCGACGATGCCTCCGACGAGAAGAACTGCGACAACAAGGCGGACAACAACTACTGGGACCATCTTTTCCGGAAACAGTTCTTCGGCATCAATGATAACATCACAATTGGCGATTGTCGTAAGTTTTTTTTGATATTGGACTAGTTTCCAATACTTTTTGGTATCTCCCAAGCTTTTTATTATCCTTTAATCATTTTCAGTTTGGCGTAATGATAATTTCAGCTGTCCTTGTCGCGGGGATCAATTCCTTTGCCGATTCCAGCAATTGAAAGCTCTTCCGGATCGTCTGCCGCAACGCCTGGTGGCAACATTGTGCGTATAATTTCCCCATTTTGTTTTTAATATTTTTAAACTTTTCGAATCGTTTTTTTAATAGAGACCTAACAGGCAACAATTTCGAAACGATTGATGTGAACTTTTTCAATGGACTGCCGGACTTAAAGAGCTTGTAAGTTGACCATCCTTTCGGTTCTTAATTAAAACTGAAATACAACCAGCTGTAAGGGATGTTCAAATTTTTAAGGAAGCTCCCGGCTCCCGGCTCCCTGGCCGGTCCTGGTGGACTGGTGGATCAGGACATCAGAGAACACTGGCAGACCGCATTGAATATTAGCGCCATGCTGTGTCCTTAATGGTGCCTTTAAGTAGTCGTTGTACGAGTAGCACACGCTACATACAAATTACGTACAAACTAGAAGCCGCATTGAAGCAGAAGGATAAGCCCACGCCCCCCATATCCCTTTTTGCCTCTATTTTTCGTCTCCTTCCTGGACAAACATATGCAGAGAAGAGCAGAGAGCAGGCTGCGTGTTGCAGTTTATGTGTCACTCTGCCAAAGGACATTCCAGGCGAACTTAAACCAGACAATCGTGCTACATGTGCAATGGACGCTGCTCGCAGGACATGCCACATCCTTCTGGCTCCGTTTCCTGTTCCTTGTTTCGTGTTTCTTTTAAGCTTAAGCACGAACTAGGTATAAATTTAACCAATGAGAGGGGTGTACACATCCTCTAATGTCCTCTACACAACAAAAAAATTGATGATACTGATATGGAAATATTTTCAGTGTTTCTCCGCCGAATCTTGGCGGGAATTTAATGCCAAAATGGTTGCCACAAATGTCCTTCTAATCTACCAGGGAAACCCAAAGCCCTGCGGCAATTTGAAATGGCAAGCGTGTCCTGTTTGGCCATTTATTTTCGCCATGTCCTGAGGATATTTTCAACAAGTCATCCGACTGCCCACATTTATTTTGTTTTTCCCACGATTTCGCGGCTAGATTTGGTGTTAAATGATGTTTCTGTTTCTTTTTTTTCATCTGCCTCTGGATATGTTGTGTCAGGGATATAAATATCCTATATTTTTTTTCTTCGAGAGGGGATGACAAAATAAATACCTATGTACCTCCGCTGTGAACACATGGGCTCTGTTGGTTTTATAGCTTTTCCCAGAAATAAACCAGAAAACAATTGTGTTTAAAATTAGGTTGACATTTTCCAATTTTTAGCCATAAAAAAAAAGACCAAAAACAAATGCCTGTTTTTGATAAGAAAAAAAACTGAGTTTATTGGCCCATTAAGTTTATTGAAATGGAAACCATGTAAAAAGTGTAATAATTTAAGCACCCTTCACATGGGTGCATATCTCGAAGGAAACAGTCTGAATATTAAATAAAATATATAAAATTAATTTAAAGTTTCAACAGAATATAGCGAAAAGCATAAACAATTCCCCCAACTTTCTAATGAAGTTGAAATGCAAGTCTAACTTGTTAGTCCTCGTATTTGCTCCAAAAACAAATGAGCTTCAAGTTTCGGGCCAAAAACAAAACAAAACAATGAGCCGACGACGAAAACAAAGCGCATTATTATCCTTAAGGATATATCATTGCCCCCTTAAATTGGGGGCGTGGCGGCAGGACTTGAACCGAAAGTTGTGCCTGTGCCCGCCATTGTGCGAAGTTTACAATTGAATCTCATATTTATTGTGTTTTATTCACACTCGCCTGGCCCGCGTCTGAGTTTTGTGGTTTTTCTCTGATTTTTTCGTTTGTTTATTTTCCTTTCCAGAGTCCTGAAGTTTTGCTCTATCCGTGAGATTGCCTCGCATGCCTTTGATGTTCTGGCTAACAATACACTAAGGACACTGTAAGTGGGCTTTAATTATTAACAATATTTTTAACAAATAGTTCATAGTCTTGTCTTTCTACTCTCTAAAAAACTATAAAATATTCTTTATAAAATCTAAAAAACTCTCTCCAAAATATATTATATCCTTTTACTTACCAACTTCTCTCCAAACAATAACTCATAATTAAGTCTCATTATTTATGTGCACTTAACTGGCATATTTTGTTGCTTTCCACTCGCAACTTTGCTGTTTACTTCGATTGGCCCTGGACTGCAGTTGAGACTTTAATAATTTTCCACCATTTTTTCGCCCTTTTTTTTTTTAATGCCATTTCAGTTATATGGACGATAATAAATTGCCACATCTGCCGGAACACTTCTTTCCCGAGGGCAATCAATTGAGGATTCTGTAAGTACCCGGCATCGCTTTCACTCGATATTCATTAACGGGAGTTATGCGACTTCCGTCCGCCATTAACGCCATGTTCTTCTTGATGCTTTACGAACCATTTCCGGTTGGGAATATGAATTTGGCAATTGAAAAAATGGATGTTATTGAGGCTTTTTCACGAAGGTCTGAGTACATGAATAGAAATATTTATTTCCCCTTTAAAGTAGACCACAATTCGGTCTCGAATAGTGCCTAATTTATAAATAATTTCCTAAATTATTGCCAATTTATACAATTGTGCACTCAATTGCTAATTAAACATATGCATAATTAAACATAAATCAAATAAGACAAAGCTGGCCAAAACGAACTATAAATTTTAGACACAACTGTACCAGCATTGCAATTTGTTGTTGTTTTTCAAGGGGGGGAGGGTCCTGAGATATGCTGCGATAAAAAAGGACTCTGCCATTCGATTATTTTTGGACCCGAGGTGCTAAATGACAAAAATCCAGTAATTGCCAATAAACGTAGTGACTCGATTATTTGGCCGAAAACGCACACTCCCACACTCAGTACTGATGCTAATCATTGATGTCAGGCCTTTTGTGTTGGCCCATTGGTCATAAAGTTGGGCCATTGTTTGGGGCACGAGATTAAAGCCAACTGACAATGTGCCACACGGCATTCCATTCGTGCCTCTTCCTTTCGGTATCCTTTTTTTTTTTGTTGTTGTTGAATTTTTTTGCCTGCGAGCATAAAAATATTAGCACAGACTGTAAAAAGTTTTCAGCTTGTTTTGTGCATTGACTCGTACCGGTGTGGCCACGCCCACACTTGCCAAGCTCCGCCCCCGAAGGTTAAAAGGAAACAACAACAACAAAGCCAGCTGGCAAAAGGCTAAAAGCGACAAAGGCTAAAAAGGCCACACAACAAATCCTATCTGAAATGGGTATGACCTGGTTTTTATAAAATCACCATTAAATAAAGTGATTAAATTTAAGGAAAAATTATTCAAAATTAAAGGGGAATATAAAGTATTTAATCAAATATATTTAACTAAATTTAGAAATATTTAAAGCTAAGAAATAAAATTAAAATTAAGAAGACTTTCTAGGAAGAAAATACTAAAATGTTTTAGGAGACAAGGCAGTTAGACTTCTTAGATTGTATTTTTAAAATTATAAAAAATAACTAGAAATATGTTTTAAAGCCTTGCTAGAACTTCATTAAATCTTAAATTTTTCCTAAAAATATTGAGCTAGTTAATACTTTAATAATTAAATTAATTTTTGGTCAAAAAACAAGACATTTCAGACATCCCTTTGCAAAGCAAACAAATCAATTGCCAACAATTTGATTTCGGGCAGATTTATCATGGCTTTTGGTGGGACAAGGTTTATTAGCCACTTTTTCATGGTCGTAGCCGTAGCCCAGAGCCATCCATCATACCCGGATTGGCGGGGAATGCCCTGGAAAATAGACAAAACTGCCGACACACAAAAACACATAAACAACTCAGTTACACTTTTGCGGCGGAAAATGTGCTGGCAGAGTCCTACTCCGGCAATGTCTCCGGCTACGTCTCCGGGTCTGGGGCTCTATCCGGCGGAATGGCAACTGGATGATGGCAAATCCGGAGGCACAGCTGCAGTTGGCATTGCATTGGAAACTTTGCCAGGCCGGTTCTGACTGAAAAATGCAGAGAAAATGGCCCAGAAAATGGCCAGGAAAATGGTTAAAGGACATCTCTGTAGGAGATGTGGGTGCAGTGCTTAATGGCTAATTAAAATCGAGATATATGTACAGACTTTTGGCCAGGTTTTTGTTGGCCAGCTTGGCGGCATTAAAATGAGATTTTTTATCTGTTTTGCAGAATTTTGGCACGAAACCGACTGGAGACACTAAATCGCAACGATTTTTCCAATTTGCCGTATTTGGAGGAGTTGTAAGTTGAATTTTTATTTTTTCAAATAATTACTTATGTAATATATATTTTTATTTAAATTATTATTATTTTTTATATAAAGAGATTTACGCGGCAATCTAATAGGAAGCTTTGAGGCTGAGGTTTTTGCTCATTTAACCAAATTGGAAAGACTGTAAGTTTTTTCAAAAAAGAATTCTAAAGTCTTTCTAAGGGCTAAAACAAATTTATTATCATTTCTTGATTACCAAAGCTATCTGAATGAAAATCGTATAACAAGATTGGATTCTTTAATGTTTCCTCGAACTCTTGGGAACCTAATCACGTTGTCCTTGGCGCAGAATCAGATTGAGGATATTTATAAACAGGCTTTTCCTTTTCCACGCTTACAGTTTCTGTGAGTAGAACTAGTATATATTATTAATTTAATTTTAAACTTAATTCTAAACTATTTCTATGTCTATTTCTTAAAGATTTCTAGCGGGAAATCGTCTGTCTTATATAAGAGAAGAAACATTCTGTAATCTGACTAATCTGCAAGGATTGTAAGTAGAAAATTATACTAACATTTAAAACAAAACTTAAAAAATTAAAAATTAGCACCTAATAGCCCCTCTTAGCCCTCATAAATCCAGGGTATCCCTATAACAAATAAGTGTCACTCTACCCTGACCTCTGACGGATTTTCCTTGGCTTTCCCATCTTCCATAAAATAATACGCCTGGCCAAAGGACCTCTTCGACAGGACCTCTGATCCGAAAACGAAGGAGTAGAATGATTTGAGGCGAGGCTGGGTGGGAGGATGCCTGTGGGAGAGGGGGCTGTGGCAGAAAGTGTCATTTGGATTTATTGCCGTTCAAGTTTTCGCCACGGCCGAGGAATTTAATTTATCAATAATGTGGAGCCCCATGGGGGGGGGCTATCCTTGTTGGCTTGTTGGAGAACGAGAACCGAGAACTGAGAGCTGAAAGCTGACAGTTTTTCATTTAACTAAACTCCGGCCACATTCCAAAATAGTGATGTAATGCATATTGAGAAGGCCTCCGATGATTTGCATTCTGAATATAAAAAAAAAAAAATAACAAAACAAAACTCGGGGCCTAAATCGAAAGGAAAACTGGCTAAACGGATACGTGCCGTGGCATCGGTGAAGCAACTTTAATGATGAAACTTTCAGATGGAAGAAATGCCACAGGAAACATCCTAAGCTCTGTTTTGCAAATCGCAAATGCAAATAAGCAATAGGTTGGATGGGGAAATGTAAAATAAAAGACTAACACCACACCACAGGACGAACAGAAAAAAAACAAAACCATAGCTTGGCTTTTATGCTTCGAACCATAAAACCGCAGCCCTAACAATTCGGGTTATTTTTTTACATTTCACCCATCAGGCACTTGAACGAGAACCGGCTGGAAAGGTTCGACCTGGAGTCCTTTGCCTGCCTGCATAACCTAACATCCCTGCTGTTGGATGGCAATCGTTTCCAGACACTCGATCCGCGGGTTCTACAGAATCTGAGCAGCCTGAATTACATGTGAGTATTTGAGACCCAAAACCCTAAACCCGGTAATGGTTATGACCGATACATCCTGAAACCAATGGCACATCCTTTGAGTACACGGTGGAAAATACATGGTGTCTTTAAGAAAAGGCCAATCTATGTTTTAAGGTGGAAAGTCCTTTAATAAACCCTTTGTTTTTTTTGTCTTCCTGTCTAGCTATTTCTCGTGGTTCCATTTGTGCAGTGCCGCCAGTCAGGTACGGGTCTGTCATCCACACGGCGACGGAATCAGCAGCCAACTCCACCTCCTGGACAACCAGATTCTGCGCGGCAGGTAAGTCCCAGCTAGGGCTTAGTCCTTGGTCTCCCATTTAATCAGGCTAAGAGCCCTTTGGGTAGTCGGTTTGCTTTGCGGTTGGTGCGAGAAACTTGCATTCATTAGACAGCAATTAAATCATTGTCATTATGGCACTCGAACTTCTGCAATCGCAATTGCAAGTCTGGCCAGGCATTCCTGCAATTAGTAAAGTCATTTGGGCACTATCCTGCCTACAAGGATGATTACAGGATGTTGGAATGCTCTCAAATGGGAAGTTAATTGGTAAGGATATACGAGGAGAATACATATAATGGGGGGGAACAGTGCTCTAATTATGGATGCGAGGGTCAAAAATTCTTTCAAAAATAATAAACAACTATTTATAGTCCTTATTGAATTTTATTTAAATTGAAATTTTGCCGGCCATTGTTTAAGCTTGGACTGGCTAAGTACTGGCTGCTTGGTGCCTCTCAGTTGTACATCGCCTGATGCAAACGCTCGCGCAGCACCAGCAATCGGACCTGCATCTGATTATTCTGATCCTGGTTCGGACCGCCCACCGTGGCAGTCTCGTTCTCCTGCCCCTCACCGGCATGATTCTCGTTCAGTGACAGCATCACCCTGGCCGGCACAGCGCCGAATCCAAAGCCCTGGCCCATGGTGCGAACCGTCTCCTCCTGAATGCTGGCTGCTCCACCTCCACGGCGCCGGCTGATCACCGGTCCCATATCCAATTCGCTCAACATTTCGCCGTTCCTTTTTTTATTATTAATAGTTGCCGAAAATGGTTACCGACCCTTCTTCTGATTGCGTTTCAATTTGAAAAAAATTTTTGTAATTTTTTTTTTTGGATGGAGGGGTCTGATCACGAAACGAACAATGTTGATTGTACCGGTTGAGATTCAGATCGAGTCTGGCCCCTATACCTCTGGGGAATTTTTCTAATACTGTCAGTATGTCCAAAGGGTTGCTAGGATTTGGATTTAAAGAGTATATAGGAACTGGACTACTTGGATTTGGATATTTTTAAGTATCTTACAAGAGATCTACAATAACTACCTCATTTTTGGACCTATAGACCCTATTGACCTTGATGTCCCTAATCGAATAATTTACCTATTTTCTTTGACTAATTTGTGTGGCATCCCATGAAGAGGCCCAAATATTGGGTCCCATTCCACTTCTTCTGCCAAGTAGCTGCTTTGAAAAACAAATAAGCAAGCGACTGGCAAATGGCGAAATGGAAATGGAAGGACCTTGCATGGAAGGACTACTACAAGGGGTACAAGGACTACATAGATGCTGGCAACACAACCGGCAGTCACTTGTCATCAAGTCTACTGAGTGATTATCTGGCTGCCTGCCACAACGTCGTCCTCTTCAAGGATATGTCTTCCTGTTGCAAATGAAAATTACGTTTCCCATCGTGTTTGTTTGCTTTTTCGCAAAAATTTTACAGACACACACACCACACACACACTCTATCCCTGCCTTCATCTACATCTTCATCTCTAGGGGGTTTTTTCTCGAGTCCTGGCCAAGTCCTGGCAACACACACACACAAACACACAACTCCTTAAAGCAAACACACCAGACAAACAAAAACAAAGAAAAAGAAAAAGAAAAAGCATCCTGGCATCCTGAAGGGAGAATTTACTCTTGTGCTTAGTACATTATTTCATTATTCCAAGTTGACGTTTTCATAAAAATTAAATACTTTTCGGTTTTTCCGCTATTTTCCGGCTCCCCGCTTTGCCGGTTTTCCGGTTTTCCGCTTTTCCAGTTTGCACTTTGCTCTCAGCTGGTTTTTTGGTTTTATTAGCCACCTGGCTTTCCCTTTTCTCTGCTTTCTCTGCTTCTCGGAGAAAGTGCCCTGGAGAGAATTTTGTGAAAATTTACTGCAATTCCTGGCTGCAGGTGGAAGTGGAAGTATCTCTATATCTTCAAGGACTTTAAAGGACTCTGTCCAAATGTATAAACTTAATTAAAGACCATAACCTGCGATGGGGTAAACTCTCGGGTTAAATGGCTTTTCGAATAGTTTATTTCCTTGGCCTTTTGACCTTCGGACGCAACTCGCAAGTTTTCTATTTATTTAGTCAAATTACCGGCAAAGCATCCTGTGATTTGGCCAAATGAAGCCTCCGCTCAATCATCATCAGGCCAAGAGGGCCAATTGAAGTGGCCCAGAACTGGCATAAATTATAGCCCACTCTCCCTCTATTGCCATTGGTGTTATGTCCATAATTGTCAAGGAGTCCGGAGTCAGCGTTTGTAGTTTGCAGCCAGGTCTCGTCCTGGCACATCCTTTGCCGCCGTTGCTGGTCAGCAGGAATTGCAATAATGAGACACCCGGGCAATTGCCAATTGTGCGAGCCACAGAAGCAGAACAGGACCACCCGACACTCTCCCCTTCTGGCCAGTTGCAACAATTCTGGCCCAAAGTGTTGACTTAAATTTCCTTTAATTACCTGAATTTATGGCCACAGGCAAGAGGACAATTGTCCCCAGTCAAGGTAGTCCTGTTATTTCTACAAAGGTGGCGGTTTATTTATATTTATATATTTTTGTAGCACTGCACTATGAAAAAAATAGGTTTATTTTCTATCCAGAATCTAGATTAGAATTGTATAATCCACGTTATTAATCTCAACAAAATTATATTTTAGGGATTTTATGACAGAGATTAAAGAAAAGAATGTTTCAAATTAATCATTTTGATTTATTTGGTCATCATTGAGAGAAATACTTTGAGGACTTAATAGCCTATTACTCATAGAAACATATATCCAGGGACTTTAGGATAATCCTCCATCCTAATACCCAATTATTCTTTTAATTCTTGTGTATTTTTTCCGAGTGTAGCGTTTGGGTAATGGCCTCCATAGCCGTGGTCGGCAATCTTCTGGTCCTCCTCGGGCGATACTTTTACAAATCGCGAAGCAACGTGGAGCACTCGTTGTACCTCCGACACCTGGCGGCCAGTGACTTCCTCATGGGCATTTACCTGACGCTGATTGCCAGTGCGGACATTAACTTTCGCGGCGAGTATCTCAAATATGAGGAGGCCTGGCGCCACAGCAGTCTATGCGCCTTTGCAGGTGCGTACGACCACCTCCGGTCCTCCGGCCACCCCTTGACCTCTATTATGTTAATGTAAATTATGTATACGCCGTGTAGGCTTCCTGAGCACCTTCAGCTGCCAGTCGTCGACGCTGCTGCTCACCCTGGTCACCTGGGATCGTCTGATGTCGGTGACGAGACCCCTGAAGCCCCGGGACACGGAGAGGATACGGTAAGTGGCCGGCCCAGAAGGGATAAATCATTTTGAAAAGGTCAAACAATGGTTGAGTGGTGAGTACGTGATGCTTGATCCAAGACCATCGTAATCTTTGGAGAATCAACATGGCACTACATGAATCAAGAGAAATGCATTTAATAAATTGAATTGCCAGAGTTTGCTCTAAAAACATGTGTTTCTGTTTATTTAAGACCGTAAAAATAATATCACAAAAGACAAATAAATAACGAATATGTAAATATTTATCTGCAGCATTGTCCTGCGTCTGCTGCTCCTTTGGGGCATCAGTTTCGGCCTGGCCGCCGCCCCACTCCTTCCCAATCCCTATTTCGGCAACCACTTCTACGGCAACAATGGCGTCTGTTTATCCTTGCACATCCATGATCCTTACACGAAGGTAATCTCCCCCGCCCCGATTTCCTTTTAATTTATTATATCTGTATCGTTTGGCTTCCACAGGGCTGGGAGTACTCCGCCTTGCTCTTCATCTGCATCAACACCGTGTCCCTGGTCTTTATCCTCTTCTCCTACGTAAGGATGCTGCAGGCCATTCGAGACTCCGGCGGCGGCATGCGGAGCACCCACAGTGGTCGGGAGAACGTGGTGGCCACGCGGTAAGATATACCTCACATTACTCTCTAATTAGAAACTTAAATATTTATTAAACCTGAATAGTTTCTGTATTAAGCACAGCTCCTAAGAAACGCACATTTTTCTCAAACTCTCTTAAAGATTTGCGACTTCATCATGGCTACGATTTAAGTCTTTAGTTTGGTCAATAATCCATCCCATTCTTAAGCGGCGTACCTTGAACGATTCTAGGATCAATTCCCCACAAATCTGCATCAAAATCTGAGAAGAAATTTTTGTATCCATTTTTTGAAAATTTTTCTAGGGTATCCCCTTCGAAAATTGAAAATTTGTGGGGAGTGCAACTTTGGCCACTTGCGATGGCCATATCTTTGTCAATATCCATCCGATTCTAAAACGGAAAACCTTATACGATTTGTGGATCGATTTGCTATAAATCTGCATCAAAACCTGGGATTACATTTTTGGATCCACTTTTTTTCGAATTTTTCTGGAGGATCCCCTTCGAAAATTGAAAATTTGTGGGGAGTGCAACTTTGGCCACTTGCGATGGCCATATCTTTGTCAATATCCATCCGATTCTAAAACGGAAAACCTTATACGATTTGTGGATCGATTTGCTATAAATCTGCATCAAAACCTGGGATTACATTTTTGGATCCACTTTTTTTCGAATTTTTCTGGAGAATCCCCTTCGAAAATCGAAAATTTGTGGGGAGTGCAACTTTGGCCACTTGCGATGGCCATATCTTTGTTAATATCCATCCGATTCTAAAACGGAATACCTTAAACGATTTGTGGATCGATTTGCTATAAATCTGCATCTAAGCCTAGGATTAAATTTTGGATCCATTTTTTTTTAATTTTTCTAGGGGATCCCCTTCGAAAATTTGTGGGGAGTGCAAATATGGGCCATTCGATGGCCATATCTCTGTTAATATCCATCCAATTTATTAGGGGAATACCTTAAAATAACCTTTATTACATCTCTTATCCATTCTCTTTTAAATATTTCGGTTTTATATCCTTTTCCTAACCAGATTCGCCATAATTGTGACCACCGACTGCGCCTGCTGGTTGCCAATTATCGTCGTGAAAGTGGCAGCTCTGTCAGGTAATTGCGATGCCTATATGGCCATATTATGGTAATATATTTATGGCCTTTCCACCTGCAGGTTGCACAATTTCACCGGATCTGTATGCGTGGCTGGCGGTTCTGGTTCTGCCGGTGAACTCCGCCCTCAATCCCGTGCTGTACACCCTGACAACGGCCGCCTTTAAGCAGCAACTGCGCCGCTACTGCCACACGTTGCCGAGCTGCTCCCTGGTGAACAACGAAACCCGATCCCAGACGCAGACCGCCTACGAGTCGGGCCTGAGTGTCAGCCTGGCCCACCTGGGCGGCGGAGTGGGTGGCGGGTCCGGACGGAAGAGGCTCTCCCACCGCCAGATGAGCTACCTGTAAAGGATGCAAGTAAACAAACGCAGCACGAGATCGACAGACTTACAGATAGTTGGGCCATTAGGGTGGCATTTTAATCATTCGGACATTCTTCATAACTTTGCCTTTGAACGAAAAAGACTTTCATATTTTATTCAGTGAAATTTTCATATTCCGCATCATTTCAAAGGCTAAAGAATAACTAGAGTCCACCCTACGTGAGCAGCGTTACATGTGATCTAATAGTTAAATTTTATTGTAAACCCCTTAAATACATACTCTCTCAAATGTTAGTTTATATTCTTGCTGTACAAACAATTTTAAATTGGTGATCGTAAATGCCAGGCATTGCCTTCCTTGAAAGCTCCCCTCACTTAGATCTAAGCCCTACCCTGGGGTTCGGTGGCAATATCCAAATCAGGCTGGATATAATAAGGTCCTTCATTAACGTATGCTGTAAAACGAATAGTCTCGGTGGGCGAGAACTCAGTGCTTACAGCCAGCATCTCCATGATCCCCCACTTCAGATACTTGACCTCCTTTTCAAAATCGCGCCGTCGCGACAAGAGGAACTCTATGGCTCCGCCGGTATTCTTTAGGGCCACAATCCCGAATCGATATTGACAGATGCTCTTCAGCAGCGCCAGGGCAGCTGTTTGGAGGTCCGGGAATGGCGTGGTAATCAGGTCCATGATGATTTGGATGTTCTGCCCACCGGCGAAAATCTCATACCAATTCTTTAGAATCGTACTGGAAACGAAAAAGCCATAAAATGTGTAAACTAAACAGAAAATTACAAAAATTACGTGATTTCCTGAGATGGCGGATTCGGTTCCACAGCATAAATCACATACAAAGAGTTTAGCAACCTTTCCTTGATCGGCGCGGAGAGATTCTTGATGTAGGAGGCGTACTTCTTCATGGTTATCTCCATATACTCCTGGTAGTGTTTGTTTAGGAGCTGCTTGCCCTGTGAAGTGGCTGCCAGATTGGTCAGAGTGTCCATTGCCGTGGGCAGGTTCACCTCATTCTCCGAGTGCAGCTGTTGAAACAGGCAGCATATCATGTGTGAACATCCAACTATAATCTTCTGCGGCTGTACCGCAGCTATTTTTCCGAAGAACTTCATGATGCTGGGGATCAGGAGAGCGTCCATGGGATTCTGCTCTATTTGCAGCACTCGGTTGTTGAAAACATCGAACACCTTGCGCCGTTCCATGTAGAAAAGGCCATGGTTTTGCTCCGCCAGAGGCGTCAAAATCTCCATCACACTGGCCTGCAGGAGGACGTCATCGTGGTCTAGCTCGCTGAGGGCCGTATCCAGGATAAACTCCACAGACTTGAGTGTGGAGGCATTACTCTTTGCCATATTAACGCCCAGCTCATATGCGCGACAGCGAACAACGTCGTCCTGCTGCAGCAACTCAACCAGTTTAGCCTGTACAGCTTCATCATTTACACACTGATGATGTACTGCGGACATTATTTGAATGACAGCAGCGCTCTCCACAGTATCGTGGCGCTTCAACTCGTCCAGTACAAGGCAGACGAGCTCATTCCCGGGAAGTTCCCGTACCCTGCCGGTATGAAACTGGCGGTTCACATCGAGGAGAATAGCGCGGATCACCCGCGAACGCACTACTGGATTCTCGTTGGTCAATCCTGCCCTCAGATGATTGGGCAGCTGTTCGTCGGTAATGTCCACCGGCAATTGGTTCAGGCAGTGGTTCAGCACCTTCTCAGCCATTTCGCTCACTTTTTCCTGGCCAGGACCACAGTCTTCGCCGTCGGATCTACTAATACAATCGAACAACTCCGGTGCATTCAGAAAAGTGCGGACAATGCCCAGTGGTCGCATCTCCTCGGTAAACGCCGTGTTTAGGCTATTGAGCGCGGCCAGGCGCCGAATCGGCGACTTTAGCGCCCCTAATTGTTCGTCCCACCAGCTCTCCTCTTCCATTACTTGCGTTTTTTTTACCTGTTCAAATGACCAAACAAGAACAGCCGTCTCTGTTATCGATAACTGGTGGTAGTGGTGGTAGCTTACCGCGATGTTAAACCGAACTTTTGGTTTTAAAATGCAACGAATCCTTTAGTTCAATATATACAAGATATATTGTGAAGCCCTAGCTATAATTTGTAGCCAAAACTATAAACTGAGAAAGTGCTTTTATACTTAAAAAGTATAAATTTTTCGTAGTGAACTGTTTCGGACAAAATGTGTCTCGGAACTGAACTTTCTTCTCGGAGTTGATGACAGCAAAAAATGACATTACTCCATGGCCTACTTATTGTTTTTATTTCTGTGTTGAACTGAATTTTTAAAAAACTCATTTTTAATCTTCGATAACTGTTATCGATAGTTTAACGATTTGACAACTTTAATTAAAACTACAAAACCATTAGATCTGTCAAATATTATAAGTAATTATTTTTTATACTATTAAATATATAGTTGTTTACGTTTTAATGAACATATTGTCACTTACGAGACGATGGCTGCAACCACCGATTCTTTGGACCGCTTACCAGCACTACCTTTTAGTCCAACCCTGAATTGACGCCATTTTAGAGGCGAGTTTTTTTTTGTGTGTGACGCGTTGTTGTATCTCAAGATTTTCCGCGTTGAAAAGTGAGAATAAAGTTCTCAAGGAGCCACTGGAGAGAGCCGGAGCAACAACAATGTCCCAACGCTTTGCACCTGGCCAAGCGCCGGTGCAGTCGCGTTACCAACCGCCGCCGCAGGCTCCCGGCATGCGTCCCTATCCGCCGCCAGGCGCCACTTTTCCGGTGAGTAATTGATCCCTGTGATTTTCCACCCTTTTCTGTGTATTTACTGTATATACCTATTTACATATATTCTTCTTCTAGCCAAGAGGTTTTCCCCTACACCCGAACACAACGCAACCTGTTCCTGGCACAGCGACAGCCCCAGGAGTTCCAGGCGGTCCTTCGCTGCTGCAGCGCGCCGCCCAGCCAGCCTTCCAGAGCGGTCTGCGCGGTACAGGCCAAGGAGGCGCTGGCGGTGGCACTGGTGGTGGCAACAAACGCTCCAATGAGTCCCGAAGCGGCGGAAAGGTGGAGTTCGTGGCCGCCAAGAAGAAGAAGAAGCTGGCGGACAAGATACTGCCGCAGAAGGTGAGGGATCTGGTACCGGAATCGCAGGCCTACATGGATCTGCTGACCTTTGAACGCAAGCTGGATGCCACGATCATGCGCAAACGCCTGGACATCCAAGAAGCTCTCAAGCGGCCCATGAAACAGAAGCGCAAGCTACGCATCTTCATTTCGAACACATTCTACCCCAGCAAAGAGCCCACCAACGATGGCGAGGAGGGTGCCGTGGCCTCCTGGGAACTCAGGGTCGAGGGAAGACTACTCGAGGATGGCAAAGGTGATCCCAACACGAAGATCAAACGCAAGTTCTCGTCGTTCTTCAAATCGCTGGTCATCGAGCTCGATAAGGAGCTGTATGGACCGGACAACCATCTGGTTGAGTGGCATCGCACCCACACCACACAGGAGACGGATGGGTTTCAAGTGAAGCGGCCCGGCGACCGCAACGTCCGCTGCACCATCCTCCTGCTGCTCGACTACCAGCCGCTGCAGTTTAAACTCGACCCGCGACTCGCTCGGCTCCTGGGCGTGCACACACAGACTAGGCCAGTCATTATATCTGCCCTGTGGCAGTACATCAAGACCCACAAGCTGCAGGATGCCCACGAGAGGGAGTACATCAACTGCGACAAGTATCTGGAGCAGATCTTTAGCTGTCAACGGATGAAGTTCGCCGAGATACCGCAACGCCTCAATCCGCTGCTCCACCCGCCCGATCCGATTGTAATTAACCATTTCATCGAGAGCGGTGCGGAAAACAAGCAGACCGCCTGCTACGACATCGACGTGGAGGTGGACGACACGCTCAAGAACCAGATGAACAACTTCCTGATGAGCACCGCCAGCCAGCAGGAGATTCAGGGGCTGGACACCAAGATACACGAGACGGTGGACACCATAAATCAGATGAAGACCAATCGGGAGTTCTTCCTGAGTTTCGCCAAGGATCCGCAGATGTTCATCCACCGTTGGATCATCAGTCAAACGAGGGATCTGAAGGTGAGTGCGAGAATGGGCTTACATCCCCCTAGGTGTAGACTAATTGGGGGTTTCCTTTGCAGCTGATGACGGATGTTGTTGGTAATCCCGAGGAGGAGCGGCGCGCCGAATTCTATTATCAACCGTGGACGCACGAGGCCGTTTCCCGGTACTTCTTCACCAAGGTCAACCAAAAGCGGGCCGAGCTGGAGCAGGCGCTGGGCATACGCAACGGCTAGTCGGATTATATGCTTCTGGTGGCATCCGTGCCCACGGCAACACTCTTTTTTCCTTCGCCAGTTTAGTTTAAGCCTAAAGATACATGTACTTTTTTTTGTCGTCATGCTGAAACCTCTCCTTACTTTCCCCCAATCGTCAGAAGCCTCCAAAGCTCAACCACCCATACCCCGCCCCCCCCCCCCACAAATATCGGACATTATATTAAGCAAATAAAATGGCATCTAAACATATAGAGAAACCCATGTACAGAAGGAGATGCAAGGATATCGGTTAGCAGTTGGCTAAAATTATGTTTTGATCAATAAAGTAAGATCAATTATTCCCACAAGCCCATTAAAGAACGTAATTTATTCTAAAATGTCTACTCTTTATTGTATAGTTTACAGTACATTTAAAAAAGAAATCTGTTTAGATTCTTAAAAAAAATATTAAAAAATGTTTTGCAATTTGCGGTTAGAATCACCTTTGGCGGCCACTCGGCCGTGTCCTGTTAACCGATATCGTCCACGTTCATGGATATTGTTCAAGTCTTCTACAGAGGTTTTCGGTTTATTTCACTACTAAACTAAAGAGACGGAGTTGGATCTTTCTGTTACATAACATGCGTATCAAAATGCGAATTGACTATGTGCCTAGGCTAGACCTAATGCTAGAGACGGAATGTGCTTGTGTGGTTCCGCTTGGAAGGTGAGCTAATTGCGCTTCTTGCGACTGGTGGATACCGAGGTGGAGGTTGCCGAGTCGGGGGTCTCGCCAATGGCCAGACCAGTGTCCACGCGACTCTTGTCCACCGGATACAGCCAGCGCTGATACAAATAGATGAGGAAGACGATGTCGTCGCGGAGGCAGGCCACCCGATGAGCCGTCGGCATGGTGATGATGAAGGCGAAGAAGTCATCGATGAAGGTATTGAAGGCCTTGTACATGAAAGCCCGCCACGGCAAGGCGGCCACGGACTTGAGCTTGTAGTTGACAAACAGTTGCGGCAGCATGAACAGGAAACCGAAGGCATAGACGCCATTGACGAGGGAGTTCAGGGTCCACGAGTACCAGGAGCGATGCGGCTGATAGATAAGCGAGTAGACAGCACCTCCCAGGCACAGGGGATACAGGAGGTAGCTCAAATACCTCATGCCCTGGCGATCGAACTGATCCGTTTGCTCCTCCGCCAGCTGTTCCTTCTCCCGCTCCTCCGGCTGGTTGCCATTCCGGCGATCGATCTGGTCCAGCTTCCGACGCACCAGACCGGAGAAACTTAGATCCAGGCGCAGGATCTTCTTGCATTTCCACAGCTCGATGAGGGCGCCCAGGCCGACTGGGACCAATACCAGGTAGGAGGTATTCTCATCCATCAGATACAGGAAGATGACGATCTGCGAGAAGGCACGCCACATGGTGGTGCGGGTGGAGAGACCCTCGTACGACTGCTTCTTTCGCCAGAAGGCCACGTCGTTCTTGAAACTGAGAAAGTCGAAGAGCATCTGCGGGGTGAAAGGGTTAATTAGCAACCCAATCTGTAGGTTTATTCCAGATTACTCACATGGATGCTGGACACAAAGATGGTGCCACACAACAGATAGACATTGGTGTCCGAGAAGATCCCCTTGACCTCGTCAATGTCCTTCGTGGCAAAGCCGATGGTGCGCAGAGCCTGGGTGGCGTGCTCCATGAGGAGCATCAGTCGCAGCTTGCCCACGCCCACGGGCTTGTAGTGGAAGGTGAAGGTGAACTCGGTGGTGTTCTTGGTAACGGGAACCAGGTCCTTCAGCCGCGTATTAAACGTATCAGTCTGTACAATGGGCAGGATCTGTTGCATCCTATTTACGCGTATCAGGGGTGCCATTTCCGGCGGCACATCAGCTTGTGAGACGGCAAACAAATCCGTCAAGAGAGTAACGTACACATTGGACCGAATATGGGTGCTGGGACGCTCGTTGGAGCTGGCCTTCTGGTTGTCTTTCTCCTTTGCGGATGCTCTTGGCTTTTCTGCGTCGCCCAGCAGATTAAAGGCCTCTGCCCGAGGTACCATGTAATCTGTGAGGCTGAGAGTGTGGATTACGGTGGGTCCATCCCGTCGGAGGCTGCGCCACTCCAGGGGCTCACCCTCCAGCGCCAGAACTACATGAAAGTAGAGCGATCCATTTCTCCGCGTCTTCAGCGGAATGTCCAGCTCAAAGTCGTGCTCAAAGTTTTTGGAATAGTCGAACCTCTTGGTCTTGTACAGGTCCCGCACCTCGGAGGCAATCGGATGCCGGTTCTGGGAGGAGAAGAGCGCCAGTTGGAGGTGCGGCTTGTCCGCCAGAAAGGAGGTGTAGCACGGAGTGCCGCTGCACTGGAGCGTCGTGAAGAGCTGCGACATTTGGTAGATGGAGTGGGCGATGTACGCCAGGAAGGCCACGCCCAGCAGCGTCGAGATCGAGGGCAGAGCCATCTCGCCGGCCACCGGTGGAGTCGAGGGTTACGCTCCGATGAGTTCCTGCCGTTCAGTTTTTGGTTCTGGGTGCTGCTGGGAGATTATAATCGGATGTGGACTGGAGTGGAAAGTAGAGCTGTCACTGCGAGCCAAAAAACAAAAGCTAGAAGCGACACATCCACATCGCCCCTTAAAATCCCGGTGGTGCCAGTAGTGTGACCAGTGTTGATCAAAAAAGCTTAGCGGCCATTGAAAGTTATCGATAAATGGTTAATCGAATATTATTATGGTTTTCAAAATTCAAAAATATCTAAGCCAGAATTGATTTTAAATAAGGTTTTTATTTTATTTGGACTATTTTTTTTATATAAATGTTTTTAGAATCATTTAAAGATTTTAATTCTAGATTAGAATCATTGAATATCTTTTTAGGCCACTTAGTTACTCCCCTCCAAAGTCTAAAACAAGTAATTGAAACACAAACAAACTTTGTATTTGGTAGCAGTTTTTATTTAAAGGTTTATATATAACAATATATAGCATATAGTATATACAACATGATTTCGTAAAATTAGGTACTAGAGTTTCATATAATTATAGCTATTAAGTACTATGTATACTCCTCCTCGTCGACTCGAGCAAAATTTCCAAACCTTTGGAATAAATTAAACGACTAAAATGTACACACTTTATGAAACGAAAAGATGACATAAAAAATTACTCAAATTTCTTTCTTAATATTTCATTTTTTTTTTTAGCTTTTGTGACTTTTGTTTTGTAAGTTTTTAAGAAGATAATGATAGAGAGAATAGATAGTTAGATAGTCCGTTCAGAGATGTGGAGATGAATGCTATAAATATGTGTAGATTGCTTTGATTTCGTACGAAATATGGGGGTATAAATAATCGGAAATGGGCAGGAAGCAGGAGGTTGTTAGGCGAGACGTTTCTTTCGACTAGGTGACAAGATTTTCAGCATTGTGACGACGGGCGCCTCGAAGGACATCGACACGACGAAGGACAGGAAGTAGGAGGCCACCGTTAGACCGAAGAACATGACGACCTGGAATCGGAAAAGGTATGTTTATAATTAGCCATGAAGTTAACTATAATTAACAAACAAAGTTTATTTAATCACGACTTGTACTTTGTTTGCATTTTTAAAAAATGCAAAAAAGGCGACAACTTTTTGTGCTTGTTTGCATTTTAAAGCTTAATGATCTAATTGGCTAGAAAACCATTTTCAAACAATGTAAAAATATTAACTCACCATCAGATCCCCGCCCAGATGCAGGGGCGCGTCCGAATTGAGGGCCATGGAACGAATCACGATGGGGTGGACCAGGTAGGCGCAGTAGGTGACCCGGGAGAAGGGATAAAGGCAGGGGGCGGATAGCAGCGAGTTGATGTAGCCGCCGTATCCGGTGGAGCAGGCAATGGTGATCCAGGCCAGGGACAGCGCCCAGGCCGAGTGGCTCAGGGAGCTGTAGGCGGCGGCCGTGAACTGCGAGAGATCGGCCCGATACAGTCCGAAGACCAGGACGAACAGGTTCAGCATGGCCAAGAACCAGGCGGTGGCCACCGTAAGCTTGGGCAGACGGATCTTGCAGTTAGTCCTGAACAGGATCCAGCCCACAGCCATGCCGATCAGATAGGGTCCCAGCCGGGTCCAGGGCTTGTCGTAGATCTTGTCGAAGAGCGCCAAAGGATCGTCTGTATTGGGACGGTGGTTGTTCGTGAAGGCTATCACGGCGGTGGTGATCCAGGAGAGGACCAGGAACACGAGAGTGGTGATGGCCGAGAGCTTGAAGTGGCGCACTCCCACGATCAGGATAATGGCGCCAATCATGTAGAACTGAGTGTCGTTCGCCAAGTACCAGCTCCAGAGCATGCACTGCAAGATATCAGAGAGGTTAGTAAGAGAGTCCCTAAGAAATATCCTTTCCAGCTCACCATCTCGTCCACAGGAAACAGGGTGTTGATGTAGAGGATGTTGCGCCACCAGTAGTCCGGGCAGGTGATGTGGTCCATGGTGGGCGGATCAAAGATCGAGTACGTGGCGAGGTACTTCATCGTCACCTGGACCACGCCCAGCACAAACAGATAGGGGGCGGTGAGGCGCATGAACCGGTAGGCGACCAGGCCGAAGAAGTGTGCCGTACCGGCCGTGAACTCGTTGGCTCCCTTGGAGAGCTTGTTCAGCTTGCCCTTGGCGTTCGTCCGGAAGTAGATGTACGAGATGAGGAAGCCGCTGATGAAGAAGAAGGTGTCCACGCTGAACGGCCCGTTGGTGATGGCCTGGAAGAAGAAGTTCTGCTCCACCTCCTTGCGCATCTCCATGTTGTCAGAGTACTTGAAGACCACGATGCAGGTGTGGCCGAGGATGACCCAGGCCATGCTGAAGGCACGCAGTCCGTGGATGCAGGGAATGGTGTCCGCGCCCACGTTCCTGTCGCAGATGGCATTGAAGTTCGTGATGGCCGAGAAGGAGAGCAGCAGCTCCGAGTAGATAGACAGCTTCTCTGGCTCATGGAGATGACCCTCCAGGTGCTCGTCCGAGTTGCTGTTGTTGCCGCTTCGGTGATCGTGGTGCTCGTGGTCATGATCGTGCTCGGCGTCGTGGTGTCCATTACCGCTGTCGTTGTCGTTGGGCGGCAGATTCAGGACAAGCTGATCCAGCTGCTTCAGGGAACTGGACTGGGAGTGATCGTGACTGCGGCTGGACTGCTTCAGAGGATCATCGTGAGCAGTCATGGTGTCGGAGTAGTCAGAGGAGGCACACCCGATGCCAGAGCTCGTCTCGCTGTTGTTCATCATCTCCTTGTCCTGGCGGCGCAGTGCCTCCTTGAGCTTCCGTCGCAGATAGATCTCGTAGAGCGTTCCGAAGCAGATCAGGCACATCACAATGCCGGAGACAACACTGGAAGTAGGGGTAGAGGTTTTTTTTTGTCAGTGTACATTTTGGGAATCTCTCGCCTTTAATCCGATTACCCGCTAACCACTCGAATCAACAGACGGAGTTTCGCTTTTTATTATAATTCGATTTTGGGAAGAGAGAAAAAAACTCATCCGCTAATGGCCAAAACCAACTGGCCAAAAGCCAGAGCTCTTTTTTTTTGCCTTTCATGTTTAGACAAACGATTAGACCCCGAGCTCGTTTAGAGATCTTTTGAAAGTGATTTTTGGACAACTTACATCAGCAGGCAGAAGGTCTTGTCCGCCCAGATATTGAACTCCTTGTCGGTAGGCACTCGGATGTCCAGGACCTTGAGCTCCCGGGAGGGCAGCTCCACATGCGCCTTTTCGCTCATCTCCCGGATATCCGCAATGGAGCAGCTGGAGGGCAGGCACATTCCCACATAAATGGTGCGCAGCTGCAAATTATAGTTAAAAAAATTTATATTTTTCCAAAGGATAGGAAAGGTGGGGTAGCTCCACTCACCACTTGGGTTGGCAGCGTCTCATTAAGCTGGATCTTGATCACGTAGAATCCGGGAACAAAGGGCGGCGGGGCATTGTAGACGGTGCTGTAGCCCTGGGTATGGGCAGCGGCGAAAGGTAAGCCACTGTTTTTGGCATCCGAGGAGTTGACCTTTGGGGAGCTGTTGTCCTTGCTGGGCGTGGCCATGGCAGCCACTCCATCGTCAATGGCATCGCAAAGGGCCAACGAACCCATCCAGTAATTGTTGCCATAGAAGAAACCGGATGTATAGTGTCCGGAAGCATCGTCCACTGGAGGAGAGAGAGAAGGGCATTCAGCCATCAGTTAAGCTCGAAATGCAACATATGTGTGCTACATGTAGCAAGTGTGAATGGGGCACATGAATGTGCCCCCCGGTCATTATGCAATGGCCTGTCGGCAAAAATGCTGCAAACTCATCTTGAAAGTCTGGCTAGGTCACCCATGAGATACCCTACTCTTGGAGCTAATACTAGATCTTTTTCTATCAAGTTAATCTATAAGATACTCTATAATAGTCTCTAAGGAATAAGTACTAGCTTAAAAACAAGATTAAAACATTTATATTTATTTGAAATTTAAAAAACTTCAAGAAGCTCTTTTGAAGTTCCTTCAGTTTTGTGCAACTGAAGCTGATTTATTTCCACAAACTTGAGGCTCAAAGTGTCTTGTATCTTTTATTTCTTACAACCAGTTGCAGGCTGAGATTGCAACCAGTTTTGAGTCGCTTTTTTGTTGAATCGAAAATGGCAACTAGAGTCATGCAACAAATCTTTTTTTTATTCGGTTACGGACAAGAAACAAACTCTTACATGATCTTACCCACTTGCATTTCCATTTTCCCGCATTTTCATTTTCATTTCCACTTTCCCGCAAGCCTTGACCAAAAAAAAAACAGGAACTCTTGTCTATTATATAACCTTACAAAGACCACTCTTAAGATTTTTTTTAAATAAATTACTCCTCCACTGGTCTTAGTCTGGCGGGCCTTTTTAACTTTTTTATGTAATGTTTAAACTTTTAAACATGTTTTCGATTTAATTTGGCGATTGAGGTCATTTGATTTGCTGGTAGTTGGTGGTGGTTGGCATTTCATCACCAAAAAAAAAAAAAAAAAAGGAACCTCCATAAAGATAATGCCAGCCAGCATATAGGTCGCTATATAAACACACATCACATCACATCGAATCACATTATAAAGCTTCGTACTTCTTCAATTGAACGTGTCATTCAGGCATTTAACGCTTTTATGTGTTTTCTGATCATTTTTTTTCTTTTTTTTTTTTTTTGGGTAAATGGAAGCTGCCGGATTCGAAGCCAAACAAGATCGGCCAACAGACAGACCCATCAAGGTGACAACAGTCATGAATAAGCTCTAGCCCCAGCCCAGCCAGAGGTGAACTTGGCCAAAGAGAAAGAAACAGACTTTATCGTGTATTCTTGTTAAGGTCACACGACATGTGATTTGTGTATATAGATCGGATGTAAAAAAAAAAAAAAAAAAAAGTTAATTAACTATATATATACTTGGCTAACCGAATTCCAACCTAAACTATTTGTGGCACTTTGTAAACCCCTGCCAAGTTCAAGCCGTGCACTTGAAAAACAGCCCACTGTTTGCCAGAAGATTTAAGATATAAGGCCCGAAGGTAAGGACACATCGGGCTCAAATCGGGCGGGGTATAAGCCAGAAGGTAAGCAAATGTGTTAACATACTAATACCCGATTGCAGTCGACCATAATGAATGGCGAAAACACCGAGGGAGGGGCTATCTGTCGATTTATAAACCAAAAATAAAAAATAGGAAAAAAAAAAATGGGGGTAAAACTCACCAAAAACCCAGTGACATGGCTGTTGAAATTCATTTGATTGATGAAACACAACCGATTGTATAAATATAATGGCAATAAATAATGGAAAATAGTTGCCATTATAATACACAAATACCTATTGTTGTTTGCCTTTTGCTATTTTTATAAATATTTTTTCAACACTTTTCGAACCAAATTGCGAAACGTAAAAAATGATATAAAACAAAAAAAAAAATAACAAAAGTATCAACAACGCGTCCCAACTGTTAACAATTCAATTAAGGCTTAAAAAAAAAAAAACAATTAAGAGAGATCTGCGTCACCAGAACCAAATATATAAATATGAAATGTCTTTAAATTAAATATGGTTTTGGTGTTACAAGAGGGTGTGAGTGTTGATACTATCCTATACTAGTAACTCTCCAGTATCCAGTATTCAGTATCCAGTATCGAGTATGAATTATGTTTGCTTTGCTCTTGAAAAAAACATAAAAACTTTTCATTTTTCAGAGTTTTTATCCTAGGAAGCTGGAACCAAAGCGAATCGAAGGTTTCCTTGCCAATAAATCTCCCAACACAGTTTCCTAGTCGGTTTTGGCCAACTAATTTTGGCAATTGCCTCATTTTTATTTTTTTTAAGGAGTTTCAGAATTTCAGAGGAAATTGTTTGGTTTTGTCATTAGAACCGCCAGAGTCCCCCAAAGTCTCAGCTAATGTGGAGACATTAAAGGCGTGTGTTGTAGATTTAAGATTCTCAGTCCGGTGTCGGTCTGGGTCTCGGTTTCTCAGTTTCTCGGGTTTGTCTTGGCCAAATAAATCCATCTTGTCATTTAACACGCAACGAAGCAATGAACTTGGCTAAAAGCGATGATTTGTTTGCTAATTGTTGAGGTGTGTCTATTAGATCACATCAAGAGGATATTATTATAGGAAATTCTTTTAATATCTTTGTGTGTTTTTCGGGGCTTATCCGAGGAGACAGCTCATAACTCATAATTACTATACTCTCTAACCATTTTTGTGTTTTCTTTGTAATAATTATAGCAGCCATTGCCTAAGTGAGTCGCATAATAAAACGTAATTTTTGTTTCAGATAGAGACGAGTGCCTTAGATAATGCTCGCTGATGACTTCCTGAATGTCTGTGGGGCTGTCGGGCGCTTGTCTCGTAATATTTACGCATTCAGGTCTCACATACACACTGATTTCTTCTCCCCACTCTCTACAGTGTCTTTTCATTTCAATGTCAATGTTTTCGGGGCTTAAACCTTATCACAGACACACACACAAAAAAAAACCATTGCCTTTGGCGCTTTCAACGCCCACTTATAAAAAAAAAAATAGGTAAAGCCAAAGAGTTGGCCTGTCTTCTGGGGTTTTTTTTTTTTCTTGTTGGCTGCGTCTATCCAAGCCAGATTCGGCACAAGGTCGGCTGCATCTTCGCTTTTTTTTTTTTTGGATCTGGCTAACTGGTATTCCGTTTTTTTTCATATCGACTTTTGGTCGATGACACGTGGCATGGTCATCTGGGCCGCTTTTACGCAACGGCTCGGATGGTCCATATTTCTGCGCATTTCTTTGAAACTGGAAAACTGGTTTTTTTTTCAACAAACTCAGGGCTGCACTTTTGAGCCCAAACTATGTAGTATGTGAGTCACCCGAATACAAGCCTCATTGCCAGGCCAGCAATTTGCCAAAATATAATTAGCCATCTGGCCGCTCACGATAATGCATCATCATCATAGGATTTCTAATTGAACTCTACCATCTTGGTCGAAAAGAGTTACCTAACCTAAGTGACAGCATTTCGCGACCCTAATGCGTTTCAATCAAAAGTGACGCGGCCCGGCCGCCCAAAATGCAATTATGGTCAATAACCCCAAATCGAGACTGTTTACTGTCGTCTGGCGGCGTTTCATAACCAAAAAACAAAGGAAATTAATGCCAGGCACGTACCAGTCAGCCGCTATTTTATTATTACTATTATAATTATTATATCTAACGGAAATGATCCTTACTTTTATCAGCCTTTAATCTTATAATATCTAATAATATTATATATATATGTATATATATTTTTATCTGATTATAGATTGTGGACTGGAAGCGCCAAGACCTTCAGACAAAATGCACTTTGTGCTATCCCCCATAGAAATCGATCGATTAGCGTTTCATTTGCCCAAGACCGAGTATCGCATTAAACTTGAAACCCCAAATGGATTTGGCAAGACCCAAGCCGATCCGTCATGACAAGCACAATTGGCAAATATTATATATATATATATCCGAAAATTAGCGCCGTCTCATGTTGGAATTTTATTGTAATTTCTGGCTAATTATTGTCGGCCTGTCTGGAAATATCTCAGTTGTGGCTTAAATGAGTGAGCTATTAACTTGTTTATTTCATTTTTCATAATAACTCTTTTTTTTTAATTAAATCAGCCCTACGACTAAATGCTATGACTGGACTTTAATCTTCTGGACTTCTCTAATCTTCTCTAATGTTCTACGCAGAAAAGTAGGCCATAGTTCTTTATTTTCCATCAAAGTTATTAATTGTATTTGTTTATTGGATTGGAATTTGTCCTAGACCTTTAAGCTCGGTGATTAAATGTGACTTTATGGCTAAAGTTGTTGTCCAATTGCAATGCGTGGTGTGGCAGTAGTGGCAGTAGTAGTTTTTTTCAACGCTCTTTTTTAATTACGCACAATTATCCGAAACGAGTTTGTTGCCTAAGTCATTCGTTTGGTTCGGCGGCGATAAAAACCGCTCCAAAATCGCGGTCAAAGTTGAAAGTATTTTACATACATGTCTCCACACCAATGAGCCGTTATTGTTAAACAACAAAGTAACAACAACAACAACAACTCATGCTTGTTTGTTGTCAATGCTGTCTTGGCCATAATTTCGTTTTCGCCAAAAACTTAAAAAAAAAAAAAAAACTGCAAGACATTGCAACAATCAAATTAAAGTTACATTACATAAGCAGCAGCTTTGATGTTGGCTGACCAGAAACTAAGAGAGAAAGAAGGAGAGAGACGGCTAGAGAGGCACTGAGAGAAATTTTATATTATTTTAAAGAGTTTCAGATAGAAGCTATAAAGGAAAATTTTGTTTTCTATTTTAATACTTAAATTAAATTTTAAAACTATTATATGTATATATTTTATATTTAAATTTACTTTATTTTAATTCAGTTTTTTTTGTCAGTGTCTTAGCTTGCTGCGGCTGCTGTTTTTTTTTTTTTTTTTTTTGATGTTGCTGCGACTTGGCGACTTGGCGTGTTTATTTGTTGTGCAATTTTTGTATCTCTGCCTCTGCTACTCCTGTTCCCTCTTCTATCTCTTCTTCTTCTTCTTCTTCTCTGGCTTCTTCTTCTGCTTCTTCTTTATTGCTTATTGCCATTTACATCAGAAATATATATGTATGTATGGTAAACATGGGAAAGCCGTAGAAATTATGTTGCGTGACGTTTCATTTCGCACAAAGACTGTAATTGGGGCTCTTACCAGCTCCCTCCATCCCTAGACCTCCATCCCCACCCCCTTAAAAAAGTCGGCTAAGTATATTGGCCCAAAAAAAAAAAGAAAAATATATGAATAAATAAAAAGGAAAAACCGTTGACCAACTAATGACCAAGCCAAGCTAAGCCAAAAACCATAACACGATCTCTTGCCACTTTTTGGCCAACTTGTTTTCGATTTTAATGTATTATTATACACAAAGATATAGTCCGACAGGTGAAATGCAATACGAGGTCAGACCCTGTGATTGCAGTAATTGTTTTTTGTTTTTTATGGTACTTTTTTTTTTTTTTACAACTTGTATGATTCGCCTTCTTCTGGGAATAATTTGCAAAAAAAAAGATTGTGAAAGCTTTTTTTTTTCTTTTGTATTTTCGAGGAAGTTTACCAAAAGATGATGAAGCTCTTTCGGTCAATATTTGCACTTCCTCTTAGACTTTTGCCGACGAACACTCAACAGTATTTGTCCACTCCACAAATTGGACAAATCTTTTGCCAGCCTTCCACTTGACTTCCAAGCTGGGGTAATAGTATTGTCGGTTTTTCAGTTTTTCAGCTTTTCAGCTTTTCAACCTTCAACCTGGCAATCGAGTTCACTCGACCGTAGCTGCCACCAAAGAATTGCAACTGAAACTCAGCCACAAGACAAAAAAAAAAAAACAAAAACAAGAAAATCCTATACAAATATATAATATGGATAGAAAAAAAAATAAGGTAACACATAGCCACAATTTATTAGCCATTGATCTTGGCTCTTGGATAGTTGAGACCCAAAAACCCGGCTCTGAAACCGAACTAGTGCCGGTGGAAATTATTTCCACGACACAAGTCGATCCAAAAGCGTTTAAATAACAATTTTCAGACACCAACGAGGCAGCCGGTTTGTTGCGGGCTGGAGGCAGGAAAAACTTTGACCCTGGCCCGTTCATGTGTGGTAATATGCAATATATCTTTATGTTTACATATCTATGGAGACATTGACATACATAGATGGCAGGTAACAGTACCAGACCCAGTCCCAGTCCCAGACCCAGACCCAGTCCCAGACCCAGTCCCAGAGCTTTCAGGTCCCCAAAACAGGTAACAACTTTTTACCATCTTTTTCATTTTTTTTTTTTGTTTAAATGAAGGAAGCAAAGAAAGCTGATGAATATTTGGTTAATTTTTTGTTCAGGATGTTTACATTTACACTGAAAAATATTAATAAATACTAAAGAGTTGCTAAAAAGGGTTTTAATGAAAAAATGTAAGCTTAGTACTTCTAGGAAAAAAATCCTCTAGCCTTTAACTCAAAAAAGGCCTTCAAAAATATTCAAAAACTAAACAATAAAGTAGTTTCCCAGTGGACTTCAAAATGTAAAAACATTTTAATTAGTAATTAAATTTAAAAGCAGGCCTTTCTCCAAAAAATAAATAATAAAAAAACGACCACAAACTGTGGCAAAAAGTAAAAAACACTTCCTGACTGGAAAAACCATTCGCTTGAAAGGCCATTTTGGAGTCTTTCTTGGAGTCTTTCTTCTCAGTTTCTCAGCCTTTCTTTCTCTTTCTCCATGAACTTGAACCGAGACTTTTAAGAGGCCACTTTCGTGCCAGTTTGGCCCATGGTGCAATAAAAAATAAAACTAAATATATAAAAAAAAAGAAAAGAAACTTTAACGGAGAGACTGAAACACTTTTATTTCTTCTTATTTCATTTTGTTTTTTTTTTTTTGTAAATTTTTCTTTCTCTTTTTTTTTTTTTTTGGTTGTCGGATTCGTCTTTGCAAGCTGGATTTTTTGTGTTAATTGATTACATAACCAGCATCTGGAGGAGAGTGGTTCGGTTTGTCTTGGCCAAGTCAGTCGGTCAGTGGGGTTTCATCGGAGTCAGGTTGCTGGAATCGATAGGATTGCGTTTTTTTTTTTTTTTTTTCTTTCTTTCTTGGGGGCTACCGGAGTACGGAGCGTGTGTGGTGCGAGGGGTGTGGTGCTTGTCGCAACCACCGAAATCCAAAAAAAAAAAAATCCAAAAACCAAAAATAAAACAAGTTGCACCACATTTATTCATAATTTCAGACTTTTGGCGCAGCTTTACAGAAAGAGAAAAAAAAATATGCATCAAAATTGGCAACAAAAAAATGACCAAAAACAAGATTATCATTTAATTGTTTTAAGTTTATTTTACTTTTTAAACTAACAATTTTTTAAGCTTTTGATTTTTTACAAATATTGGTTAGATTGAACCGTTATTCAATACCAAACCCCCTGACATAATGACCAAATAAAAATTGGACACAGAAAATAAAATCAAAGCGATAAACCAATTTTGGCCAAACAAGCTCAAAAGCCCAATAGCCAAAATGTAAGCCATCAAGCCATAATTTGATTGAGTTGTTGCTGCCACGGGGTGGTTGTTGTTGTTGCTGTTGCTGTTGTTGCTGCTGTTGCAGCTGTTGCATGTTGCTACTGCACTGGCAAGAACTAATTGCGACCTTGGCGATTTCTCGCTGCATATCGTGAGCTTATGTAGATTGTCTCCAACCACGATATATCTATATATCGCCGCCGATCGCCAAAATCGGCGAATGGCACGTTTACACATACACCGTAGAACGACGCAGTGTTGATATCATTTTCTGGTCTAGACTTTTAAGCCAAGATCAGATCGTGGCGGTTCGTGTGGCAACTGAAGGGAAGTGAATGGCGATCTGTGTTTGTCTTCTGGCCAACAAAGTAACACAAAAATTTAATAAATAAGTGACGATGCTATCGGAGAGTAATAACTTGACAAATATTTAACTTGGCCTAAAGTTTCTGGTTCTTGGGCTATAATTGGCTACTAAATCAATCAGTTTTCTATCAATTTTATGGCCTTTTTCGTGGTTGATTAACTTAATTGGTAAATGTGGTTTTAGGTTTGGTTTTTGGTTTACTTTTTTGGTAGTTTTGTCTTTAAAATTTTAAAGCTTAAATATTTTCTTAAATATGAGCTAACATCTTATTTATAATATTTCAATATTATAGCCCTTTAATCCCTTTCAACTTACTCTTCACGGCCCACATCTTGGCATCGCTGAGACCTCCCAGATAGCTTCTCATGTCCCGGCTGCAGTTGCCGGACACTCCGCCGGAGACCTCCACCTGACCCCAGCGCTCGGCCAGTAGACCCAAATCGAAGACATTCAGGGCATCCCGCAGGCGGCGAGTCCGGCTCAGGTCATAACCCAAGGCAGGATCCAGGTCAGAGGTCAGGCCCGTGTGCAGGCTCAGGTTAATCACATTGTGCTGATCCGAACCGGAAGAGGAGGCTGCCAACCGTCCGGCTGGTAGTTTCCCCTCGTCCTTGTCGATGGCCGCCTGATTGCCGGCCAAGAGCGAAACCAGCAGGGCCAGCACCAGAGTCCTAGCCATGATCGTGTCAATATATATATCTTATATTGGCCGGGCACGTTCCTGCGATGTCTCGTCTCTGGTTTATTGATTTTATTATTTTTTTTTTTTGGTGGTTTCTGTTTCACTTTCACTCCAGATATTACACACACACGAAAAAAAAGAGAACAACTAATAAAAAACAACAATAATAAAATCCGATTTGGGTTAAAAGCGTATTATTTATATTTTATTTTGCACAAGCATTTTCTCACACAGTTCCACGAATTCGAAAAAAACCGAAAAAAATATTAAATAAATACAATAGATCTGGGTCTCGAGATCCGTTAGAATATCCCCAAAAAAAATTAAATGTTGTGTTTCTTTGATGATAATTCGCACTTTCGTTTTTTATTGAAAAAATTGTTGGTGCTGCCTGTTGGAGGAGACACACGCGCTTCACAAAAAAGAGGAGCTCCGAGCTGCTGCGACGACCGTTTGGCATGAACGCACGTCGACGAATCGCCCGTCGAGCGTCTTGGGCAGCTGTAAAAATATGTTAACAATTCCAAAAACGCAGCCCCAAAAAAAAAAAAAAAACAAAAAATCAGACGTCAAGACGGAAAAAAAATCTCAGCTTACTCGCGCTCTCACTCTCCCGAAAGCGCAAGTGGCTGGCTTGAGCCAGGTTTTGAGCCAGGTTCGTTGCATTACCGTTAGCGGCCCGAACGAAAGTGCTTGGCGGCTCTCGGCTCTCTCAGTGAGAGATGGAGAGAGAGCGAGAGAGAGAGCGCGGTGTGGAGCCTGAAAAAAGCAAAAGCCCTGCGTCATCGGCTATGTTGTAATCGTTGTGCGTGCCTGTGTGTGTGTGTGTGGCATTATGTTATATGGACTTTTGGCGAGAGTGTGAGTGTTGCAAAAGTGGCCGCAAAAATGAAATTAGCCATTGATATTTGAATAAGCCAAGAGGACTGGAATGATGGCTGCAATCGCAATCACAATAACTATAACCATATAGCGCTGGGCCAAAATTCCACTAAAGTCGGTCAATCGGTTAGTTTTTAAAAAAAAGCCATAAAATTGCAATTCCTAGATAATAAACCTATAAACATGATATAATAGTAGATATATCTTATATATCTTATCCTCAAAGAAAAAAAATACGCCTTTGAAGAGATCCTTGCGCCTTGAAAGCTGCAATGGTTTTTTTTAACTCCCTTTTCAAGGCATTATTAATAGAAACCTTTGTATTAAATCATCTAGGTTAAATAAATGTAAAAATATACCCAAAAAATGATTCATCCAAAACCAAACCATATCTCATCAAAAATGTCTTGAAAAATCCCACCAGAAATACAAAGTATTAATTATAGAGATCAAAAGTGATTGAGAAATGACGAGAATCCATAAATTAAATGGCCTATAATTTGCAGCTAACATGCAACAAACATTTTCCATGTTTGGACATTCACTTGCGAATCGATAAAAATCGAAAAAAAAAAAAAAAAAAACTACTCCACCTGCAATATTCCCGTTCCCACTCCCCAAAAATCCAGTCGAAACGACGGGATTGGAGGAATGCCAACCCGAAATATGTTGCAAGAGATGGAACAATTGTTGTTGTTTCGGTTTTTTGTGTCACTGCTGACCCGTTTTGAGCCAGCCAGCAAAACGGGTAAGATGGAGAGATACTTGCTCCTGGCACAGATTCCGCATCGGGGATTCAAAAGGCTTTTTAGGGATGGCCAGAAGATCGATCGACTTCTGGGAAAACCCCACATTTCCACCTCCTTTGCCATCCTGCTCCCCCCCAAACAAGCCATAAATTATGCAATCCCTGAAGCGTCCAAACATCTCGTGCAATGCTTTTCAATTTTCCACAAAAGCCACAAATAAAAGTTGGGAACGAAAAAAAAAATAGTCTGAAAGCCAGACAGAGACGGCCTCATCGATGGCGGCTATGGCTGCATTTACCGTTAAGCAAATGGAAACCAGTTCTGAAGAAAAACAAAAAACAAAGGTAGAAAACCTCAAAAGCTGCCAAAAATTAAATGCTAAGTGGTAAGGCGAAACAAAAATGCATTTTGTTATTGCCAAAAAAAAAAAATAAAAAATACGAAAAAACAGAAGAAGCATGACAAAGATCTTGCAACGGCAAACGGGTTTAAAAGGGTTTCCAAAAAATTAAAAAGGAAAAAAAAATGCATAATTGCATTCAGAAGCCAGAGAGATGCCAGAGATCTCGATTAATGCACTCAAAGTTCAATATCACTCAAAGCGAGAGGGAAAAAGCTCAACGCCGAGACAGAGATGGAGCAAGGGATGGAGATGCAAATGAAACCGCAAAATATTTAAGGTTAGCCCGCAGGCTGATACACTTAGAGAAATAGTATTGCAGAGGATTAATATTTGAAAACTTTTCTATAAGAATAGGTTAGATCCAAACCTCTCTAAAGCATAAATATAGTTTTTTGAAAAACTTTTCTTTTCTCAGTGCAAGGGTCTGGGCTTATGTCTGTCGGTTGGTACACGTAAGGTTTTGTGAGCTGCTGTCAGCAAATTAACAAAAAACAAAAAAAAAACAACACACACTCCAAAAAAAAAAAAAAAAACCTGTCGGTAGGGGGGGTCGAGCTCATATCTTAATGAGAAAAGTGAAAGTGTCAAGAAATAAGCAAAGCGACGACCAACAAAGGTTCAGTTAACAGTGAATAAATAAAAAACGCGCCACTAAGCCACCAAAAAAAAAATAAAATACAATAACAACAACAACAACAACAAGAAAAAAATGTTGAATACGAAACCAAGTCAGAAATCGGAAATTCAGAAAATCAGAAATCAAAACGATTAGCAAAGCCAGGTTCGAGCCAGGTTATCTATCAATTAGCCAACCGATAACCGAACTGAACTCAAAATCTAGGTCTGGGAATGGGGAATTGTGAGGTTCACCTGGGAAGCTGCGGTTTTTTTGATTAAGATCTCCCCATACATATATAATAATATTTTTAATATGACCTCAATTACTTCATCATTTCCTTAATACACCAAAATATAATTATCTCTACTCTGAATTATTATTTCCACTCTGAAATTTTGAATTTAGGTCAATGGGAATATTTTATTCGATGGGTTATTAATTGAAAAATCATGAAAGCCTTGGGGAGTGGTGGCTTGGTGGCTTGGGGTTTTTGAACCTCAATTCTTATAACTGAAGAAGCTACATATATTCTATTCAGTGCACTTGACTGTTTAGTCTTGGCACTTGGAAAATTATTCAACCAAATATTTGATTGCACAAATTTTCACATAGTTTTGTTTTTGTTTTTTTTTTTTTTGTGGATCACTTACTGGCCGGGCCAAAACAATAATGTCTGTTTTGTATTTTTTTTGTAATTTTGTTATGGCTGTTGTTGGTTTTGGTATTTTTTTTTTTTTTTTTTAATGCCATTGTTGATGCTCTTGTGTGGATGTTGGGGATGTGTTGCTGATGTTAATTGTTGCTGTTGCTGTTGGCTGTTTGCGCTTGCGTCACGTTTTGACATTTTGACCATGAACGCATTTCTTGGCAAGGAAAAACGCACACCAATTTGAAAAGAGACAGCCAGATATCTAGGCAGAGAGAGAGAGAGGGCATGTACCGGAGCAGATCGGATGAAATTGAACCGAAAAATGTAGCTCGTAATCACGGGCTTCTTTCCCCATCTCTAGCGGTATTTTTTTTAATTTTTTTTTTTATAATTACTTCATTTGCAATCTCTCGTGTGGCAATAGAAGAAACTACCGTTAATTAAAAACGCAAACGCGAGCGAGACCGAAAAGGGAGAAGTAACAGTACATTGAGAGAAACTGAGAGAAAAGCTCAAAGCTTGAGTTCACAGTGCGTATACGTAATATGAGGTCTGCCATGCATTACTCATACGCCATGTTGCCAAATACTAAAGATTTTCTTTTGGAAAAAATATAAGAAAATACATAGAGTAAGTATAAAGTATTTCCACTGTGTATGGAAGAGAGAGGCACACGGCTGTCATAACAGAGGCGCCAAAATATTTTCACTTGACTTTTGTGGCACGGTTTTTATGGCCACGCGAAGTTCACCGGGGAACTCTCGCATCGGTAAAAGGTAAAAGGGGAAAATGGGAAAGGGACAGGGACGGTGGTGGGGGTGATGGGCAGAAAATTGTTATGCAATGAAGAGAAAATTGACAAAAAAAAAGACAAAGCGCCAAAATACAAACAAAACCGCGTGAGAGACTGCGACACAAAAACTGCAATGTCACTTAGGCATTATTAATGCCTGGCATTTTTCGGGAGGGCGTGCCCCGGGGGCGGGGATGCGAGCACATGAGAAACGCCTTGTCCCACCGGACGGGCATACAGCGGACAGGCGGACAGGCGGACAGATTCACGGACAAGCCGACGGACTGACAGACAGCAGCGTTAAAACTGTGCCACGGTAATCGCACCGAAACCGAACGTACGGAGGCTGTGCTGGAATGCTCGATCTGCAAGTGCATGTTAATGGCTTGTATGTGCCCTACACTGAGAGAAATCACTGTGCCGTACACCTCAAAAATCGAAATCTGAATCAAAATCTGAGAACAAATTTTTGGATCCATTTTTTTCGAATTTTTCTGGAGGATCCCCTTCAAAAAAGGAAAATTCGTGGGGAGTGAAACTTTGACCCCTTGCGATGGCCATATCTTTGTCAATATCCATCCGATTTTGAAACGGAATACCTTAAACGATTTGTGGATCGATTCTACATAAATCTGCATCAAAATCTGAGAACAAATTTTTGGATCCATTTTTTTTTAATTTTTCTGGAGGATCCCCTTTGAAAATCGAAAATTCATGGGGAGTGCAACTTTGACCCCTTGCGATGGCCATATCTTTGTCAATATCCATCCGATTTTGAAACATAATACCTTTAACGATTTGTGCATCGATTCTCCTTAAATCTCCATATTTACCAAATCTGTCCGTGTTTTCCCAATATTTTTTAAATTTTTTCCCTATTTTCTTTAAAAATACTATTGCTTATTAGCGTGTTATGTTGTTTCTGTACATATTCAAGCCATATATATGTGTTTTGGTCCATAAGCCCATAACTGTTAACTGTAAACTGGAAACAGTTAAACAATAATGACCCGCCAGACAGTTTCAAAGTTTATCGCTCATACGCAATGATATCACGCATACGTAGCTTCATTACTCATACGCAGTGTTGCCATTTCATAATTTTAAAGATTTCAAATTAGGTCGTCTGTTTGCAGGTTAATTCTTTTGAAAGGGAATTTGAAAACAAATCATGAAAAGATGTACCTGTTGAAACCAAAATAAAGTCTCTCTTTGGATTCAAATGTGCAACAAAATGCCTAAAAGTATATAATAGTTTACCCATTGTGGGGTTGAGACGAGCGTTACTATATCTATGATTAGAGTTCCCTTCAAAAAACCCCGAAAATATAAGTCACTCCATCGCTAGAAACATCTGTTAGTCATATAATTGATATGTTTATGCGATTTATTTCGACTTATCCATTCGTCACAGACTTAGTAACTGGCGTATCTATAGGATATGGTAGTACTTCACGTACGGATACATATATGTATATATATTTAACGCTATATAGAACTACACCTGGTAGGAGTATAGTCGTGTATAATTTCCTTCTAAAGCTGAATGTGCAACATCCTTCGTGTGTGTGTATATCTTAGATATATAAATATATATATGTATGTATATATTCATATGGTTGGTACAAATATTGGTATCAAAAATGAAAAAAAAAACAAAAAATACAGCACGTCTAGCAAAACATATATGTCCATATAAAACGACACACTAAAACAATTAACATTTCTCATGATCATGATCATATATGATATATATATCGTTCGATTAACGATTTTGGTAGCACTAGTGTTTCATTTTTTGGTTGGTTGGAAGCCACTTCAAATACTGACGACGCTTCTGGTGCATCCGGGGGAAACTTCGAGTCCATAATCTATGGTATATATATATATATATATTTCTACTATATATTGGAATTATCACAAATGCTTCGGATCCTGCTCGGGGAATATCAATCAAGCCCGCTGGCTGCGCTGCACAGTGTCCCTCCTGGATGTTCCCTTCGACCAGCTCTGCTCCTTGGCGCTGGCAAAGATCAGGTATATGAAGTTACCGGCTATGTTCAGGCCCGCTGCCAGCCAGAAGACCAGATGCCACTGGGTCAACGTCTCCCGGTGATTGATAATCAAGCCTATTACATAGGGCGCCAGGAAGCCGCAGATATTCGCCGCCGAATTCGTTATTCCGTACATTGTTCCGGCGTACTTGGGACTCAGGGCGATGTGATTCATTTGATTGCCGGCATAGACGGCGCCACCGAAGGACCCAACACCGGCCAGCATTATGGTGACCCACACCCAGTCGCAGCCCACATAGATGATGCCGATGAGGCCCAGGGAGGGCACAACGGACGCCACCGTATTCCACAGCTTGTACGAGTTGATGAGGGAGATGTAGCGACGGGCGAGCATCCAGTCGGCGAGGGCGGAGCAGGCTATGCCCATGATCCAGGCGGTCAGGTAAGGAACAGCGTTCAGCACGGCGTTCGACTGGATGTCGAAGTGGAGTATGTTGCTCATGTAGGTGGGCAGCTCCGTCAGCTGCGTATAGAAGGCCCAGCCCTGGCCGCACTGCGTCAGGAGGATGGCCCACAGAGGCACTGAGGTGGCCAGCGAACGCCAGGGTATCCCCTCATCCTCGGCAGGTCTTCTCATGCTTACCCGGTCCTCCTGCTGCTCGCAATCTTCCTCGATATCGGGTTCCTCCTCCAAGTCTGGCTCCTCAATACGTCGCTGGGCCAGCAGGCTGCGTTCGATATATTCCCTTTCGGCGCACGAGATGCGGGGGTGATCCCGGGGCTTGTCGTACACCAGATACATCCAGCAGGCGAACCACAAGATGCCCAGCAGTCCGAAGATGTAGAAGGCCGAGGGCCAGCCGCCCAGGAAGTCCTGCGAGCACAGCCATCCGGTCAGGGGCATGGATATCACCGTGCCAATGTTGGAGCCAGCATAGACGACAGCGGCAAACTTGTTCCTCTCCAGCGGCGGGATCCACTGCGCCAGCATGGCGTGCATAGCCGGGTAGGTGACACCCTCGCCCATGCCCTCCAGGACGCGAACGAGGACCAGCAGCGGCAGATCCCAGTGGGCGGCCAGCGGCGTGAGGAGTGTGAAGATGGCCGTAATCAGTACTCCGTACCCGTAGATTCGCTTGCCGCCGTACAGCTCTGCCATGCGTCCGCCGGGCACCTGGGTGATCACATAGCCATAGAAGAAGCTCCCCAACACCAATCCCTGCGTGGCCTCATCCCACACGAATTCACCTTCCCGGATCGGGATCGGAGCGCTGCCATTCCCTCCGGGCACTGGAGGCACGGGACACGTATCGGTGTCGATAACGGAAGAATTGCTGTGCGGGATAGCGGTCTGATTCACCATGGCCACGATGGCCACCGATAGATTCACGCGCATGGCGTAGACGACGCCGAAGCCCAGGAAGCCCATGAGTCCGAAGATGTGTCGGGTCTTCAGCAGGCCGCATCCATCGTTATCTGGCGGGGGGAGAGACAGTGGATTATTTTGGAGGCGTATTACCATCGACATGTTCCGGTAGTTGGAATGCCATTTAAATATTTAATCAGTCCGAATGATTAAAAAAATAAACTGCGCCATAAATGATACATTTTCCTAAAGTCAGGCCTGGCTCTGGTGAACCCGGATGGCTCTTAAAACTACAATATTTTCATAAAATATTTTAAATGTTATCGTTTTTCAGAAAAAAATATAATATTTCCCTCTTAGATAACGCTCCACTGCGGCATGAAATGTGGCATTAGGAGGCATTCCAAGTGGATATAATTGAATGTGAAACGGCAATCGGAAAACCAGAACATGGATGGTGCATCTTATCGAAGGTACTCACCCTCGGGTCCGGCACTGGAGCGGATCAGCGGCCGTTCGCCGGAACAGAAGGCCTCCCGTTCGTCGTCCGCCTCGTCGTCGGTGCGATCCCCGGACCCCGATCCATTCGAGGAGGATGAATTCCGGCGGAATCGAGTGGCAGTGCCGGCAGAGTCCTCGTAGTAGCAACTGGCGTCCCGGGACTCATCCGTCCACTTGTGCGGTGGCATTGTTTTTTGAGGATTCTTACTGTTTTTGGATATGGATTTGGTTCTGGAACTGGAGCTGGAGCTGGAACGACTGCAACTGACAGGGCATTTTCCCCTTCCGCACGGAGTGGAGGCGGCGGACGGAGGGCAACGGGCGATGAATGACGGGAACGGATCCAGAAACAGGGAGAGAGCTCACCTCGACGTAGCGGGAACCAGCGCAGACTGGCAACAACAAAACCCAAACAATAGCTTCTAACCATGAGAGAAATAACAACAACTAGTTGAGGGCCACTGGGACGTAGTCTTTATAATTTCCAAAAGGGATATAATTCAAGAAACTAACTAAAAACTAACGGGAATATAGTACAAGCTCAAGGTGGATAATAAGAAGAAAAAGTATCAAAACCCTACCAGCTTAACCATCCCCCTTTCTACGCCCATGTTCTAATATGCTCTCTCTCTCTGCGCTCTCCCCGTGAAAGTGGAGCAATGGCAGCCAAAAGAGCCACTACTACGTCATCCGGGGGTGCAAGAACCGAAGAGAGAGAGAGTGTAAAGGGGGCCTTGGAGCGAGCGAGATGGCAGCAGGCAGAAAGAGAGAGCAAACGGTTTTTTAAGTACAATATCTTTGTTTAGTTACAGCTTTAGTTTCCCACTTACTAATACACTAATTCCAGCCACCCGCACACTAACATACCGAAGCAGTCTGAAGAAGACACGACCCAACGTGTCCAGATGGCGAAAAAGCAAGGGAAACTTGTGTATTAGCCAGAAAAAGATTGGCCACAACTTGGGAGAGAGAAAGGTAAAGATTTCTCAACACACACACAGACCTGGCCAACACAATAGCACTACAAAAGATACCAATTCGCACACTTCAGTTACTTTTCTATCTTTATCTAAACTTACAGCCCAAACGATAAGATAGTAGTTCACAACTATCACCATTTTATACATATTCTGTTCTAATATTTTGACCTGGAGTGTGCAGGGTGTCCTGCCTATACTCAATTTTCACATCACTGTTTCCTACATTTTCCAGAGATTTTCATTTTCTGGGAAAAGTCTCCACGCATGCCTGAAAAGCGCCTGTTGCACATAGAGATAATGTATTTAGGACCTACCCCAATCACCCACTATATATAAAGATCCTTTAAAATTAAAAAAAAAAAAAGGGTATTGGATTAAAAAGCTTTTGTAAAATATATTCCCCCACGTACTACACAAAATTCACACATTAAAATGCTTAAGAGAGGTATAAAAAGTATGGCTGATCAAGCACCTGGCTGCATATCCTCGAACGTCCTGGGATCATCTAGTTCGCATAGATTGTGCCAATGGGAAAGACGACAATCCGCCGTTTATTGCCCAACTCCAGGCATTCGTAGTGATAGTTCTTCTCCACAAGCACTTCGTTTTGGTTGGCAGTGAAAGCATCCTTGATGGGAGTCAAGTCTGGGTTAAAGCAGTTGATGGCAAAGACATCCGTGGGCAGGCGCAACACCAGCTCATAGGCACAGGCCAGCTTTTCGTTCCAGATGCTAACCTGGCCAAAGAGCAGGGCATCGCGTTTGGCCAGCTCTCCGGCCTCCTTGGCGGTGCGGAAGACGTCCACGGTTATCACTCCAGTGGCTCTTCCATCGCCCAGATAGCTGTGCACTGTGTCGTACACCAGCAGGGGAGATTCCTCCGGTTTTAGGTGCGTACCTTTGACCACTTTCAGTTTGAGTTTGTTGATCTGGGCCATAGCCTTTACTCGGATCGGATTCTTGGCCACCGCCTCGCTCAGGGGACGCAGATCGTGTGCCAACAGACCCACAAACTGCTCGGCTATGCTCTCCTGCAACAGGACCGTGGCAACGGCGCCCGGAGCGAAGGGATCCTGCAGGGATGGCAGCAACTGTTGGCGGGCAGAGTTCAGGTCGCCGGCATCGAAAATGATCATCAACTGCGGCGTATCGATTCCGTTGCCCTGTGACAATCAGAAACGGTGGTAAATGTCAAGGTTATGTCTTTGATATGACGCTTTGAACAGACCTGGTTTTGGCCCGACAATATGGCTTGGTTTCCTGGTAGTTCGTTGACCATGTCGCTGCTGATCCGAGATGGTTCCTGGACTTGGGATTTGCAATTGCTCGCCATGCTTAGCACCCGGATTTCTCTAAAAAAAAGAAAAACACACCCAACTGATCGTCTTCGTTATCAGCAGCTTATATATGTACATACGTATATATATAGTACGATCGCCACACGCGAAGATCGGCGATAGGATGGAATTGCGGTTTGTTTAATCGTTAAGCAACACTGATAAATAACTTAATTAATTTTTCTAGATGAAATCCTTATAAAAAAAATAACTACACAAATTTTGACTGATATAAACTATTGTTGAACTACGAATGTAAAATATAACAAAAAAAAGCACAAACATAACACATTTCTCAATGCCTTGGTGTTTCCCAACACTTAATCTGATAATTTTGAATTTGGCGCGCAAGAAAGTCTTATCGATGGCTTGGACTCAAGTAAATTCTATAAATCTATGGTGTATTGAGCTTAATCTTTTATTTTATTAAACATTATTTATACTCTTTTAAAACATAACTTTATAAAATGTATAACAAAAAATATCGATATATATAACACACCACATAAAAATACCAAAAAAAGGCATTTAGTGGGATCGTTTTATCGGGGGGGGAAAGGCAAACCGATGTCTGGCAACACTGCTACTACGAATTCATTTGAAAAAAAATTGCAGTTGGACGAAGAAGTTTATTTAATTTAATGTATTTGTATATTGTATTCTGTCATATGAGCGTATCAGTACAGTAACAGGATTTGAAGAGGGGAGAGAGATTTACTGAGGCCAGGGCCGATAAAGGCAGAGAAACTAATATACAGAGCGAGCGAGACAGCATATATGTACATATATAGTAGAACAAAAATCAAAGCGAAAATAATTTGCAAAATTGGCTGCGAATTTTCGATTCTGCGACGATTTTTCACACCTATATATATATGTATGTCATTGTATATGCACAACTAAAAAAGCAACCATTCATATGTGTGTGCGTACACCATATATGCATGTATATATATGTATATAAATATATATATATATATATATATTATTCACCTACTGTACCACTCTTCCATTATGTAAGCAGACAAAAAGCGACGCTAAATCCAAAAAGACAATGCGAAAAAATTACCAAAAAAGCGAAAAAAAGTCATCTAAAACAACGACAAAAATGAAAAGAAAACCAAGCCAAAAAATGAGCATACATATAACCGAAAATCAATCGAACAGCAATGTTATAATCGAGTAAAAAGTTCTAATCGTTTAAAAATCCACACAAAGTCACAAATCCAAATGTAAGATCCGAAAATTGTTTGTTTTTAGTTGGAAAAGACAAAAAAAAAACGAAGAATACGCATTTTCTGTACATATGTATGTTTGTATGTATGCGCACATATTGCCTGCTTGCTCAGACATCGTGCGTACATACATACATACAACGTGCATACATGCATGCCGTATATAAGTGTATCTGTTACGCCACGCCCCAAACCTTCACCTAGCTGCGGGTTAGAGCGGGACGGACGGATGCGCAGAAAGGGGGGGTAAAAAGCCCCCACAAAAAACAAAAAAAAAAAACGAAACAAAACCAAACAATTTTCGGCTTTTGAAGACATATCTATTGTATTGTTTGTTTTTGAAAAACAAAAAAAAACTCAACTTCAATGCCCCCCAAAAGCGATCAACAACGAGGAAATCTACATACATATATTTGTTATTTCCATTTCCAAGGCGCATACACATTTACATATGTATTTCAATATATACATACATATGTACATATGCTGGTGCGAGCCTGAAAAACTGCGCAGCTGTTCAAATTCACATAAACACACACACACACAGACACACACACATACCACATCGTAGCAATCACGCATTGCAAACTCGATTTAGAGAGAAAAATGTTCAAACAATGAGCTAACTTTCGCCTCATTAAAAAGTTATTTCGTGGATCGACAATCATTTAAATGCGAAAAGTGTAAGCAATTTACAGTTAATGTACATACCTATCTACCTACATACATACATATCTTTTTCCTTTCTATATTTCATACATACACGCTATAGCGTGTCTGTATGTTTATAAAACATATGTAGTACGTGGTGCGAGGGAGATGACATGATAAACAATCCAAAATCAGAATGAAACACGCGCTCGGTGTTGAGCTCTATCATATCGCTTTGTATTTACCATATTCATTAATTAGATTTGGATTCTTTGAACATTTTGGACTTTTCGGATCAAGCCTCCCCCCGCTCCCCCCTATCTGATAAACAAAACGCACACAAGCACGCGCTTTGGGCTTGAAAAGTGCCTGTGTGTGTGTGTGTGTGTTGTGATCTGTTGAACGGTACTTCTTTAAAAAAAAACAAAAAATACAATATTTTTGAAATTGTTTTCCAAACTTGGCTTTATTTTCGCTTTTTGGTAGAAATTTTTCACATTTTTGTATCTTTAGGATATGGAGTTCATTTTAAAAATTTATTTATTTTAATTATTAACATAAAATTATTATTTAATTATCTTTAATTTATCACTTAATTCTTATCTCTTTTTTTTATCAACCAATTATTTTGATATTTTCTCATTTTTTCTTTTTAAGAAATACCCACTATATTTTAATCTTTTTTTTTAAAAAATAGCAACTTTATAAAGTAGGCCTTGAATTCCAGAATTTTGAAATTCTTTGGAACCTAGGAATCTTTGCTTTTTAAAGCTTAACATATTTGGAAGCTTGCTGGTCAGAGTGTGAGGTGAGGGGCTCCCCACCAAAATAAAAATAATTATTTTTCAAGGAATATATTTCTGAATATAATATATATATATATATATATACGATGCTATAGGTTTACGCAATATAGAAACCCCTTAAAATTAAAACCAAAATATGTATATAGGGATCCATTATCCTATGACCTTCTTTTCCAACCAGACATTTTTCCATATCCTCCTTTGCAGTTTCCGATTTTTGAAAGCCATACGGATAAACACTATTGAGATTCACTTTTTGTGGTAATTCACTGTGATTGGTAATTAGACCGATTTATTTTTTGGTGGTCACAATGTCATCCATTGCGGTAATTGATTTGGCTGAGGATCTCGAGGACGGTGAGATAGATGATGATGATGATGAGGACGAGCAGCCGATGAAGCAGCCGGCACAGCAGCAGCAACAGCATCAGCAGCCACTAGCGCCGTTAAAGAGATCACTCATAGCCGACGAGGATGTCCAGTTTATGGGCATCGAGATGAAGAACAAAATGTCCGACGAGGATGTCGTCTACATGGGATTGGCCAACGATGCCCTGGGCAATGGAATCACTACTGCCAAGGCCAAGAAGCCAAGGCCATTGGAAGGTAACGCTTCACTCAGGGACTCCTCCACTCAGGCACTCCTCTCAAGATCCCTTTTTAGACGATTCATATATTTAACCGAATATCCTTTTAGATGATCATGCGGTGAGCATTGAGAATGCCATTGCCAATGCCCTTAAGAAAAAGGGCATAGAACCGCCCATGCCGCGCATGCGTTCCCTCAACCAGGACCAACTCCTCGCTGACACCTCCGCGGAGGGTCAGGGCGGGGATCTAGCAGCCGGTGGTGCTGCTTCCCAGCACGGCCAGCAACCGAGTCGCAGCAGCCGGCGACGAAAGCGCAAAAAAGAACGCGAACGTGAACAAAAGAAGGACAAGGAGCACCAAGTAAGGCGGCCCCCCCTCCCCAAATATCCCCAATATCTCTAGTCCAGCTCTGTGTTAGCGCCTGAATTAGTTCCACTCTTTCAATTATCTTAATGGGTTAATCCACCCTGACGAATCGGTTCTTCTTGGGTTAACACTAGAAATCGATGTGATATCTTCATGGTGATCCACTTCTAGGTTCAATTTCCCATCGTGTGGATCGGGTATAGATCGTATCGGATCACTGTCTAGGTTTATATCTTAATTATTAATTACTTAATTATTATTTAGTTCTTAATTGGTTTATGTTAAACCTGCAATTCTGTTAAAAGAACCCTACCGTATAGGGTTTTCAAGATCACATCCAGTATATATCATCTAATTCCGGGTTTATCTGGTTTAGATCTTTATTTATCCTCTATTTTAATAGTAATTATAGTTAGAGCTACTAAACAAGCTACTTAATTCAGTCCTTAATACAGAGATCGCTAGGGATTATAGTTCCAAGATCAATAGATCCTATAGCAACACTAAACCTTTCCTAATCTCCTACAGAAACGCATTCGTCGCGAGGAGGACGACGTCGCCGGTCTGGGGGGCGGTGCCGTCAGCGACGACATGGATGAGTACGAGATGATGAACGTTAGAGGCGGCAGCCCACCGCCCGGAGGTCCACCCCCTACCACCTCCGGCCTTGGCCAGCGCTTCAACGGACCGCCCGATTGGCCGGATCTGGGTGAGGGTCCGGTTGTACCGCTCGGAGGCTTCGATTCGCCGCCAGATCCCTACAGCAGCTATGATTCGTATTCGGAGGAGGAGGCAGCCGGCGGTGGAATGAATCAGCGCCGTCGAATGCGCCGCGACCGGGAGAAGGATCAGAGGGGCGGGAACCGCAAGCGACGAGATCGCGATGGCGGTGGCGGTGGAGGAGCTGGGGGAGGGGCTGGTGGCGGCGGAGCGAAACGGAATAGACGCGACTCCGGTGACGGACCGGAGAAGATGGGCGGACGGATGGAGCCGCGGAAACTGGAGCTGTGCAAGTTCTATCTGATGGACTGCTGCGCCAAGCGAGACAAGTGCTCCTACATGCACAAGGAATTCCCGTGTAAATACTACTACCTGGGCATGGAATGCTACGCCGGCGACGATTGCCTCTTCCATCACGGCGAGCCGCTCTCCGAACAGCTGAGGAATATCCTCCTGAAGCACATGGAGACGGCGCCCAAAGAGATTCTCGGCGACTTCAAGCGCATCTCCCGCGACGTGGCCCTCGGCCAGATGACGCGCCGCCACGAGGAGCTGTGCGAGCAGTACAAGCGGGAGAACACCTGGAGCACGCTGGCCAGTGCGGGCATGAACCGGCGCAACCAGCAGAACCAACAGCCGGATCAGCCACACCAGCCCAATCAGCAACAGTTGCAGCAGCAACAGATTCAACAGCAACAACAACAACAGCAGCAACAACAACAGCAGCAGCAACAACAGCAGCAGCAATCGCAACAACAACAGCAAGCGGATGCTGGAGGCAACATACCTTCGCTCCTGGACATGGTCATAAATCCTCCGCCGCAGGAAAAGAAACGCAAATCCCGCTGGGCCGATAAGGCGCAACCAGGTGCTAAGCCGGCCGCCGTCCCAGAAACAGGAAACACATCGCCGGCTGCGAAGCCTCCAGGCCTGTCACCGCACCTGGACCTGAGCAACTTCAGCCACGTCCTGAGTGCCGACCAGATGACCAAGCTGAGCAAGCTGGGCATCACCAATCTGGAGCAGATGATGCAGATTCCGTTCGGCCAGCTGACCGATGCCGGCCTGACGCTGATCGAGATCGGGGAGATTCAGAGGAAGGCCGAGGATGCCAAGTCCGAGGCCAACCAAGCGTCCACCAGGTAAGCCTTTAGATATTCCGTAGAGTCCTTGTCACACATTGGGTCTTCCTTGTCCGCAGCGTTTCCAACCCGGCACCCAAGCCGGAAGTGGAGGTCAACAGCAACTCGAACAGCAACGGCTTCATCATGGTGGACTACACCCAGTATCTCAAAGACGCCCACGTTAACCTGAATGATCCGCGTGAGTATATCGATTGTTTGAAGAAGTATTCAAGGAGCACTAGACTTCCCCCCCCAAAAAAAATGACAAACTTCTCCGGATGTACTCTGTCAGTAATTCCGAATCCTTTTCTAACTCGTTCTCGTTCGTTTCCAGTGGACGATGATCGCGATGACGAGGAGCAGCTGGTGATAGACGATGGCAACGAGTCCAATGCCGAGGAGGAGAAGCCGGAGGAGCAGCAGGTAAAGGACGCCAAGTCAGAAGAAGCTCCACAGGTACCGATCGCACCAGTCGTGGATGAGGCACCGATGCCCTCGGTCTTCGATCTGCCCACTTTTATGAGCAATATGCTCGGCCAGAGCCTCACCGCCAAGCCATTGGTGGTGCCGGTGAGTGCCGCCTCGCCAGTTCTAGAGATTCCGCCACCAGTTAGCGAGGAACTAACCAAGACCACGGCCAAGATTACGGAAGCCAGCTCCACCAGCACGTCCTCAAATGTGTTCAGCCGTTACCTGTTCGGCGACAAGCAGTCCGATCCGGAGGCCAGGGCCGCCTTCTACCGCGACATCATCCGCAATCCCTTCAAAGCGCACAGCGGCGACGGTGATGTAATATCTTCCAACGAGAACTCCAACTCCAACTCACACTCTCTGACCCCGACACCCACTCCAGAGCCGGGCTCCCAATCGCCGAAGCAACCGGACCAGGATCAGGAGGCGACCAAGGCCTCCCCATCGCTATATGCACGCGCTTCCGTATATGACTATGATCCGGTGAAGATCAAGAAGCAGGAGCGTCGCCGGCGCCTGCAGAACGACGGTGAGCACAAGCGCGACGTGGACATGCGCCTGCCGTTCGAGCCGATGAAGCACTACCGTCCGGCCACTGAGATCGATGCGGCCATCTTCTCGCACATGCCGATCCGCTGGCAGCTGAACGTGGTGGACGTCGAAGAGCCGGACTACACGCAGCTGCGGGCCTCGGCCCTGCACAAGGAGCAGCGTGAGCTGCGTGATCCGCGCATGCGCCGCATCCTGGGACTGCCCGAACTGGTGGACGAGGCCGCTGACGGATTGGGCGACTCGTATGGTAAGGGGGGTATAGCCTCGCCGGACTCGGATGGAGGCGCACCGGAAGTCACACCCGTATCGCCGCCACCGTCATTGGCGGGCCTGCCGTCCATGAACGTGCCGCCGCCATCGATGAGCGTCCCACCGCCGAATCTTCAGGCCGAGAAGCCGTCCGTGCGTACCGATCCACGCCGCGATCCCCGCCGGGCCCATCTTCAGCCGTCGGCTGCCCTCAACTCGAATCAGACCCAGGCCGGCACTCCCACACCCACATTCTCCGGCGGCAGCAAGGAGATCTCGGAGATACGCCGCCTGATGCAGAACTCCAACTGGTACAAGAACCTCGGAAGCAACAACAAGATCATGGTGAACCAGCAGCTCAACCTGGTGTTCGTGGAGCTGAGCAAGTTCCACCAGATCCCGGCCGACATGCCCAAGGCCTTCGACACTAGCTTCATCGTCAACAATCCCACTCTGCTCCAGATCTTTGGAAAGCTCTACATCTACATCGATGACAACGGTCACGTGTCCCAGCTGCCCGAGGAAAATAGCGGCCCAACCGGAGGCTCCGTCACGGGTGCCGTCATCCTGCCGAATCTCTCGCAGCCGCCGCCGAACCTCACCCAGATGCTGCGCCAGCCCCCGCCCAATATTTGCCTCGGGCCGAACCGTATGTCTGGAATGATGATGGGCAACTTTCCGGCCTTCAACCAGCCGCCACCGTGCACCGGCCGCATGGGTATGCCGGTCGGCGTTGGCGTCGGCGTTGGAGTCGGTGGAGGCAATGGTGGAAACGGAGGATCAGGTATGCCGAATGGGGGGAATCCCTTCAATCCCTTTGCCGGAGGAAACGGTGGAGGCGGTAATGGAGGTGGAGGAAATGGTGGTGGCAACCTCAATGCCATGGGAAATATGAACAACATGGGTATGAACATGCCCTTCAACAACAACAACAACAACAATATGCCTTTTAAGAATTTTAACAACAACAACAATAATAACAATTCGGGAGGCCGAGGACACTTCCAGGGAGGAATGGGAGGAAACGGTAACGGAAATCGCAACCAGCGCGGTGGCGGAGGAGGCAATCAAAGGAATCGCAATCACATCTAAAGCGGATGAACTTGCTCCGGCTGATAGATCGGAGTCGAACCCACAAAAAGACTTGCTATGCCAAAATGATGATCCATCCTCATCCTTCATCCTTTTTACCCATTGACTCCATTGACACACACACACCATGCCCCCTGCCCCCTGCCCCTTGCCCCCTGCCCGTTGTTATGATGCCCCTGTTCCCCCCCAAAAACCGAAACAGCGAAACTTTGACTGCTTTGTACATTGTATTCCTTAATCCTATGACTACTATTTTTTTTTGCTAGGTGTAAGGACTCGTTTAGCACTACTACGTACTGATAAAATGTAGTTGAAATCAGAATAAAAACCAGAGGATCATGTTATATAAGGTCACTGATAAGAAACAGGGAGCTAAACACAAGAAAAGGATACCAAGTGCGTTCCAAGTGCATGGAAAGCCCAATTTTTTTTTTTTAAAAAAGAACTTTTTTTCGATAATATAGTTACGTTTATTATTAAATGTACTCTTGGATAAGTTAGGCATACTAACTAACAAATAAATAATGACGTGTTCTAAGAAATACCGAGCTGTAGTAGGAGTAGGCATTTTGAAAGTGCCGGAAACAAGTTTTATTGCAGTTTACCATTTTTTTTTTTATTTTTTTGTTTTATTTCCATAAAATGTATAATTGAAATTATTTATGTATTAAGATTTCATTTAAGTTATTCTCAAATTTGATTTATTTAATTTTTCTTGATTTATAAAATAAATTAATGCGCTTCTCTCAGAATTTGAAGCAAGGAATATAAAATAAATTGGATCTATTTAATTCTGCTCCCTTAAGTTCTTAAGTTGAGAGTCCTTGAAGACTGATAGTTCCTTATTAAAAATACATAATTTTTTTAAAGGAAATTTTTAAAAATAGTTTTAAAGCGTAAGTATCTCCCATTAAAGTTTCATAGTATTTTACAAGATTGAGGCTAAAAATATATTATTTAAGCCATGTTATCTCATCCGATCATTAAATTAATACTTTTTAAACTAAAAACCTGAAAGTATAACTTATTTTATTGAATATCCCTACTTGTATCGGCAATAATCGATAATATCGATATTATTGAACAAAAAGCAATATTAAAAGTTTAAATTCCACATGGGATTGAAGCTTTTTTTATATATATCTCTTTTTGAAAGAGACTTTCAGTACTTTATCATAAAATTGCATCTTTTCGAACTTATTTTAAAAGACTGTTTTTACCCGGTTCGTTACTCTTCGCCCGGTTCACGAAGGCGATAGGTATCGACTGAAAAATACCGTCTCCATTGCACCCGATAGTGCTGCGTTGCCAATACATGTATAATTCGATAGAATTTCTCTAAAATATAAGCTTTTATAACTAAAAAAGAGCTTAATTGGAAATAAAAAAAGTTAAAGCACAAATTAATATTTAATTGATCTAAATATTGAAAAATGGAACAAATAAATGGTATTTTTGATATTTCTGCAAAATCCATAGGCGATATATACCGTTTTTATAGAAAACATCGATATATTTCAGTATTATCAACAACCCCACATTGCTGCCAACCATTTGACCACACTACACTTGAGCAAGATTCGCGCGAGTTGGCGAGTTGACGAGAAGTCTCCGAGTTAGTGTATTTAAAATAGTTGTACGTTTAAGATTTTTTTGAGCATTAAGACGGGTTTTTATCCACTTAGTTTTCAAAGCCCCCCCGTTCTTCTCTTTTTGTCTCACAAGTGACGTGAAGTGTATACATTAAATAAAGAAGAAGAAAAAGAAACGAAAAGAAGAGAAAATGATAATAGAAAACACGCAGACTTTGTGAAAATGCGCAAATCATTTCGCATACATATGTAGTTATATTATATTTATGCATTCTATCTAGTACAAAAAAAGCTTTGAGTTTTTCTTTTATTTTTTTGGTTTGGATCACACGCACGCACACATGGCTGCTTTGCCATGACGAATAGCAGCGAGTGAGGCGGCTGCCTACTCGCTGTATTTGTTTTTCTTTGCTGTTTTTTTTTTTTGTTTGTGGTATTGAAAAAAAATATAGTGGTTGCCGTTTGGGCCGATGCGTTGCGTTGCCGCAAGTAATGAATTGTGGATGTAAAATTCCATTCAGCCTTGGTGGCATTACACTTACACTTACGCTCCAGCCAACAACGGGGAAAATGGCAACGTATTGCTCTCACGTATACACATACACACGCCACCGAGCGCATATGTGTATGTGTGTGTGTTAGCGACGCTGGCCGCTCTCTCACTTTTGTGTATATACATACATATTTACCTTTTTTTTTTGTAATTTTTTTTTTTTTTTTGTTAAGGTGTAGTACATAGAAACATACATATACTTGTTTTTCTGTATTGCATATATACCATTTTTTTTAAATCGTTTTTTTTTTCAACCGCTGTAGTACATAAAAACCTACATACATACCAATAAAACCAATAAAACGCAGCAAAATAAATAATAGTAAAATCCCATATAAGCAGTGTGTGAGTGTTTAAATTTTTCGTTAAAATAACATTTGGTAAGTCGATGATATTCGGGTACTTTGTGTTATACACATACTACCATTTTGTCGAGGGTAGAGGAAGAAGAAGCTAAGACAACAGCCCAAGCGAAATACAAAAATGCATACAGTCGCGTCCAGCTACGTAGGGCCGGGGCTCTTGAGATCAGGTACCTGAGTTGTCACTCCAAATACGGTCAGACCCAAAATAGGAAGTAGGGTGTCCTTAGTTCCGCTGCACATTTCTGCTACCTAACCCATTTTTATCCCAACGGGTGCGTCCTTGTAAACCCTAATTTGGTCAACTTCCGGCTTTTAAATCCTTTTAATTTTTTTAATTGAAAAAAAATTTAATATATATATATATTTTTAAAAATTTGAGTATTTGAATTGCATTGGTTTTCCAACACCAAAATCGGAGTCGTTATCTGGCAACCCTACTTGCGCAAAACTGCACTATTCCATCTCCCTCGTCTGTGGCGGAGTTGCCAGCTGCCACTGTCCAAGGCAACGTGTTTCGGCTGCAGCTTTTATCGGAGCGGAAGTTTTCTGTGTGTTTTTCTTTGCCATTGAAGTGATTTTCCCCATTTGAAATTGCATTGCAATTAAAAAAAAAATGCGCTGCATAAAATCTAAAAAAAAGTGAGTACTAACTACAAACGATATTCTCGAAAAAGAAAAGTTAATCCGATTAGCGGCGTGCGCCAATACGACGCAAAAAGTTTCCTTCAAAGAAAAGAAGGGTAAGGATTTTCCAGGCAGGTAATGCAAGAGTCCTTGCTGCTGCTACGTTCCGTTTCCTCTCAGCTGCTGTGCTGCACCCTTCGTGCAGCTGCATGGTGCGGTGGAGGGGGGCAGCTGCATGTTTCTTTTCTCATTTCGGTCATTCCCCCGTGTGTTTGTTGTTGTTTTTGATGGTAATGTCATTGCTCAGCGATCGTTTGGCTCATTGCACTGGAATACATATATATATTGGAAAACTGGAACGGCCTGGAACCGGCCTCGAACTGGTGGTGGTATTGAAGTTTCTCCGCTTTCCGACAACCCATTTTTTTTTCCAATTCTTTATTGTTGTTTTTCAATCAGCGAAGGTCATTCGCAGGGGCGAAAAAAAAAAACAAATATATATATGTATATATATATATGCATATATATCCGTCATGCTCGTTGTACCCTGCTAAACGGTATGGATCCTAATTTTAGACAATTAGCTTCACTGTACTTTGAAAAAAAAAAAAAACATTTAATATTTCGTTGTTTTGTTTTGGAAGAGAAGAAAAAAAACAGCAACACACACATACATACACTCGAAAGTGCAACAACACTTGACGAGTGATCAGCTGGAATGTTCGCTTTATCGCTCCATTTCATACACGACTTTTAATGAGATTTTCGAGATTTCATTCATGCAAGCGCTTGAAGCGCCCCCCCCGCATGACTCACGCTGCCCGCAAAGAGAGCGAGAGTGGCGCTCTCTCTCTGTCTGTCTGTCCCCCGCATTATCAGTAGCTGCACACACTTGCACACACATGCATTTGCATAATAGAGCTGCTCTATTTACACAACTGTGCTCCAAATAAGCCGGACTACTACTGTTATCAACTGTAAAGTTTGTTTTTTTTTCTTACAATTCGCTCTCTCCTGCTCTCCTGCTCTCCAGTCGGCCAGTGCACTGAGCGAAATCAATGTTTATTGATTTCAATGTTAAATTAATAAATTTTCTTAAAATATTGTATTTCGCTAAGTGATTTAGCATTGAAATGAGGTTATTTTTCTTGTGAATTAAAATTCATAAAAGCCCTTATGTATTTACCTTCAGATATTGTCATTTTCCTCATAGACCTCTTTTTTTTGTTGTGCTTTCTTTTTTGATTTCTCGGTGATTTAGCTTTCTCCGATATACGATATGCATACGATATCTGAGTCGCAGAAGACGGCGACTTTGGTTACCCTACTTGGTGGATTTTCTTTCCATTTCTGGTTTTGTTTTTGTTGCCATCTCCACCTTGCTACGCTTCTCTTCCGCTTTTCCTGTTACGTTTTTTTTTTTTGTCTCCTCTATTCCGTTTTGGTCTTTTCAAAGCTGGAAAGCGAGATACACACACTCTGTATATAATTCTCTGTATATTTTGCTTTCTTTTCGTTCTTGTTCTCTTTTGTTGTTTTTTTTTTTTTTTTTTTTTTTTTTTGGCAATCTGGAAAAAGCAGCCCTCGAAACGGTCCGAACCTCACCGCACCCCTCGCCAGCATTGTGCTCTCCAATGCGATTTAGGCCGGGCCCCGCCCCCTTCTCGCCCCATGCTGTCCTCGTTTTCAATTTAGCAACGTTTCTGGTTCCCCCCCCCCTCTCTCGGCCGCTGGAAGGGCTGAAAGTTGTCCTTTCCTTTCCCTTGAAAATGGGGCAAACTTTTTCAGAGAGGGGGTGGGTGGGTGGATCCTTTAAATAGAATAAGTTAGTATCTTCCCAGAGATTATTAATTATCTTAGTATTCTTACTTTGTAGGGAATTTCTTAATTTCCGAGATACTTCCACCTTGAGAGACTCGATGGTTCTGATGAAAAACGGCAAAAAGGCCAACTTTTCCAGCCGGCCTTTTTAGGAGCGTAGGTCAGCTTGCACTCTCACCTGCCCCTGGCGAAAATCCTGGCCAAGGGGCAGAGCCAGAGGCAGCTGCCAGGAAAGATGATCCCTTAATGGGTTATTTATGGCAGGGAGATTAAGTTTATGGAGATTATAAAAATAATGATCTTTAATCGAGAGATGCTAGAGATATAATATAAATATATTAAATTAAAAGGAAATATAGTATTTAAATAAAAAAAAATAATAAATAGATATTTTTTATCAAAAGTTAGAGGTTCTTTTTAAATGAAATCCAAGACATCTATCCATCTATGACTAGTTGATGGAAATCATCTCAACCCAGTTAGGTAAACCAATGACATCCAAAGTCTTCTTTAAAAATTAGAATCTATAATCTGTTGGAAGAATAAAAATTGCAGCTTGCTTCCAAGTAACCATCCAAGTTGCAGCTTGCCATGTTCCACCTTTCGATTTTTCCACCCAAAAAGTTAGCACCTTGCAGCTTCCGAGAAGGCGGAACATCTGCCTCTGCCTGAGTGTGAGAATTTCGGGGATCCGCGAGATGCAGCCGGCCACCCATGAAAGTACGCCCGGCACACTTCCTAGCAGGATCAAGGATTAGGGGGCAGGTAGAACACGCGACTGGCACGCGCACCTTGCCTCCTGGCCACCTACCTGCTGCCACCCAACCACCCAACCACCCTACACCCTACTACCACCCACCGCCGATCCTTAAATAGATCGTGGCCCGGCAGGACATCTTCATTCGAGTGCCACTCGTTACAAGTCCAACTTGTGTCCTGCAATTCTCTACTGTGTGTGTTTTATTTTTAAAAAAAATTCAATTTAAAAACTTTGTGATGTCCTCCATTATGGATTTTGATTTTGATACTGTGACTCCCCTGTCGACTATGTCGTCTTACTATAATTTCAAAATGGCAAGGTATGTCCTTTGAAATTACACCACGGTGTGGTGAGATAAATTATCGTATAAGAGCGCAATTAATTAAGCTTTAATTATATAAGTTAAGGAACGGCTGTATGCATTAAAGAGGTATTTTATTTCAAAGAGGTCTCTACGTTAAGTCTCCTAAGAATCCAAACCAAAAAAATAAGTTAAGTATTTTTTTTTACGTATTTTTTTTTCCAAGAAAAAAACTAATAATAATTAATACTGCTTCTGATAACTCAAGCTTTGTACACATACACACACCGATACACACACACACACAGATGCATAAGTTAACTCTCTCAATACGTAATGCGATTATCAATTTTCTCTCTTCGATTTTTGTTTTTTTTTTTCGTACACATTATTATCGTTGTCTCGCGCACACACACTTCACGTCTCTTTCATGTGTTTTTTTTTTCTCAATTTCGTATTAAGTAGAACCCGTCCCCCCCGTCCCCTAGTCCTCCTAGAATTCCCAACAAATGAAATTAAATCAAAACTAAACCAAAATCAATCCACTTAGTACCAACAACAACAACAACTATATCATCTCTTCAACTACTACAACAACCACACACAGCTGAGAGCGCGCCAAGTAAACAAGAAGAATCAAGCATACACTGAGAGAAACGACATAGAAATTAAGAGAGTGTTTTGTATGCTAAAAGAGAATACATTTTCTATAGAAACGGAGAGTACAACACAAAAAAAAAAAAACAGAAAAAAAAATAGCAATTGAGAAGGGAGCAAGAGAAAGAAGAAGAAGACACATCAGCAGCAGGCCAGCTGAGAGCGCTGAGCGCCAATAAAGAAGAAGAAAAAGGAGGAGGAGAAGAAGTGGGGAGCAAGATCCTCCCGATAAACAGCAATAACCACTACAGCTCCCATCTCTAATCATCACGTCTCACCTCATATCGCTCACCTTCGATAGATCTCGAGGGTGGCATTTTTTTTGATTCGATCGAAATCGAAAAATCGAATATCGATTAAAGTGAAACACACACACTCCCAACTCTCAGGATATGTACGGCAACAATAATCCGGGTAGTAACAATAATAACGGTGGTTATCCTCCATATGGTTACAACAACAAGTCGAGGTAAATTTTAACTTCAGTTGTTAAGTTTCCGTCAGCAGCCCATATGTTCCATTTTGTGACCCTTCCTCCTTTAATCCTTTGATCATCCTTTAATTTTAACTCGAATGACAGTCGAACCACCCTAATTATGGGCAATTGAAGAGGTTCCACTGTAATTACAACATCCTTTACCCCAACCCATCCCACATCCCTATATCCCAAGTGTCCGGTCTCCTCACAATAGAACACACAACTGTGATGCAAATAATTTTTTTTTCTGCCCAGATCTTCAAGTTGGACATCCCAACCACCTATAGCATCCTGATTTTTTTTTTTTGACTAGCATCTACGAATCAGATTTTTTTTTTGCCAGGTTCGAAGTATCTTTTTTAAGCAAACTTGGCGGCTTATATGCATTGGTATGTGTACGGGGAAGGGATGTCGATTGCAAGTCGATAACATCTTGAGATTGTCATCGATTTTCTATTGATATCGCTGGCCCAATTAAAAAGTAATACTCTCTCTCTCTTTGTCTTATCCCCCGCCCCCGTCATCTCATTCTCACACACATGGTTTTAAGTTTTTTTAGTTAAAAAAAAAAGAAAATAAAAGAATAGAAGGAAAATGAGTACGAGAATATGGATAACAATAACCAGAGAACAGCAATAAGGAGGATTATAATGGCGACGACATTGTTTAAGTATAATTAACTGTTACATGTACTAGATGGTCCGGCCATTCAAAAATAAATCAATAATCAATTAAATACAGACACCCACACACACACACACGTAAATAGTGATAACCAAGCCAGAGCAGCAAAAAACAGTCAAGCGTTGGGGGACGCCCCTCTCCCTCCCCCCTATAGAGATACAATCAGTTTCCCGCTCCCGATTACAGTTAACTTACAGTTCTCTTGTTTTTTTTTTTAGATGCTCTTTGTTTATATTTTTGTACCATTTCAAAAATGGCCCCCCTCATTAGCTGTATTATCTCCGCCATATCGCTCTCGCTCTCTAGTTTTGGCATCCTTCATTGCATACTTTCATGCGCACACGGACACACTCTCACATCCATGGACACACACCAATATAGATCTCTGGTGGATCTCGATCAGCTGATCGTCTGCGTGTTTTCGTCAAACGTGTCGCGACGTGTCGTGTTTTGATTTGTTTGTTTTTTTTTTACAGTTTGTGATAAAATGATAAGCAATATGCAAAATGTTAACAAAGCAACGTAAAGATACATTTCTAAATAAACGCATTTAAGATACAAAGATACATTTTTAAGAGCGAACGCCATGTGTGGGTCGAAAAAAAGGCTTTGATTCGGAACTATCTATTGTAGTATCCTTTTTTTTGGCACACACACATAGCCACACTTACACTCACACCACTCACACCCCCCACAAAAGACACACAGATACATAGATGTGTCTGTATCTGGGAAATTCGTTCGTGGCAAGAGGATTATAGAAACGGCCTAAAAACGTTCTCATCGTGCGGCCTGTGCAACTTGAACAGTCTCACAATGTACCGGTAAATGTTCTTTCTCTTCTCTTCCACACTTAACTTACTACTGCTAACTGTTAAACTACTGTTATTTGAAGTTGCTACTATGTTGCTCTTTTTTCTTATTTTCTTTGAGTTCTTTTTTGAGTTTTGAGCTTTTCTTTTTTTTTTGAGCTTTTCTTTTTCTCTCGCCAAGCATTCGCCCATCTATCTACCATCGCCAGATCTTCAGTAGAACGTAAGCCTTAAGTTTCGTCTAAGAGTTTTTTTTTTATAAAATTTTGACTGTTTTTTGCTGCCAACAAGAAGAAGAAAAAGTGGGGTTATGTTCTCTGATCTGATAAACTCCGCCGGGGCCCACTGGAGCCAAAAACAATGGCATGGCTGGTCGGGGGAATGCCGTCATTCGTGACACTTTTATAGGCCATTTAAGCTCTGCAGGCCATGCACTTGTTCTGGTTCTTGTTCTTTGGCCAATATATATATATTTTTTTTTGGTATAATTTATGGCACATTATTCAGCTGGAGTCGATGAAATGTAAACACTGAGCTCCACTCGGTCTCGTCTCGCTATTTACTGGCACACACACACACACACCACGTGCTTAACGGGAAATTGTGTCAGGACCTTGACATGCCGTGGTTGTAAGTCGACGAGTACGAATATACATACTGTACATGTGCGTGTAGGGCTGTCCTTTTTCCGCACGTGTGGTTGGGGGGAATTTACAGTTTAAATAGCTTTAAGTATAGGTTCTTGTTGTGGTTAGCACACACTTTGTAGACACCCATCCCACTGCCCTGCTCATATCTACACACACATTCCAATGCATAGCCGACAAATTGCCTTCTCCCCCCCGCCCCCATTCTATTTCTCTCTCTCTCTAGCCTTGTGAGTGAAAGCCGAAATGTATAAAAGGCTATGAGGCTATGATATATCCTCAAGGTCAGCAAAAAATGCAAAAAAAAAAAAAATGAAAGAAAAAAAAAAAAATGAAAAATGCAATACAACAACAACAACGTCCAGCAAAAATCAACAGCATCACATCAATCAACAATGTCAACAAGCAAAGTGCAGCATCTCAATAGTGTGACCTTACTCAAAGATCTTGAAGGATTTTTGTTTTTTGTGGCCAGTGTGGCCTTGCCGACAAGTCTTTGTCCTGTTTTTTTGTTACATATTTTTTTCAAGTGAATATATCGAAATAAAATCGAAATCCCCATCCAAACACACACACACACACACACACTCCAAATCATCTCCAAAATCAAAAATAAAAAAAAAATTGAGACACAAATCAAGAAATCCCCTCCAGCTCTAAACCTGTCATCGTCGTCGTCGTCGTCATCCAGCAGCCGAATTTAATTCTGTGTAGACATCTTTTTTCACAGCCCAGAAAGAAGCAGCCATCGATACCCGATACCGATTACCGATACCGATTACCGATAACCGTTAACCGATTACCGCCATCGAGCGAAAGACACAGACTCTTGTAGATGTAGTATGTAGTTGGTAAAATTTTTTTTACACTGGGGGCGACTGCACCACCTCCGCCACCCAGCTGTTCCGGCTCCTCATCAACGGAACGATATGTTGTTGAATCGAGGACGCCACCACCGCCGCCCGTAAGTAACAAGACTCTAAGACTAGAAACTATATCCACCTAAACTATATCCGGGGAGAGTCTTATGCCATATATAAGTCCTCTTAATACTTAGACATTTAAAATTCCAATCGTCGTGGGAAGAAGTCCATCCATCCAGCCAGCCATAGAGGCAGCAACCCTGCTGTTCTAATTATTTATTTTTTCCAATTTTTTTTCAAGTGTAAAAATTGTGCAAAAAAAATTGTCAAACGATATTTTTTTTCGAGTGAACCTACAAGTGATGTATTTTTTTCTTCTTTTTTTTACGGTGTATAAAGAAGTGCATGAAACATATAATATGTATCTATTTTTTTTTAAGTGCTAATTTTTTTTAAGTGAAAAACATTTTTTTTTTACAATTTTCTAAACGGGTTTTGCAAGCTTCAAGGACGATACAAAATCCTTCTTTGTATTCTCCAAGAACTTGCAAGACTTGCAGCCTCTTTCTTCTAAATTTCGAATTCTACAATTAAGTCTTTAAGTTCGCTATATTAAGTTAGTTTGTAAGACTAAGTTAGTTGTAATCGATATATCGTCATATCATCCAACCGCCTAAACATTATTGAATCATTTTTTAAGATAATTATTATAAATTTGAAGTTAAAAAAAAATTTAGAAAATGAAAGATAATTTTAAATTGCGCTTTATACTTATAATTTCGATAATTTATACAATACCTATCGATAACACCACTACCGATTACTAATCGATATCTTTTCTATTTCATCGATCGACGAATAGCGGTGGGCGAGGATTTGGCATGTCCCATTCATTGCCATCGGGAATGGTTAGTATTCAATACTATATTTTATATATTTTCTTGATTTTCTTGATTTTCCTTTTTATCATTTTAAAGCCTGAAATTTATGATTATTGTTAGTGATCGATTTCTATTTAAATCGCATGACAGAGAACCAAGAGTTACTCTCGATAATAATAATAATAATAATAATGATAATAATATAAATTTTATGCCTCCCTACTATCCATAGTTTGTATGTTATTGAGTTTGTCTCATGAACGCTCTGGGGACACACGCTTTTGGTTACAATTTTCCGAGCAACAAAATACAAGATACTAACTAAATAAAAACCTTAAAACCTAAAACCTTAAACTAAACAGAACCAGCAACAACAACAACACAAACAACTTTTTTAAAAATCTCTTAAATAAACTCTTAAAAACTAAACTAAACCCACACACACACACACACAGAGAACACGTGCATGAAAAATTTTTAATAGCATACCTAAGGGGGCCAACCTGCCACCTTGTCCGTTTCACTTCCGTTTCCGCCTCAGCCGTGCCCCGGCACATAAAGAAGCACCACCCCCACCCCCCACCAAGACACTTAAGAAGCTTAAAAAAAAAAAAAAGAAAAACCAGAAAGAAAATTCGATTATTTTTTTTTCAATTTTTTTTTTTTTGCAACCTTTTGAATGCCTTTTAGAGACACACACACACTCATACACAAAACCAGAAGTACAGTGAAGCAAGAGAATGGTGCACTCCAAGTTTGAAGCACGGAAGCATTTGCATTTCGGATTGTTGCGTTCATAGAATTCTTCAATATTTTTTTTTTGTCTGTATTTCAACGTCATATTTCGACATTCAACTTCCCATTCGACAGTGTGTGTGTGTGTGTTGTTGTTGTTGCAACGACGATGATAAGCAGCCGCCACTAAAAAAAAAAATCATACCAACTAACTAACCAAAACCCAAGCAGCGAATATGAGGCCTTCTCTCAACGATAGAATATCTTTGTATGGTTAATCTGATTCCAGTCACGTTATGCGTTTTCGCCACAGGATACAGAATTTTCATTTCCAAGTTCCTCGTCGCGTCGCGGTTACAATGATTTCCCCGGCTGCGGTATTGGCGGCAACGGTGGCAGCGCCAATTCATTGGGCGGCGGCGGCGGTGGAGGCGGTGGCGGCGGCGGCAATATGTGCAACCTGCCGCCCATGACCAGCAACAATTCGTTGAACAATCTGTGCGGCCTGTCGCTGGGCAGCGGCGGCAGCGATGATCACATGCTGAACGATCAGCGGGCCAGCAATACCAACCTGATTGTCAACTACTTGCCCCAGGATATGACTGACCGTGAGCTGTACGCCCTCTTCCGGGCCATTGGACCCATTAACACGTGCAGAATCATGAGAGATTATAAGGTGAGTAAAGGGATATATATCTCTTGCTATAAGATCTTTAACTAATTCTGATTTCGATCTTAGACTGGCTACAGTTTTGGATATGCTTTCGTGGACTTCACATCCGAAATGGACTCGCAGCGTGCGATCAAAGTCCTCAATGGCATCACAGTGCGTAACAAGCGGCTTAAGGTGAGATCTACATTAGAATATAATCCATTATAATCTCTATAACTAAACTATATCCTTGTCCAGGTATCCTATGCTCGTCCCGGCGGAGAATCCATCAAGGACACCAACCTGTATGTGACCAATCTGCCGCGCACCATCACCGACGATCAGCTGGACACGATCTTTGGCAAATACGGTTCCATTGTCCAGAAGAATATCCTGCGCGACAAGCTGACAGGACGACCCCGTGGCGTGGCATTTGTTCGGTGAGTCCCCCTATAGTCTAGTCTCTATTAGAAGTCTCTATATATAAGTAGGGACCAGAAGTTCCATAATATCCACTTTACTCATAAAATATATATTTTATTTTTTTTTATTTTTCTCTCATTTCTTTCACGATCATGTTTCTATATCCATCATCCATGTTTTGGTGCATCCATTATTATAAATATAAAAAAAAAAATAGCTATAACAAGCGCGAGGAGGCACAGGAGGCCATATCGGCGCTGAACAACGTTATACCGGAGGGCGGATCCCAGCCACTGTCCGTCCGCCTGGCCGAGGAGCATGGCAAGGCGAAGGCGGCCCACTTTATGTCGCAGATGGGAGTACCGGCGCCGAATGCACCACAGCCGCCGCCACCACCACCGCTGCCCCATATGGCCGCCGGATTCAACAGCATGGTGCACAGAGGTAGATCATTAAAATCACAGCAACGCTTCCAAAAATCGCATCCCTATTCCGATGCGAAAAAGTTTATCTAATCCGAGATAATCCAATTCAGAGAAAAAAAAAACACAATCCAACATGCAACATATATACATAACATACACATATATATGTATGATCCAGATACACTTGTGTATATATATACCATCAGTATATATATATATTTGGGGAGCGGGAGATTTTAAATCTCGTTTCTTTTTTTTCCCCCTCCACATCAACAACAACAAACACCAGAAGCAACAACCAACAACAACTAACTAACAAAACCAACCAACAACAACAACAACAAATGCATACTTAGTTTAATTTTGATTTTAACCCCCCCAAACCCCCCACACCCACTTAGTAATTCAATAATATGTGTGTCTACTTGAATGAGAAGACAAGAAATTGAATTTCCCTTAAATTTTATATAAACTATTTTGAAATCATCTTCCCCCCCAAAATAAAAACTATTTTAAATACTAACTTTCCATTAAAAACAACCAAAACAACAAAAAAAATACAAAAACGGATATAATGAAGTCTAGGGTTGTCGAACATCCAGTTTTATATAATTTTTTCTAGTGCTACACACTCACACACACTCCCACACACACTCCCAAGTACACTAACGGTTCAGAAGAAGTGCTAATATTTTTTTTTGGATTTTTTTTCAAGTGTGTGTGTCGGAACTTGAAGCGGAACCAGTTTTAGGCACAAAAAAGTAGGCTATACAACACAGCACAACACCCAGATACACATGAAGAAATTTCACATAAAATATAAACGAATATGCAATAACTGTGTATAAAACCAGACTGACTAAAACTAAAACTTAAAACTAAAAAAAAACAAATCATCAAAAGAAGAGAAAGAGAGAGAGAAAGAGAGAGGAGTGTGCAATTTTTTTTTCGAATTTTTTTTATTGTTTCGATAAACGATAAATTTCGATAAACGATAAATTTCGATAAATTTTTTATTAAACAAAAACAGAACTGAAAATCCAACGATATATATATAAAAAAGCCAATTAAAGGAGTAAAAGCGTTGCCCTGTTTTCAGATCAGCATTATCCTAGCTATCCTAGCTACCCACCCCCCCTGCCCCCCTACTCTTCAGAACGCATCTCTGTCGAATATCAGTGAAATCATTCTTTAGTTTCGCATCTCTATCCAGCAGCAGAAACCACAACAACAACAACAACAACAACAGTTATAAACCAACAAGAATCCAACCAAAATAATGCAAAAGATTTCCTTATTACTTCTTCTTCTTCTTCTCTCATCAAGTTTTTATCACATATACCAACAAAAACAACAAACAAAAAAACAACTTAAAAGAATTGAAAAAAAGAAAATTTTTAAAAATGCTTATATAGATATATACACATAATATATAAATTTTATATATATTTGACTACATGAAATTTATTCTATAAAATAGCGTTAAATTTTAAATAATTATTTAGTTTGTAGTGCGTTAAATGCAAAAAAAAAAAGTAAGAAAACCCGAAAAAAAATGCAAACGGAAAGTGTGACCAGAGAAATATATAAAAAAAAGAAACCGATAATAATAAAAAAGCGAAAAGCAAAACAAACGTTAAAACCAAAACCAACCAACAATTTTTTTCATTTTTTTTCAAGTTCATGAAAGTTTTTGCGAGAAAAAAAGAGTGTTGGAAAACAACACAACACTGCTACTGCTGCTGCTGCAATTCACCACACCAACGGGAAGTTTTTTTCTCCCAAAAAGTATTTTTTAAGTTTTTGTTTTTTTTGTTGAGTTTTTCTCAAATATTTCGATCTTTGTTATCCTGCCTTGCTGTGTGTGTGTCTGTGTGAGTGTATGTGCTGGGTGTGAGCGAGAGGGAGTGAAAGTGAGGTGAGGTGAGGTGAACTATTGATCCCCATCTCCCATATCCTGCGCTCGGGTGCGAGCGTGAACGGACGTGCGCGAGTGCAGATTTACAGCTACAGATGTTTACAGTTATCCCCAGCCGAAAGAGACAGAGAGAGGAGGGCGGCAGTGTGACAGACAGAGACAACACAGACACTGTGAAAATGATAAAAAAGAAGTGAAAGGCGCATGCGCATGGTAAGTATGCGCGCACTAAACCGAAACGATAACGGGGTGCTGCCAAAAAAAACCAAAAAAAAAAACAACCAACCAACCACCCCCCCCCCAAACCCATTCAAGAAAAAAGAAAAAAAAAAAGAGACTCCCTCATCAGACATTCTATTTTTTTTAATCTTTTTTTTAATGTGCAACATTATATTGATGTCCTTTTTTTTTGTTTTTTTTTTCTTGGATCGAGAAATCTTGTAACGCCGAATAAAATATATATCTATATACCGAAAGCTCACCCCTTTATCGGTTCCAGTGCAAAAACTTAAAAAAAAAACAAAAAAAAAATAAAAAACCATAAACCTTGAAAATGAGAAACAATCTTCTTACAATCGCCACATTATTTTTTTTATACTTTTTTTGCCAGTGTATTTCATACGCATATATATATATATATCTTATCCAAGTGAAAAAAAAATCAAAAACCAAAAACTGTGTGTTCAGCCAATATTTTTTTTTTTTTTTTGAAACATCATCTCTATATGCTTAGTGCTCGATAAGATCCACTTATCCGAATAACAAATTTTATTTCGACATTTTTTTTGTATATTTTTTTACGTGCCTGTCAGTGTTCCAGTGTGGATTCAAGGAATCAACTTTATATCAAAAAAAAATAACTACCATATCCTATTACTCTATCTATCTATCGATTCTATCTATCGTTTCTACTAAAGCCAAAAAACAATAAATATGCAAAAATATCTCTTATCCGACCTTGTAGAACTTTGATTAACCATTTTATGATTTAAAATTTTGATAATTTTCATTTTGTTTGCTCTTTTGTTGTTGTTGATTTGAAATCGAACCCGTTATATATTATGTTTGCATTATATTATTTGAGTAGCATATATATTTTTATTTTTTTTTTTTTGAAAGAGCTAGCTAGCTATGGAGATTATCACAAAGAACATTGCCTACTTTTTGGGTATATCCTTTGACATTGGACCTCCAAAAAGTATGCTATACTTTGTGACATTGAAATCACTTCGGTTTCCTTATCCGAAGACAGTTTTTTGTGGAATTTTTTGCCAAATTTTTTTTTAGTTTTGTTTTATTTGCCTTAGCTTACAAAGTTACAATCCAAAATCCAATATCCAATATCCATTATCCTTTGAAGAGTTATATTACCGTAGTTTGTGTTCCCTCCCCAATTGTATTTCGCATTTGTTGTTTCCATGCCGTAGATACTAACCCCCCCCCCTCGAATCGATCGCCTTTTCTTTCCAAAAATCCAAGCAATAGGCGATCCTTTCAACTCACCTTCATATTGATTGTTGTTGAAGAATATCAAATAATTGAATAATATCGATAAAAAAATCAAAAAAAAAAAATTCAATCTTTATTTTAATTTCCCATTTCCCAAAAATCCCCCCATCCCCACCAAAAAAAAATAATTAAAAATATCCTCAATCTGCGCCACAACTAATCCAAGTTGTACAATTTTTTTTTTCGTTTCGTTCCATTTTTTTATTATAGACGGAGCTATGGAAAAATTACGCTCATTATTCGATGCTATATGCGATGCTATATTTGGTCTCGATAGTAATTATCCTTTTTATATCTATAATATTTCTAATTAATTACTCCTAGTTGTAAACGTTGCTTCTCTGCTAATAAGAAGGCATCTTAATTATAAAGTTTCTTATTTTTTTTTTTTTTTTCTTTTTATTGTTCTTTTGAGAGCCCGTTTTTAAGATAATCTAATAATGAGATCTAGCCGAGAGATCGAACCGATTTTTAATCTTATAAGTAGAGTTCTATCCAGAAGAGAGCACCAACACAGACACAACACAGACAGACACACACACCCGCACAGACACTTACACACTCATGCGCTCCTACCCACATAATTGAGAAGACAGAAAATAAAAAAAAAAAAATCAATTTCAGTTTCCAAATTCCTCATCTCAAAAAAAAGTATATATATATATATATTTAAATGCGAAAGGAAAATGAAAAAAAAATATGAATTTTCTTTTCTAAGCGTGCCATGTTTTTCTTTATTACTTTCTCTCATGCCATCATCCAGCTACTGTACCCATCTCTCTCTCTCTCTCTCTCTCTCTCTCTAAGGATTTTTTGGTCCTTGGCATTTTCTTTAAAGTTGAGCAAGTGCCAAGGACATATATAGTAGAGCGTTATTTGAAAAAGGTCCAATTGAAAAATTGCCAAAAAAAAAAGAGAAAAAAAAATTGTACTCCTCATACCCAATTCGAACTCTGACCTAAAAAAAATGTAAAGTTTGTCCTTTGTTTGCGCTTCTCAAATCCCTATTTATAAACATATATAAGTATTTAAAACTTAGAGTCCCCCCTCCAACCCCGTTCTAAAGTTATGTTTAGTGTTTAGCAAAGATTTTCGTTTCATTCATGGTCTGCTTCGTCTGATGTCCAAGAATCACTAAATTCATTAACTTTCAACCAAATAATTAGATGTTTTTGATACTAAATATTTATAACAATTTGTTTTTGCTTGCTAATATATTAATGAAACGCACTTGACTTTGTGTGTGTTTGTTCGATCGATCAGTCATCTTCAGTCATCTTCAGATCCTAAATCCCATCCCATTCCCAAAAAAAAGATCCTTTTGGCAAAGAAAAAACATGGCACGTTTTAATAACAAAAGCAAAAATATATATATAATCGAATCGTGTGTTAATCAAAATACCGAAACGACTGCTATTGTAACTAAATATACATAAATATATAAATAAATGCAATAAAATTATGAATATTCTATATACAGCGACATCGAAACGCTAACAACTTCGGCTTGGATTAAAACTACAACTAAATTCCCACGTTAACAAAAAAAAATAAAAGTAACAACGCAACAAACCAAACCAAACAACAATAAACACTAACCTCCCAAAAACAACACCTAAACAAAGCGATTAAGGCAAACGAAACTCTTTAAAACGAAATACTAAACAAATGTTATCTCTCACCTAGAGGCTAGAGTTCAGTTGACAGGGCTGCCAGTTGTAATTTAGGGCCAATTAAGTCAGACTTAGTATGTTTTTTTTTTTTTTTTGAGATATTATTAGCCTAGAAGCATGACTAAGTATATGTGAAAGAAAGCCTTTTACTAATGAATTTCTTTCTCTTTTTCTTTTAATCCACATTCTGTATCGCCCATTGACTTAATTTAGGTGACAACTTTGCCGACTTGCTCGACGGCTTGTACCGCCGGAAGTACCACTATCCTTACTTATAATTGACACCGCAACAGCAGCAGCAGCTCCTCCAACATCAGCAACAGGCGTTGGGCTTCCCCAGTACACCCAGTAATGCGATCGGTAATGGTAACACCAACACCAACAGTAATAACAACACCAGAAACACCAACAGCGATAACAACAGCGATAACAACAACATGCTACTATTTCACCAACATTACCATCAGCAACAACAACAAGATCAACAACAACAACAACGCCTGGGAAATGCTGCTGCTCACAGCTTGAGTCCAAGTGGAAGCCAGAATCCACCCAGCAATAGTCCCAACACCATTAACTTTAACAGCATTCGTCAGAACGGAGTGGCTGCTCTTCACTATCTCCAGGAGCAACTCCAACTCCAATCGCCGCCTCCCTTCCAGCAGCAACAGCAGAGGAGTAGTCAGAACCAGAACCAGAACCAGAATCAGAGTTCGAGCAACGGTGGCAGCTTGCTGGCCATCAGCAATCACACCAATGGCCATCACAGCACCGCCAACAACACCAGTAGCCATAACAACAACTACAACGGCAATTACAACAGCAGCGGGTATAGCAACAACGGTGCCTGTGGCAGCTTCATGAACAATTCTGGCCATGGCGGTGGTTATTCCAACAACTTCACCAACAACTCGTCGCATCTTGACCTGGGATTCGGCCCGATGACCACCTCCGAACGAGAGCTGCACAAGCAGACCCTCAAGTTGCAAGAGTTGCACATTAGTAGCAGCTACAACAACAGCAACAGCAATTCCAACACCAACAACACCACAACGGCGACTCTGACTTCAACAACAACATCATCCACATCGACATCCACAACATCCACAAACCCCACAAACACTGGCTTCCTTTGGCGTACATAGCCTGACAATTGGGAAGTGTAAAAACATAAAGATGAAGGCAATCTTTAATTTAAAACTATATATATATATATAGAAGAAGTATATATGAATATGATGTAGGAGATCATCGTAGACACCATACCATACAAACAACCCAAATTTTTATGTTCTCAAACCCCCAATTAATTACTATATATATATACTATTTTTTTTTGTATGTTCCTCACTGGATATCCTTATTGTTTAGTTGGTTTTTTTTTTCATTTTTTGTGCTTTTTTTTTGGGAGGAATATTTTTTTTCTTTTTGTAACTAGCCTGTAAGCCAAGACACGTATATATGTGTACAAAAATCATTCGTAACTATATATAATGAAAGTATATATATTGAATGCAACTCGATGAAGGAGGTGAATAATATATTTTTTTTTGCTTAAACTTAGATGAAGAAGAGGAAGAAGAGAAACTATGAGAAATAATTTTTTTTTGTCACATATTTATAACGTATAATCATATAAAACTATATATACAAAAAAACCGAAAAAAAAATGAAAAATATATATACAAACAACACATATACACATTATATATCTATAACTATATATATAGCATGTACTTGTAGGCGTGAAAGCATAAGCTCTGATTGTTTTTTTTTTTTCTCTGTGTCTGGAAACTGATTTTTTTGGCGCGAACTATGACGCAACAACGTACACGGGCAACAATCGTGTATGTTTATAGCTGAAGTTAATAATGCAGATATACGAGCATATATTCTTTTTTTTTTTTATATAATAATTTATGAATCCAATTTTTTTGTCTACTTTATAACATACATATATAATTGTAACGAAACGGCTAGACAGTTGGGCATGCTCAAGTTTTCAGGCTGTTTATTAATTAAAATACATTAAAATACAAAATACAAAAAACGAAACGCAAAATACTTAGATAGAAAGATAGAAACTATAGAACGCAAAGGAGAATTGCAAAAAAGATAGTGAAGAAGAGGCTTCTACAGAGGTTCGTAGAAGGTTAGGAGAGGTTAGTAGGTGACTAGGTGACGAATGAGAGACCCAGACAAAATTACACTACAAAACCATATATATTTTTTTTTTCATAGCTATAATGAAGTATATACGTTTTTTTTTAACACTAAATATAAATACTTTTTTTGAAATCCATTTTTTTGTTTAGTTTATATGACGAAAAAAACTTGAGCATGTTGCAACATGAAAAAAACAAAACAACAAACGATTAAGAAAACGTGATAAAGAGCCCGACAAAACGTAAATCAGAAGAGAAGACAGTACAGAAGGAATGAAGAAAAAGGAAAGTGAAATGAAAAGGATGAAGGGGGAACAGAAAAGAAAAGAAAAGAAAAGAAAAAAAAAGCACTTAAAATTATAGACGCCCATGGGCAGGATCTGGAGGCGTGTCCTGGCTGAAAACTGAACCTACATTTTAATTTAAACTCTTCCCCCCCCACAATATTGTTTTATGTTTTTATTTTATTGTTTATTGTTTTTAATTTTCGAAAATTTCTTAAACTTTCTTAAACCATCTTACTATTATTTGGCCAGGGAGTCGCAAACAGCCCTGCCCATTTGAAAGAAGAATACAACTATTTTTTTCGGTGTAGGTGCATAAAACCACTTCAAAATTATGCGTTATATTCATACTTTTATTCATTACAAATACGAAAATTGTAAGAATTTTAATTTGTTACACAAAAAAATCTTTATTTTCTGAATTACAATTTTATTTTATATATTTTATAACTCTGTCTCTGGCTTAAAAAAACCTTACGAAAAATATATAAGACAACTTAATAAACATTATCACCAAAAAGAACATTTGACACTGAGTTTTCTTTTTATTTCAAATAAGTTACTATTTTAAAAACCTCCTTTCGTAACCTATGTTTTCAGAGTTTGTGCGTGGAATGTTCAGTCAACGAATTATAATAAAATATTGAAATTAGAATTAAGAGAAATAAAAAACACACTCGAGAAAACATACATACAGTAAAACTTACAGCTTGGTTGTGCTGAATACTAAATATTACGATTCCAGAAACGTAGGAGAGCATACACACGTCTCCTATAGCCGAATAATTATATACCAAAGCGAAGCGAGGCAGTTTATTAAATCCATAAATGTAAGCTAGCAGCCGGATATTGGCGCAGATTCACTTAAATCGAATGGAATACTCTCAACCAATTGTAGCCTTAGTAAGTAAGCGGATTTACATAACGAAATACATATATAATCGGGTTAATCAAATGAACGATTCATAATTAGCACCTAGCATGCGGTTCGATCCTCTCGTGTAATTTGTAGACTTAGCCATTGCAAACCAAAAAAAAAAAAACAAATCTAAAAATATATTAATATATTTTTTTTTTTAATTACTTAAGATGTAATGTGAAGTGAGAATAATTTTTGTGACCTTTTTTTGAGCATGTGACAAAAGGAAATCATCAAAATAATAATATTTTTTTTTAGCATCAAAGTAGATTGTCAAAAAGTATTTTTTTCTGATTGTTTTTTTTTTTCTTTAACTCATAAGCAGCCAAGCTAATTTTGTTAAACGAGAGCATAAAATATAAAGTAAAGAGAAAAGTCTAAATAAATCAAGATAATTTTTTTGGTATTTTTAATAACTAAATATTGTAGAACATGAAAAACCTCACGGAAAACCTAATCGCAAATACATTTTAAATGTTGTTCAATAAATAACGGAAATATACATTATACATTTTTTTATATCAACGTAATTGTGTCTAGACGGTAACAAAGATCTTTTTTATAAGAACAAACAAAAAAAGTGTAAAACCAAAATACCAGAAAATATGCATACAATTTTTTTTCCTAGTCTAAGAGAAAGCGTTTTTTATATAAACATATACATAAAAGTTAAGAAAAAAAAAAAAAACCAAATGACTTGAATGAAACCTCAAGAAAGATCAGTGCTTATATAGAAAATATTTTCTCCAGGTAGAGAAGTTTATTCGAAAAGTTCAGACGATGGATTATATTATATAGAATCGTCGCTTATCCTGTGAACATTTTTGGTATTATTTCGTGGTTTCAATTTCTCGATCATCTCTGCTATAAACCCCCTCTTCTAGCGCTCATCTTTCATCTAAAAAAAACACCGAAAAATTATATACAATTCAATAAATTAAAATATAGAGATTAATATATATATATATATATACGAGAATATAAACTACAAGGAGCGGATTATATAGATTCGACAGAAACGTATTTTTTTTTGCATAGTAAGGTTAACACTCGATCGGACGGAAAAAGATTGATTGTATGTGAAACGTGAACTGCCTATGAAAGATTTTTTAATAAAAAAAACCGAACACCAATAAAACCAAAAGACGACCGTAGAACAGATTTAAAACAATATTTAAAAACGAGAATTAAAACAATATTAAAACCAGAGATCAAGTAAGAATACTAACGTCATGCCTACAGATAAACGATAAATGCATTACCTAAAAGCAATATACATTCATAAACACATTACAAATATATATATATATATACATATAGAACAAATTTAGTGGAACCAATAACAAAATAGCAGTTTAAATAGAAAGCAACAATGAACAAAAAAAACAAAGGGAATATACTCGAAACGATGCAAAAACAATTATAACTATTAAGTCCCCGAAGAGGAAATTTTTTTTTTGAAATAATAACTACACTTAATAATATGTATAACGTAATGGTACAGTGAAAACCCGCATAAACGACACACACATAAACAGAAAACAGGACAGACTCGTAAAATGTTCGTAGTCCGTAAACTACACTCTAAAAACAAAAAAAAAAAAACTATGAAAAATTGAATTTTAATTCGTTTATACAAAAACACATATATACATGAATATATATTAAAGAACAAACAAAAAATAGCAGCTAATTGTTGTACTTAAGATGTCACATTACAAAAAGAACAAATAAACGAAAACATTTAAAATTCAACAAGCGGAAACGATCAGGATTTTTGAATTCAAATATATTAGAGATGGAACCTATAACAGTGAGTGGCAGCACTGCCGTTTTCCAACACTGATGCTTGGCGGGTTTTTTAAAACTCTTGGTTGTTTTAGATTTATTTATTCAAATAACAATGCGTAAATTATTCTTATTAGTTTTTTTTACACATTAAAGACTTTAGCATTTGTTCGCTAATCATCCAAACAAAAATAACTTTATCATTTGCGCACTTGAACTGGTTTTAAGTTGATGTAATAATAACTTTGAAGTTCGCGAGCTGAGAATGCCTCACCTGTGGTTATTATATCACCTGTATATCACAGAGGGCATTCACTCGAGTGCCCGCAAATCAGTGTAATTTCTACATTTCCCGAAATTACAAGTGTTGACTGATATTGGAGTATATAGTATATTCCCTATATATAATCGCGTTTGTTGATATCATATCGAGTGGTAAACAAAGCGCTCGACTGACACTCCCCTTGGATTGGCAGTTGTTGTTGTTGTTGTTTTCCGATCGCTGCAAAATGATATTGATTCTGTGACACGCTTTCCCGGGCACTGTCAATTAGTGTTCCGGAATTACGTCAGAGCACGCAATTCTTGGCGATAAGAGCGTCAATGTTTGGTGAACATAGCGCCGCTCTCGATCCTTCGACTCGTGATCCGCAAATCGCCAACCATGATCCATGATCCATGATCCATGTCATCGCGTCACGAACGCAACACCCCAAGAATCTGGTCTATCAGGGAATAATCGTAGTATAAGTAGTTTTACTATCAGCTGGATCGATAATTTTGGCGCCCAGTCATTGTTTGGATTCCCACTCGGGCCACTTGAAGGTCGAATAGGTATATACCTACATATATGTACTATATAAATCTTTGATTTCTTGAGGGTTGGGCTCTCCATAGTGGGTAGGAAAGTGGGCCCGACTCTGGCAAAGATTGAGCACGTGCTTGGAGGCCTATTACGAAGTGCAGTTAAGGGCTCTCTGACATAAAGTTTTTATATAACTTTGAACTAATTTAAAATACCTAACATTTCACCGTAAGTTTGTAATCTTGTCTCTTTAATTTGATTAGTTTTTAGTTTTAAAAAAAAAAAACCCCTTTATGAATTTCCAGAGAATTGCCTATCATCTATCAATACCGGATTTTTCCTGACAAAACCATTAAAATCTCGTCATTATCTATTACAAATGCTTTAATTTGCAAAAATCGTAAAGTAAATAAAGAAAAAATTAATGCTGAGTGATCGTCATTATTAATTGAAAGCTACGATGCCATTTCATTCCATTTCCGTTCTTTGACCTTCAATTTAAACAAAATTTTTTTAATGACTTTGTTTTGTGAACATTTTTCATTTTTTTTGTCTTTTATTTTTGCAAATAGCAGGTGTATACAAGTGTTCATTACAATATCTTAAAATTTAAAGTAAAGGTATAAAAAAAAATAATGTTGGATGCCGATATTCGCCGATATACTCAACAATATCCACTGTAGTTGCTTCGTTTTTGGCTTTCGAATTCATAGTTCCGCCAAAACGATTAGTTTTTATTTATAATTTCTTTTCCAAAGGCTGCCAAGGCTAAGTACTTAACACATCACAGATTGAATAAACCGACCCGATCCTTGATCCTTCGTCCCTATTTCTTCAGGAAGACCTCGTGCAGCTCCACGTCCTTCAGGTTGTTGGCCACAGTCAGCCGGCGTGAGAACTTGCCCGTCTGCCAGCGCTCCTCGAGCTCCTCCAGGGTCCTGCCCCTCGTCTCTGGGACGAAGGTGCCTATGAAGGCCGCCGCCATGAAGGACACGAACGCATAGAAGGCAAACAGGTTGGAGGTGCCCAGGGCGGCCTGCATATTGGGATAGATCTTGAGCATGACGAAGGCCAGGATCATGCCGAAGAAGACGGCAATGCCGGAGGCACTGCCCCTCGCCCGCTGCGGGAACACCTCGGAGATCATCAAGAAGGGCAGCGTCAGCATGCCCATGGTGGAGAAGACGATATGGGCCACGATGCAGGCCACGGGCACCCAATGCCACGTGCCCACCGACTCCGGGAACCATCCTCCGCATGCCAGGAGCAACATGCAGATTCCCATTCCCGAGGCAGAGAAGATTCCGGACGGCTTTCGGCCCCACTGCTCGAACACCTTGCTCATGAACAACGTTGTGATGATCCTGGCGACGCCCAGCATCACGGCCACCAGGACAGGATCGATGGTGACGCCAGCCTGCTGGGCGATCTGGACGGCATAGACGATGATCACCACCACGCCGCACATCTGCTGGAAGCCGAAGAAGGTGGTCATCATCAGGACGGGCTTGTACACCTCCGGTCGGTGGATCATCTGGCCCAAGGACTCACTGGCCGCCGTGGTCCTGCTCATGGCCGCCACCTCGCGCATATGGGAGAGTTCCGCCTCGAATTCCGGAACATAGTCGGCATCTGGCAGGGGGAAGAGAAAGGGGGAGGGGGAATTCCAATCAATATTTTATAAATATTTAATTTTGTTTGTAAAGCCAGTAATAAAGTGATTAACGGGGTATCTCCAATAAAAACTATAACACAATCAGATAATAACTTTATCAATTTTTATAATTGATAAAAAAAACGAAGGCCAGACTACTACTACTTTTCGGAGTAAAACAATACAATCCAATCTATGGAAAAGTTGATTAAATAATAGTATTCGTAACTCACCATTTTTGGGCAATCCACGGAAGTATCGCAACGACTTCCTGGCCCGATCCTCTTTGTTTTTGATGAGCAGCCAGCTGGGGGACTCCGGCATCGGAAAGACCAGCAAAGTGGCCATCAGTTGGTAGCAACAACTAATGCTAAAGATCAGGACTATGTTGTGCCGTATGAAGTAACCCAGGCAGTACATCAACAGGATCCCACCGGCCAGGCCCAGCGAGGTGCCCAGGATCAGGCGACCTCGTATCTTCGGTAAGCTGATCTCCGCCGAATAGACTCCCACGGGGGACACGAACATTCCGATCATAATCCCGCCCAGAGCTCGTCCCGCCAGCATTTGGGCATAGATGAGATCCCGATTCGAGTGCATGAAACTGGTGGCGAGCAGGATCCAGCCCAGGAGTCCTATCAAGTTGGTTAGCAGGATGGTGTGTTTGCGGCCGATGCGATCCATGAAGTAGCTGACCATCAGACCACCCAAAGGACACGCCATATTATTGATGGAGGCTGGAAGTGGAGAAAGTCAAGGTTAGGTTTTGGATTCTCTTCTATTTTTAAGGATTTATTCTTTTTGGATTTGGCCAGAGAGGTACAGGATCCGTTCACTTATTTACAGTTTTAGAAAGGATATTTTCAAGACTACATCGTCGTCTTTTAAACAAAACCTATAGGTTCTTGGCTATAAAGGATACTTCTTTTTGGTTGGGTTTGGGATGGGAAGAACCAGGTTTGATTTAATTAAGGCTTCTAGGCAGGATATTTTTAAGATCACTTTTCACAGAAAAAAATACTCTTAATTTTATGAAAAAAAAAAAACTTTTCAAGAGCTTAAGTGTCCTTTTACTTACCAAACCAACTGGACTCGTCCTTGTTGAGCCAAAAGGGCTGAGTTTCGTCGTGCAGCTGGTTGAGAGTTACTGCCGGCATGCTGACCACCATTCCAGAGCCCAGGACACCGCAGTTGCCCAGAAAGACCATGAGCTCCTGACGGAGAACGGCCGAGCGGCTTTCCCCCAGTGGCTTGGGCTTCTTCTGGGACTTCTGTGACTCCTTGGTCTTGTCCATGTCCTTGATGACGACTGTGGTGGGCTTGTAGGGTGGCACCAGGTGCTGCTCCTGTTGTTCCGTTTTTTCCGTCATTGTTTTGTTTTCGTTTTGGGATATAATTTTTGTGCACCAATTTGGATGGGGGGGGGGCGTGAATTTTCTTCTTTAGCTGTTCTCACGAACGCCGCCAATCAATTAATGGCTCACAATTAGCTATAGTGGCTATGTCGTCGACTTGGCCGATAGCTTTTGAGCCAAAAAATGTTGCTGCCTCTGCTTGTGCCTTGGCTGCTGTCTAGTGCTGTTCTGCTTAACAAGTGGAAACTTCCGCGCATTTCAATCAAGGGCTGGGGCTCCAGTATCAATTTCACAAGTGACTCTTGATGACGATTGTGACTACGACTGCGACTACGACTACGACTGTGACTGCCCGACAATCATGTCCGTATGAGTGGCTGACTCTCCCGGATCTCCAGAGTTACCTAGGGACTGGGGTCTGGATGGAGCCGTTCAGCCACTTCTGGCCGGGCTACCCCACGCACGGCTTTTGGCTTTTGGCCTTCAGTTATCAGTCGTGGCTCGAGTGCTGCTCATTTGCCAGCGGCGTGCTATTGATTCGGCGGTGGGAAATCGCGAATCGCAAATCGATTATGACAGCCGCCCGACAGTTTTGTGTTTTGGGCTTTCTGCTCTGTTCAGTTCAGTTCCATTTGGTAGTCACCTGTTTTTTGTTGTCCTCAAAACAGCTGATTTTTCCCCCTTACCCGTCTTGTTAATAATACTATTTTCTGAATGTAATATTATTATAATTATTTATTAACCGGTTGGCGCGTCCGTTTGGGTCAGCGCTCCTCGAGCAACTGAAAACCGAAACTGAGAACGATGCTCTTGCTTTAGCTTTGCTCTTTTTAGCCTTTTTTGTTACTCTTTTTTTTTTCTGTTACTGTTACTGTTTCTTTGTTGCTGCTGCTAGCTTTGCTCTGGGCCAAGACCATAATTTTGCAAAAATTAATAATTATGGTTATTGGGAGCACGGGGCGTATGAGCGATTTGATTGGTATTCTCGTAGTGGCGATTACGTATACGCCACCGACACCGCCATCGTAGTGGGGCGTCCGTCGCATGCGTGCGCTGTCAGTGGGGCGTTTAAACGCAATTAGCCCGTCTAATCGAGCCGCCAACACCCCGGAGGTGCTGGGGTCATCCCTCCTTTTAGTCCCAAGCTGATAGTGGAAAGAACAGGGCAAAAAATTAAATTATTTAATCGGGGGGTTTACTTTAAAAATAGAATGGTATTCAAATATATTAATTTTAGACAAAGAATATATAAAGAAATTTATTTTTATTTATTTAATTATTATTTAAAACAAGCATCTAGTATTTTTCTTGGTGTAACCCGCCACCACTGCCCACCCCCCTTAATCGAACGACATTGGCAACGAACTTGACATTGGCCTAGGAATCAGAGAGGATGGACTAGAAAGTGTTGTAGCGAATATATCCCAAGAATATATAGAAAAAAGTATAAATAATACTATTCTAACATTATAATATTTGCATACCCTTATTTTTAGGAATCCCCAAGCCAAGATGCGTAAACAAACTAATTTGTTTATTTATGACTTTACTAATCTCTTTATAATTACCCACTCAGGTTCTATTTATTAGACCGATTAATGGGAAAAAGTTTTATCTTTGTCTATTCCTGGTTCTAATGTCAGGGGCTAATAAAAATAAAACAAAACACTTGAAAAAACAAGTGGACTTTGTTATATTTTCGAAAGGGTAATCGGCAAAGGTAAACAAGAATGTTTCGTTAATGAAATTTTCTTTTTTTTTTTTGGTGAGAAACTTGCGGCTGCAGTTGGCCAAAAGCCAGAAGCCAAAACAACGAAAAGGGGGGGGTCCAAGTGGGCTTATCATTGTACTCGTATTGTACCCTCTCTCTTTCACTTGCCAATATGGCCGTCTCTTTCGCCACTTGTACTACGGAAGAGGTGCATAAATTATGCGCCACCGCGGCAATATTTTGCGGAATTTTAATACCGACGCTTTGTTTTGGCATTTTGGACCCAAACGACACCACATTTTTATCTATAAAGCACTCGGATCGGATCGAATCGGGAATCGGGAATCGTATAGCTTTGTGCTACTTTAATTAGCGAAATCCGAGCCACAAATTGTGGTTGCTGACTTTATTATTATTGCCTTTTCAGTTATTTTTTTTTTGGGTTTTACGACCACAACACTCTGTAATCACGATAATGGCTAATGGCTTCGGTTCAATTCGGTTGACAATTTTGTTTCCCCTTCAAATATTTAAATTATGATTGCAGGCCAATTTGGCAGATTCTAAATATTTATGGCTTAATGTTTAAACAAAATTTGCCCAGAGTTTTTAGTTAAAAAAAAAAAAAGAGGAAGGGCAGAGCCAAAAAACAAAGCCAGACGTAACGATGAGTAATTTATGAACGGCAGATAATTTGAATTAAAATTTGATTTTTGTCTGTGGTTTCGGTTTACATTCCATGTGATTTATGTATGTATCGCTGTTGCTGGCAGGCCTTTGGGCCAAAATCAGGTTTCCGTTTCACGTCCCGAGGAGATCCCCTACGAATTTATTGGGGGTACTTTCCCCTATCACCCAGCCCACAGTAATCAATCACAATCCCCCGGCTTGTTCTCTGAAATTGAACAATTTTAAATCAATTAGAGCCGAGTGTCGCACCCACAATCAAAAGAAATAACCTTTCGAAGGCTTCCATTTCGGACTATATACCTATATATACCGGATCGTATGTCTATATGTAAATGCCTTGTCGAACAGCTGATAAAATAGTAAGAACCAAAACGTGAGATTGTCTGCCCCCTAAAAAAAAAAACAGCAAAAAAAAAAAAAAATAAAGGAAAATAAATACAGTCCATATCAGATAGACCCGTCTACTCGAATATATTTATTTATTTTTCGTGTTTTGTTTTGGGAAGGTGTTTTGACCGATAACACCAAGGTGTGAGTAAAATTTCACAAGGAATAATATTTACTAGACATCAATAAAAATAATTGCAAGGAAGATACATGCTCCACAAGACTCAATAAATATTCAAAATGTTCTTTAAGCTCGTACGGGGTTTTTATTTATTTATTTTACCTGAAGTGCCGCACAAATAGAATATTTTTTAATATATTAAAATGTATGTGTTGAGGGCAAAAACTTGAGGCATCTTTGAAAGCATATTTTAGCAATTTTCACTGTAAACTGTTCAAAAACTGGTTATCTGAAGTGTCTCGGACGACGTCAGTCGAAAAAGCCGCACTGCCGGCGTGGCAACAAGACGTTTTTGTTGAAAACAATCTGCCTCACTTCAAAGTTAAACCATTTTTTGTTGTTTTTTAGGAATTTTTGCAGAAAAGACCTTGTTAGTTATCAGGTTTCATGATTTATTTACCTACTAACATTTTTAAATCATCGTGAATTTATTTGAATACGTTTGTGAATAATAGGTTTGTGAATACTGTTTAGCAGCTTGGCTTTAAGTATAAATTATTCAGACTAGTAGAGTTATAAATAGAGTAATGAATTGGCGAATACTGCTTGACAGCTTTGCTTTAAATATAAATTATTAAAAATTGTATAGAGTTATAAATTGTATATAAAAAGAAATCCCTCAGAAACATTATTGTTTCATAAAAGCTTTCAAATGGAAATAAAGAAACAAAAATGGCTAGGCAAAAACATGAAAAAATATTAAAATTTCCGAAAAAGCTTAAATATAATTTAAAAATTCAAATAAAGTTAAAATCGAACAATCAAATACAGTTTAATCGTTTTGGTATATTGAGTGGTATTTTTTGTTGCCGGGTATTTATCGATAGCTATCAGCTGGAAAGCTCTCCCATCCCTAAAAACGAGAACACACAAGCGGAGGCATTGCTTTTCATTAGCTTCATTGTTTCTTGAATTACTTGATTATTACTTTAATTTAATTTCTACGAAATGGTGTTCTACTTCAAGAGCAACGTTGTCCAGCCGGCGGCTACCCTCTACATGGGCCGTGATAAGTACGAGAACGAGGAGCTCATTCGCTGGGGTTGGCCGGAGGATGTGTGGTTCCATGTCCATGATCTGTCTTCGGCTCACGTTTACCTTCGCCTCCGCAAGGGACAGACCATTGAAGACATTCCCTCCGATGTGCTAGTGGACGCCGCCCAGCTCTGTAAGGCCAACAGCATTCAGGGCAACAAGGTAAACAATTTGGAGATCGTGTACACCATGTGGGAGAATCTCAAGAAGACGCCTGGCATGGAGCCCGGCCAGGTGGCCTATCACGACGAAAAAGCGGTGCGCCGCATTCGCCTTGAAAAGCGTGTCAACGAGATTGTAAACCGTCTGAACAGGACCAAGACAGAGGAGGAGCACCCGGACCTTAGGGCGCAGCGTGAGGAACGCGACGCCGCCGAGCGCCAGGACCAGAAGAAGATCCAGAGGGAGCGTCGTGAGCAGGAGAAGGAGGCGGCCAAGCAGCGCGCCCTGGAGGCGGAATTGCGTAGCTATGCCTCCTTGCAGAAGACGGAGAATATGCGTACTAACTATGATGCGGGCAACGAATCGGATGACTTCATGTAGTGTTCCGCAAAATATGCATTGCATTTACCAAACACTCTCAGCTGTCCTCCCAATTTTTTTTATTAAATTATGAAAATATTACGTTATTGTAACATGTAGTCTTATGGTTTCTTTTAGTGGAAAATTATTGTTTTTTTTTTATCCATTTCATAATGTTTATCTGAAATGTGATTCCCGACACTCGTATTTCCGGAGCTTGACATTAACATTTTTTTCTAAACAAAAGTTGGATTTCATTTGGATGCTTTTCATTTAAAAAAATTATGGTACTTTATTCTCCCAATTAATTTACGCACAAAGTTTGTAATACAAACTAAGTATATTTTGAAAATATCCGCGGCAGTATAAAACTGTTCAAACGATCTGGCAGCCCTAGCTATGTAACCGCTATGTTAACGTCACTGTTAACTCTGATGGCTCTGTAATGTATTTTTGAACTTAAGGCGGCAGTAGTTTCTCATGAATTACCATTCTTTTTTGCCACTTTTCTTGGCAAGCTCAATTGGCCTAAAATCGCTGATTGTCACAAATTCGCAATGGCCGCAATTTTATTACCGTTGGCAACATCTGGCGGCCTTTTTGGGCCATCTTTATGAGTGTTTATGAGCCGTGTTCATTTTTTTTTCTCGGTTTTTGGTTTCGGTTCTTTGCTGTTTGCTGAGCGTTTTATGGCTTCAACGGCTTGTTGCCTTCTTTTTGAGTTTCTGGACAATTTGCTGTAGGCCAGGCTTATGAAGGGTATAATGGGGGGGAGTGGGGTGGACCTAGTGGGTGGATGAGGTGACAAACTTTGGGTCAGCGCCTCGTCTGTGGCACGCACTCATTATCGCTCGTTTTATTTTCACGCATTGTTCGCCGAACAACAAAGGCGACCGAACCCCCCACCCCCCTCTCTATAAACAACAAAGGGGCTGTTCTTGCCCCCAAAAAGTAATGGGAGGCTGTGTGTCTCCTTGATTATGCCATTGGAATCCATCCGACTTGGCTCAATGGCTGCTCGTAAACATTGATGACAGTTGCAGTTGGCCACGCCCCCTCTTAGCCCCTCTGGCCTAGTCCTTGATTGATTCTTGGTCTGCAGATTATTATTTTTTTCGTCTCTTTTGATTTAAAATGACTCTCTGAAGATGTTTTACGACCCAGTGGGTGGTTGGGCGGTAGTCCTCCCTCTCCTTTCCGGGCAATCGCCTGTCATTAATCAAACTGGCAACAGTATCCTTCCCAGGACGAACCCTCGTCAACAAAAGCTTCTCGCTTTCGGTCTTTATTGCATTTGTCACCAAACTCCATCAGAGTCGAGGGAAAATTGTGAGAAAAGCCGCACATTTCCCATTCGACAAGGTCAGCAGTGGCAGTCACAACATAATTAGCTTTCCCTGGACAGTGGAATGGGGCGTGTGGCAGGTCTAACTGATTAAAAGGGGCATGCAGTGGAGCACTGCATATATGCAGCTCCAATTAATCATAGACGCGGGAAGCATTCCAGCTGAAAGCCAACTCTCTTGTTTTGGTAATCAAATTTCATGTTTGTTTGCACTTGATATATGTACGCTCGTCACTCTGGAGAGCAGCTAGTTTTCCCCGACATTTTGCGCCATCATTCATGCGGCGGGAGTGGGCGGTTGGCGGTGGGTGTGGCATATCCTGGAAGGAGGCCATCAATCAGCTGAACCAACTATTAAGGCCAGCCAAGTGCGGGAATAGCTCTGCATAAATTTTCAAAAATATTCTCCATCCTTATGCCAGATTAGCCAGCCACCAAAAAATAAGCTTTTAAATCACTCGACAAAAAATGGCCATATTTTAAGGATAAATGTTTTTACTTGAATTAAATTATATACACAAATAAATTACCGATTAATTTTACTTTTTAAAGCTTAAATCCAATGAATGAATCAGTAAGGATGATTATAAATGTTAAATTTTATTAATTTTTAGGCCTTTATTTATATGTATATCTTTTTTGTTTTAAAACTTAAATAAAAAAGAAAAGAGTCAGCAAGTCCTGTAAAAGACAAAAGCTTCCTTAATATATTACCTTTTTTTTGTATCCTAGACACTTTTAGCCTCGCAAGGACAAAACAAAGTGCCGCGTTGGCCAAAAATCTGGCACGTCAGCGAACATCCAAAATTCTGATTTACGTTCAGGACATCAAAATAAAGCCAAAAGCTGTTGCAATTAAAGTGATCGCTCATGTGGGAGTTGCAAGCACACATAGAGGGTGTGCACTGAAAATTTTATGCGGCAGCTAGGGGGGGAAATAATAAAATAAAACGAAAAAAAAAAAAAGAAATCAGGAAAAATGAAAGGAATTGCAAGTGCGCAGTTACTGTGTCCTTGCAACAAAAACCAAAGACGTGGCAGGAACTCTGAAGGTTTCCGTTGGGGCAGGAAGGATGCTGCTGCTGCTGCTACTGCTGCTGCGACTGCTGCTGATGTGTGTGTGTATCAGAAATTCCATTTAAATGTCTCTCAATGGACAAATCAAAGATAACCGAGAGAAAAACGTGGCAGGACCGACCGAGAAGTAAATTGAAAACCGGAAAGTATCCTGTCGCTGTATTAACTTCGTAAGCTGGCCCAAAATTGCCCCCAAAAGCCAAAAGGCAATTAAGTTCCTGGCCCACACGCTCTTGGTTCATAAATCTTGGCCAGAAAAAAAGTATAAAATCATTATGCTAAGCATTTTTGATTAGGCCAGGAAACTGCCACTTGTCCCACATTTTTATGCCATCCTCCCCTTGGCCCGGCTGCCCCTTGTCAATCAAGCTGCCCCATCCCCTCCCGTTTAAGGGGAGATGCCTGGAATTAATTCACATTGTTATGCAGATGGCCAGGATTGGCAGGATCGTTAAGCATTTTGTCGTTTCTAGCCAAAATATGTGTGTGCGGCTAAGTGGCGATTTTTTTGTAAAAAAATATTTTACGACCAGCCTGTGAACAAGTATTATGGCCATTTTTTATGGCCAATTTCAAGCTTGTCAGTGGCTTTTATGAAAAGAAATAACTAACGAAAACTATAATAGCCATTTGAGTTTAAAAACTCAATTCCAAATCAATCAGTATTAAAGTCTTTTGGGGTGAAATTTCTTTATTTTTTCGTGAAGAGAAAGTGTGGAAAGATTTTCTTGAAAGAGATGAGGGCTAAGAGGGGGGAACAGGGTCTATATGGTGTGGCGACACTAGCTTGATTTGTGGCCCGCGGCGACAACAAGGTCATACTTGTTACACACAAAAAAAAGAAGAGTTTTCCAGGCATAAAGTTCAAACATTTACACATTTTTTATTAAGAAATTAAAACCTTATTTAAGGAGTTATTTTGTTTAAGTTTTCTCTTATTGAAAATATGTATATAATTTTTTCAGTGCATTCTTTGTGGCTACTGCATTGGCGAAGGCTTCATAAATCGCCTGCACTTGAACTGGTCGCTGGTCGATGGCTTCCTTCCGTTTATTGGCCCCGCTTTCGGCCATTTCGCGCCACACTTTTAGCCATTTAAGCGCCATTTTTCTGGCCGCCTTGTCAAGTGTGTTTATGGCCCAGAAGTCGCCCTCAGCCCTCGGCCCAAAACGACATCTGTGAAATGTTGAGTGCCCCAGCATGGGGCATGCCCCTAGCCCCGAAAACTGATTCATTAAGATTCGAAACCAATAAACACTTTAGCTTCAAATATAATTTGTTCCATTTATTTAATTGAATCCTTCAAAATGTATATAATTGTTTGGGTTTCCATCCATACATGTATATAGATATATTAAATATATATTTATGTATATATAGTATAGTTTAGCTTTTGATATAGTACACGAGTGTATATATAATTGGTTTGCTCAGGCTCTTGTAAATATTGTAAATAAGTTAATTAAACATTCATATTCAACAATTGGGCGTCTGAAATCCGAGTATTAAGATATCCTTCAGCTACTTTTTTTTTATTTTAGATGTGGGAGTTAAGTTTGGATTAGTTTAGGTTTTTAGTTATTTGTTCCACATATTGTTGCACTAGACTTTTACATTCATTATCTTAAGCATAAAAATACAATAATCCTCGGATTTGTTTTTTTTAGTTTTAGTTTTAGTTTACTTTGATCTGGATGGGTTCTTGGTTTTTTTTTGTTTTGCGGGTCCCCCAAAAGTGGCCCAAGGAATTTAAAGCTTTCGTTAGTTAGTTGTTGTTCTCGTTTTATTTTTCCCCTTCCCTCCGCTTTTCAGCTACTTATTCCAACTCCCTACCCTTCCAGGACATTCTCAGTTTTCTTAGTAGTTGGTCGAAATTACTTAAGGATGTAGTCTCATGTTCCGGCCTACTTTTTAGAGGTTATTTCAAAAATTTTTTTTTGTAATAAAAAATAATGCGATTGTTCCAATTTTCACATATGTTTTTATAGGCATCATAAACTATTTGAAAATATTTTGTTTAATTTATTCTTGTGTAGTTTAATACACTTTATAGCATGCCAAAGTATGCATATAAAAAAAAAAGGTAAGTCCCTGGCGCAGGTGATTTCGACTGCTAGAGTCATCCGAAACAAAAAATTAGAATAGATTATTGTTTTGTAAGCTTATGGCTCTGTCCCGTACTAGAATGAAATATTTTCATCAATAAACAACAAAATGGCAAGCTCACAAAAAAAAAAATTTTTTTAAATTTAAAAAATTTATCTTAAATTAATGATAAAAAAAAAAACTAATCATTAAAAATAAATGATTCTAGTACGGGACAGAGGTGTTACTTTTAAGAACAACATATCCAAATTTCAGCTAGATCGGTACCATAGAATTTTGTGAATCACCTGCGCCGCACACAAAAATGTCGTTCCGAGAAAAACTCGTTTAAAGTTTAGACGCTACCGAGAAACTCATACTTTTCGGTGTAGGCGCGCTCTCGATTATGGGCTGTATCTCTGTCATTATTTGATATTTTTATTTGAAACTTTAACAGTACATTCTTAATAAACATTACTATCGAAATGTGTTGAAAAAAAAAAATCGATTTTTTCAATCTCACACATGAGACTACATCCTTAAGAGTTAGTTTAGAAAGAGTTTAGACAGATGTTTTTGGTCAAGTATGGAGTTGTAGGCTGATCTCTTTGAGCTTTGGGCTTACGAACTAAATATGGGCTCTACTAACCCTTACAAATATGTGTATATATATATTTAATAGATAATTATACGTTAATTTTCTCCGTGTATGTATACATAACAATTTGCTCTGGCATCCAATATTTGTGTGAAGAAAAACGCTAAGTTGAAGAAAATGCTTTACGGTTTTAGGTTAGATAGATCAAGACTACGTTGAGTAACATTGGATAGGGCTCTAGGATAATAATACGCTAGGGTAGATATATTTTCGGCTGACCTAAATTAAAAACTGATTTAAATTGACTCTGAAGAACACACTTTTGCGACAGAGATAGTGGCTTAGTTGGAGAAATAGACAGAGACAGCCGAGTGATTCATACAATATATGGTATGGTAGTATTTTAAGTTGCAAATATTGGACAGTGCTATAATCCATCTCTCCATCGCATACACTCATTACAAAAAAAAAAAAAGATGATACAACATTTGGACTGCCGTTGAACCCATTCACTTGCCTCACCAACAAATATTACGTGGCATATCCTCCGGTACTAGAGCCTAATGTTGAGACTGAGGTACAGATTTCAGAAAAATGGGTTGCTTTTGGCAGTCGCTCACTCGCACTCACACCTCCTCCCACACCTTACCTAGCAACTACATTACTGGATTCCTTGGCCACTCCACTTGGCTTGGAACTTACACCTGCTCGGCACTCTCGTCCAGCACCATGGAGTGCAGATCCATCGCCGAACGGGTCTTCCTCGGCGGACGCGGCATCAGGTAGTGACTGGTACTTGCCCCCACAAACACGGAGTTCTGGCGGGGACGCGACACCTGCGACACATGGGAGGCGTAGCCTGGAAGCACAAAGGGGGTGAGTAATCGGTTAATGGATAATGGTTATGCCTCGCGATGATTTCAGGGGTGGGAGTTGGGGGTTTCGGGAGCTGCGTGCTCAACAATCAGTGGCAAATGAATGTCAACTGGGCGAGCAGGGAAAATCTTTAGAGATGCTCGAGTAAGGAGGTTTAAAAATATATTAAAGATTTAAAATCTTAAAATTTTAATTGCAATTGTTTAGTCTAGACTCTAAAGATAGCCTTTCCTTTTCTTGCTTTCATTTTTACCCAGTCAGTTTCATAGCCTCATCTTTATCTGGATGCTTTTACGAATTCGGGAAAACCCTCGAGCGATGATGGCCTGACTCAACTTAATAGACTTTCCGCTACGGGTTCGAGGTCCCTCCACTCAGCCCCCAGTGTTCCCCTTGGCTGTTACCCACATCATCGTCGTACATACGTACATATCTCTTTATTCTCCATTTCCATTCCCGTTGCCAGGCCTTTGGCGCTTGCATGTTTTATGTGCGTATTTCTATCTCTGGCCGCTTGTCTGCCATGCGTTTCCATGAGATTTAATTGCTCAGCTCAAGGATGGAGCCTGGAGGTAGGAGCAGGACCGGAAGGAGGATCTGGAGGACCAGCAGGACTCCCTCCCTGGCCTGGCCTGGCAGTGCCATTAAAATTGTATTGTTATTTGCTTCACTTGCGCTCCGCTGCCTCAGAGTCGCTCAGCGGGCAACTTAATTGTCTGGCAACTCATTAAAAAAATTCGAGTCTCCGGCTTCCCAGAGTGACTACAACTAAATGCTGTATTTAACGGGACCACGACCCTGTCGTGGTTGTGTGGGGGGTGGGGGGGACGTGGCCGCCTCCCCTTATGCATAAGTATTTCGATTTCTGTTAACGGGAAACGGGATTAGCGTAAAGCTGGAAGGGATCAGAGCAGATGTGTGCATATGTTTAACCAGGATTCATTAAATGCGAGTGCCTCGGATGCTGAATTATATAATTGAATGAATCCAGGGGTTTATCATATTACGTATAATCTAATAAATTGCTTTACCACAGAGGGAGATTTATGTTTAAAGTAAAAATTTACTGATTTTGGGGCCTCACAATATCTGTTCATAATTTATGATGTCCCAATAAATAAGTGTTTTGTTCTTAAAATGTAAAAAAAAAACTTTTATATATGAGTATATATTTTAAGAACACTACCACCATTTTATCCCACTGTGCAGCCCTTGGCAACGCAAAAAAGTATGCACTACAAGTTGTCGATACTTTGAGCTCGCTGGATGTTCGATTTTAATTGCATTCGAATGGCGGCCCAAGGAGGTATAAAGGGGGGAGCAGGCGTAAAAAAGGGCGTGGCTGAGGCAGCTGATGACGTACATACCCTTGGCATAAATGTTGGGATTATAGGCCGCAAATTGACACGTCGGCATATTCAGATTGTGCACCATTCCCATCGACATTCGCGACACGGAGGCGCGCTGTGAAAATATAAAGATAAAAGGATAAAAGGACATTGCATCAAGGCAAGCATTAAGTTTGGGGTTGTAAGAGAGTACTTAATACTAGACATACACATTTTCATAGGTGGAATCGCTATTATATCTTTAATGACGCCCATAATCACACCCTTGTAAATGATCTATAAAGTACAAATAGTCTACCATATTTCCCTTTCATATTTTAAAGCAGACTGATGCGGAATAATACTAGAAATCGTTCAAGTATTCCATAAATAATCAGATGAATATTGCCAGATATAGCCCTCGGAAGAGGTCATATTTTCATCCCCATGCATTTTCCCAATTTTGAAGGGGATCCATCAGAAAAATTCGAAAAAAATGGATCCGAAAATTTGTTTCTATATTTTGATGCAGATTTGCGGAGAATCGAAGCACAAATCGTTTAAGGTACTCCGCTTTGAAATCAGATAAATATTGGCAAAGATATAGCTTTCGGAAAAAGTCATATTTTCATCCCCATGCATTTTCCCAATTTTGAAGGGGATCCATCAGAAAAAATCGAAAAAAGTGGATCCGAAAATTTGTTTCTATATTTTGATGCAGATTTGTTGAGAATCGAAGCACAAATCGTTTAGGGGATTCCGCTTGGAAATAGAATAAGTTTTGCGAAAGATATAAACATTCTACTGTTTGAAGAAATCTGCAAGGGTGGAGAAACTTAAGCTTTCTCCAAAGAGGTCCTATTTAACCCGTTTTTCTCTCACCTGATGCGTAGGAACGGCGTCCATATCCACCAGAGGACAGGAGCTGCGGTGCTGCTGCTGGAACTTGGGCTGATAGGGCTCGAGCATCCGGATCTTACCCCAGCGGTTGAAGAACAGCATGATGGCGCCCACCCAGAGCACCAGGACGAGGCCGACAATCAGGACCTCCTCGGTGCGCACAATGATCTTCGGCCCTGCAAGAGTTTACAATGTGAGTGTCTTGTGAGTGTAATTCCAGTTTTATTTATTTGTTTGTTCGCTGCTCGAGGATTTGTTTGGGTTTTGTGAACTGTTCGCACGTAACGCGCATAAATAACTCAGGAATCAGATCCAAAGCCGGGGAAAAATTCAATTATAGCCGCGATAAACAAATGGTATTTGGCATTGGTACACGGGGATTTATTAGGCAACCGAATCATGGGACTTAGCCGGGCCAAATCCACCCAAAAGGGATTTCGACCAGGTGTTGAGGGTTGCACGTGGAAAATTGATGCTCGGAAAGAATGTATCCACAAGATACATTCAGGATGTGTGTGGCAAGAAGACCTTGGTTCCGTTTTTTAACAAATTAATGTAAAGGTTCACCTGTCTCTACGGTGGCGGTGCCATTGGTGGCGCCTGTGGTGGCTCCTGTGGTGAATCCTTCTTCCGTCTCCTGGCTGCTTAGCTCCCCAATGTAGTCCTCACTGCCATTAGCGGAAGCGGAGGACGACGAGGGCGGGGACATGGGAGCGGTCTGCTCCACTTCCACCAGGAAATTAGTTCCCCGCCAGCCAGATCCCCATTCTTGGAATTAATTAGGCACATTTAATTAGGAATATATTTTAAATTTTATTATTATTTACCCGCTGAAAGACTGCCTGGTGTGGTGACTTCTTCGCCAGCAACTGGAAGGATATAATAAGGATAATAAGGATAAGTTCAGTGAATCTAAACAAAGTTCATCAGAATAAAATGCAATAAACACTCGGCAAACAGATTTGATGACCTGGGAATTATGCCCAGAGTTTTCCACTTGAAAATTCCCTCTATTATGCCATCGTTCAGCACTTAAAGGATCATATATACCCAAGGATATCCCCCAGATGATTGCTTATAGAGGCGGTCGAGGGAGGGATGTGGGTGCTATTGTGTGAGTGTGTGGGTGTGGGTGTGGGTGTCAAGGATGAAGTTTTCCATTTTGTGACGTTGGTGAAAGTTTGTCTAAAGTGCTATGACTGCACTTCTGGCACATGGATGGTGGTTTTCAAGGGGCTTTCCTTAGTAGGGGATATCAAATATTAAACAAAAAATATTACAAGTTTTTTGTTAAAATATAATCGAATATTATTATTTGATTTTAAGAAATTAAAAGAGCGTATATAAGAGTTAATCTCTCTTAAGAGGATGTCGTATATCTTTCGAAGCCAAAGAAATATCTTTGTATCTTTATTTTTTGTACTTTAAATCTTTTTGACTGTTTAATATCTTATGGTAGTTTAAGCTCAAACTTTTCTGATAATTATTCTACTTACTATTTTTTCTCAGTGCTCAAAACCAGGCACTCAAGAAGAAATAACTTTCTATAGTTATTTAGTGCATTAAAAGTTTGTGCTGACAAAGAGGTGTTTGGGGGGGGGAAGGATATTTGCAAAACAGGGTGAAACAGCCTTCATAATATGCATATGTGGTGGTGTGTGTGTGGGTGCGTGATGTATGTGTGTGGCAAAAAAAGATCCTGTTAACAAAATGAAGCCAAGAAAGGCGAAACCGTTGGCTTAACAGGTGGGGGGGGAATGTGGTCAGACAACGCCACTGGAATTGGCCATTAAATGGGGCCACCAGTCAGAGGTGGGAGGTGGGGGAGGTGAGCAGTGACCTTGAAAGCGTTTAGCACTCATCATCAGATAGTCGACCCCCATGAACTATTTATTTAGTTGCTTCATTTGCCTAATTTGCTTAATTACATGTGTTCGCAGCTCAAATCCATGCAGCAAATGAGTTAATTAACATGCGCAAATTATACGCAATTCCCACAGGGATAAGTACAAAGGATGTGCTGCCATAAAAGGATATACCCAGGATGCTATCGACAGTGTATGCGATGATTTTCCTTTGAACCGATGCCACAACGTGTATATGCTGTGGAAATTTCCCCGTAATTTATGAATGAAAACTGAAGAGACCGAGATGGCCGAGATTGAAGAAAAAAACGCAACAGTAATGGAGTGTGGAAAAGTGTAATAAAAATGAAATTAGAGAGTGAGGATAGTGAGGAGCGTAAGGAAAACCCAGTGGAAGGGTGAAAGTGCAGGAACCGGAAGGCAAAGCAGGTAAGTCCTCTCAAACCACTAATTTTCAACCATTTCCAGTTTCATCACCAGAATCGCCATTAAATGCTCATTAGAGTAAACAAACAACCCACAACAACCAACGACGAATGCAATTTTAATAATCAGTAGTCCAAAAACAAAGACCAGGCCCTGTCCTCCTAGATATGGGATGTATTCTGGTCCCCACAGGACACTCTGCCACTCGCCCGGCAATTAACAGAAACATTTTACGCAATTTGTGACTCACCCGAAGACTGCAAGGCGAGAGAGCCTGCTAATTAAAGGGACGATGCTGGTCTAGATGGCATTAATATATATCAAGGATATGTTCAAGGATATATATGCCCTGGTATTGAATATATTAAAGCAGCAAATATGCTTGGATTTGTCCGGCTATGAGAGTTGTGTTGAAATCAAGGGCACATACTTATTAAAGTAATGGTCATGTTAAGGCTGTATAATATATATTATATATATATTATTCCAAAGTCACCTCCTATATAGATTCATAAGCCCTTGACAGATGCAAAAAAGCCCAAGTTTTCTCAATAAACTTTCTCACAAATAAAGAATGGAAAAGCAAACCGGATTACAAATGTAAATAAACATCAAGGGAGAGAAAAAACTCCATAAGCCATTCAATAATTCATAAGAAAACATACACAGGCACTGAGAGAAATAGGGGGCCAGAAGTAGAAGAAGCCATGTGACAGTCATAATACAAACACAATTATAAGTGAGGGAATTCTATTGATTTTCTTCGATTACGACCGGCACAGGCACAGGCACAGGCACGGGCAAAGGCAAAGGATGTCTGGCCTCATGTTGTTGTATGTAAGTTCCTGAGAGTCCTGGCAATCAACGGGGCGAACCGGAGGGGGGTGGTGGGGCGCCACAGGTGTACTGACAAAAGCCGCTTACTAACATGGTCTCCCAAAAGGACGAGAACGAGGAGACTTCAAGGAAAATTCGAGTCGACGTGACGCATGCAAAGGCTTCAAACGATTCAAAAATTCCAAAAATCACCAGAAAGGACCAGAAAATGGAGCAGTCAAGTTTATAAGCTTTAAGGATACCACTTAATTTAATTCTTTAAATATTTCTATAAAAGTTTTATATTAAATTTTGTAAACTATCAATTTGTTATATCATGCAAAACTTTAAACTCTGGGTTTAAACGCATATATCCTTGCTTAAAATCTTCCCATTTATTATTTCCACCCCGTTAATATATAATCTAGTGTGTTGTTTATGCTTGCACACAGCTACCCCTTTTGAATATTAAATTAAAAGTCCTTTAAAGCCCGCCCAGTTCCCCAGGAATTCCTAGACAGCCAACAAAAAAAGTGTTGCCTATCCCGAGGCGCATTCAACTAAAGTGCGATAAGGAAGTAATGTTGGACGAACTTTAAGCGAGTCTTTGGGGCCCGGACACGGACGTAAGAGGAGAGGGGGAGGGCACTTAGTGCCACTAACACAATCACTTTAAAGCTGGCCAAAAAAGGCGGGAAAAAAGTGTCCTGGCATGGGCACGTAAAGTAGTCCTCGTAAAACGCGAGCGATTGCTTAATTGTTGCCTCTAAAAGGGCGTGGCCCCACGCCCACTTAGTTAGTACAACGCTCAAGCTCAACTGTACTTAAGTGGGGCTCATTTCCAAAGCCATAAAGTACAGTCTGCATAGAGAGTCCTAGTCCTTAAAGAGCGCTCTTTTAAGACTATCTTTTGCGGCTAGACTGTACTGAGCTAAACCCTAAATATTTTTGCATAAATAGAGCAGGACACTCAAGGACTCGCGTGCACCTGGCCAGCCCGCCACGGGCAAATCCCAGCCAGGACACTTGGGCTCCAGCTGTGCCAGGATGATGGCATCAGGTGGCTATTGTCCAAAATTAGAGCCTAAGTAGCCTCGCCCTGGCATAGCTAACTGGAGGATGCGTCCTGGCCAGTGTTTCCCCCGGTTTAGCGTTTGTGATTTCCCCGCGGATGCGGAAATACCGTCGCGACATGGATATGGATGGGCCTTTCCATTTCCGAGCGGAATCTGGCCAACGAACTTGAGCCAAGGATCAACAAGTGCCCGGAGGACACTCGCTCACTCAATCATCATCATCATCGGACTGCCGCTGTGTATCCTGTCAATATATATCCTGAGTAAGTATGTATGCCTATGCCGAACTACCTGACCGATCTCCGCACACGTGGTACGCGGTTTTATGGCCAGGATTTTATTGCCTTGGCCAAGGAGTTGCAGGAAAATGTTTTTCGTAAACAAAATTCGATGGTTTTGAATGCGGCTAGCCATTCTACCTATACTGGCCATACCTACCCATACACACACCCTCCCACCCATCCAGCCCACCTCCCTCCCTTTCACTTCTTTATGTATTTTTTGGTTTTTTGTTTTTCTCTTTTTCTTTTTTTTTGAAGAAAAAATCGAATATTGCATTGATAGTCTCTCGTGATCACAGATGTGTTCTGGAAACGGCGGTCATGTCCTTGCCAGTCATCCAGCTGGCCAGATAGTTGCCTCAATAAAAAAAGGACAAAAAAATATCCCGCGACCCCGACAACGGAGTCGAACCCGGAATCCGGAATACGGAATCCGGAGACAATTGCTTGGCTCTGCACTTGTGCCAAAAGTTGCATTCAACTTTTTTGGGCTTGGGTTTCCCTCTTTTTATTATTTGTCTCAGTTTCAGTTTCAGTTTTTGGTTTCATTGTTACGATTTAGGGTCCCGGGCACGTATCCTTGATACATACATTTTCTCCTCAGCTCAGCTCTGGTCTGTGTCAATGGCATTTCAATTTCGTGAACATTTCCTTTGGAGGGGCTCCGTGCGGAATTCGGAATCTCTCTCTTGCATCCAAATCCGGAGTCTGAAGTCCGGACTCGAATCCACTTTTGGCTTCAATTTAATGGACAGAAGTCGAGTAAAGTCAACTGGATTTCTTGCTTTTATTTGTGTGGCTTTGATTTTTGCCACAATGTTGCAAATGTTTTACATCCTAAAGCGACAAGGATGCGCTCCTTGAAGTAGCAGTGAAAGATACCATACACGAAGATTTTCTTTAAACTGCGGCAGCAAACTTTCTTCATTAAGTTGTGCAGCAAGTCTGGGGCCGTAAATTGAGATAAAACTCAAACACTAAATGGAAATTAACTGTGGAATGTACTCTCTGGAATCCTTGCAAGGACATACTACGTATGCAGGGCAATAAGGAAGTCAGATACTTAGTTAAATTGTCAAGGGTCATTCCTCATACGTGCCTCGCTCTCTGGGCGTCTGACTTCCACCCAATTGAAGGATAAAATATATACTGGGATATAAGAGTATGGCTACACCCACTCAATGTCCTTGTACTGGCACTCCCAATCACACACACTCCACTGAATCGAAGCGAAGCTCTTGTGGCCAATTCAGAGATATTCTACAGAGAGAAAAAAAAATCGCTTAAAGTGTTTCTTTAAATTTTATTAAATACTTTTTTAAAGCTCGTATTATTCAAGATTTTTTTTCCAACTGTCCTTCAGGCACTCGAAGCGGTTCCAGCTGCGCTTCCTCTTTTTTGTTTCCGGTTGTGCTTCCGTTTCCGTTTCAATGGAGTCCACCATGGAGTCCATGGAGTCCCAGGCTGCATCCATCACGTGCAACCAGCAAAGCGGCAACAAATGTCGGGTTACGTGATTCGGATTCAAATTCAGATACGGATGCAGATTTGGGATGTCGAATGCAACGCAGGAAAAACAAAGGCCGGGAAACTACGTCAGGACTTTAGTTTCCAAAAGGAAATTCCGCCTTCCCAGTTTTTCCAGACCATGAGAAATATGCGGGAATTTTAGCGATTGCGTGCGAGAATGCAACACGAGGCAGGGTCAGAGGTGAGATAGTCAATTGAGGCCTGAGGTTGCCCAAAACAAAAGCCAACATAAGTTAGGAGTAGGAGGAGTATTCCAGCAAGGAGGGAAAGGAGGAGTACGAGTAGGAGGTGACCAGTGACTCCAAAGTGTGAACGATTATCACGTCCTACTGCAGAGGCGGGTCACGAGCCAGTTAAGATACACATCCCTCAGTATGGTAGAGGTAGGGATTCTATTTATGGATGTGATGGAAGTGGTAGTATTGCTTTTGCTTTTGCAATAGTTCCTGAACTTATAAAGCTGAGGTCATCCAGTTTAATAAAGTTTTAAGTTTGAAATCCCCAAAAAACTCTATTGAACCCTCACCTCTCTAATGAACTGATTAGGTCCATTGAAATTGTAACCCCTTTCCGGCCAATTTTCACTTTCCGGACGAACTCCATTTGCATCTGAATCGAATTCGCCATTCATCGACCGTCATTCACTCCATTGAAGGCAAAAATCATTTTCCACTTTTCATTTTGCGAGTGTCGCCTTGAATTTTCATTTGAATTCTGAGTTTAATTCGATTTCTGGTCGAGTTTGTGGAATGTCCTTGGCCGGAATAGGCAAGAATGAGGAATGGAATCCATTCAGGATATTTTTTTCGCCCGAAATAGATCGCAGTCGGTGCGGAGCAGATGTCCCAGAAGATTTTGATACAAAGTCCTTTGCAGAACCATAAGGACTATATATGGACTATATAAAATTGCGATCCTGCGAGCACTTGTGGCCGGCGTTAACGGCGTTCCGAAGGATGCGCCACGGCGTTTACACAACAATTGTTTTGTGTCCTTCTGCCAGGAACGAAAGAGCCAGGACAATGGCCCAAGGTTGGCCATACCAAACAATGGTCAGGGCCACACTGTTTGATGATCGTGGCCGAGGTCCTGCCCGCCGGTCCTGGCCAGTATCATTCTCCATATAAGCCAACAAAAAATTTGGTTAATAAAACCCAAAGGGTTGTGCGACAGAGAAAGTTCTTGGCCGAGAAAAGATTTATCTGGTAAACCTTAACTCGTTGCCAAATCAAGGACACTCTCTCCCTCTCCCTCCCCCGCTGTCTTTCTAGCTCTTTCCCTTTCCATTTCTGCTGGCCGTTATCCTGTGTGTGTGTTTTGACCAAATTGCTGGGCCATAAATCGTACCGCGTGTTTTCATGAAATCCCCTGAAATTTAAATCTCGCGGGGATTAGGACAGGGAAAAAATGTTATCAGGTAGCGCGTAGGATTCCCGTTTTTCCTGGAAGTCCCTTTTGGCCAGGACACGGACTACCTGCCCGGGTGGAGGTATAAAAACCTCTGGATTTATGGCTCAACCAAACAGTCGATCGGGAGTTATTCGAGCGAGAACATCTAAAGGACAGTCTTTTCAAGAACTTTTCGAAATCATCTGAAAAATGGGTTGCTGTGCGAGTAGTTTGAAGCTGAAGGAGCTATCCCTGAACAGCAGTGTCTACGTGGCGTCCGGCAAGTCCAGGAAGCGCCTTTACAGCAGCCGGAACAGCAGTGGCATGGGGAGCTCCTCTTCCTCCTCTGGAGCCTTCACCTCTGGAGCCTCCTCCTCCGCCGGGAGCAGCAGTCGCAGCATCTGGAGTCGCTCGAAGACCTCGCAGCCCATCTGCGATGACTTTGCCGAGCAGCCACAACTGGAACGATCCTGCGGCTACTACACCTGCTCCAGCGCCGATTCCTCGCCCAGGAAGAGCCACCAGCCACTGGACAAGTCCTCTACTTCCTCCCTCGGAGAGGAGGAGTGCCAGGAGAATCCTCTGATGCGCACTCAGGACATGGAGGACACCCCCCTGGTGGGCAACCTGGAGTGGGAAATGTACATGATGCAACAGGCCCAGAGGATAATGCCCAAGACCTCCTCGCCAATCTGCCAGAGACGCAACCAGGGTGTGATCCCCGCCAGCTCGTACCAGAAGTGGCGCAACTACCTCCAGTCCACCCCGGCTCACATGCTGCACAACGTCACCCACATCCCAGAGGCCATTGCCGGCCACTTCTGCCCCACCGGCTTCCCCGGCTTCAGCGACCTGGAGGAGATGGAGAGTGCGGCGAAGCGGTTCAAGGTGGATGTGCATGTGGAGGAGGAGGATTTGCCAGAGGAGCCGCTCTACACCACTTCCCAGTTGCTGGCCGGGCACACCTACACACAGATCATCTCCACCGATCTCTAGGAGAATCTAAAACAAAAAAAAGGGAAAATCTCACCTATCTCCGCATGGTTCGGAGACGGATGATGATTCCCCAGGACCTGGATCTGGATCAGGATCTGGCAAGGACTGGCAACAGGTGTGCCAGCTGTCTAACAGTTGGGCTCTCATCCAAAATCATTTCCAAATTGCCCAGCAATCATACTTTTTTTTTATAAACTAAATTTTAAGAAAATTTAACGATGCGTTCAAGGTTGAATAATCAAATTATAATTGTATTATAATAATAATAATAATAATAATAATAATCATGATATAAAAAGTAACAAAAAGAAAGCAAATAATTTTTTAATTGAAATAATTACAAGGTTCAAAGGTCACGGACTTAATTCGTGAAAACTTTTTCTGTAAAAGAAAACTTTGTAAACTTTTTTTTTTGGGAATTTTTTGGAGTGGTTTCCCGTCAACCGAAAATTAAATATTAACCGCCTTTGGCTTTTTTTCAATTCCTCTTATTAATTTTTAATAATTTAAGGCACATTTTTCGGGCCATTTTGCATTATTTTGGCCGCAAAATGTTTTAATTGGACTTTGGTAATTCGATTTTAAGCAGATGCCACAAACCGCACACCGAAGCTGCCACAAAACGGGGCAGAGCCAGGGGTGAGCGGCCGGGGTCAGGGGCTCGTTTTTGGCCAATAGATTTTGGCCAAGCTCTGGGCCTAATTAGGCGCACAAATGCGCTTTAATTAATGCAGCCGCCGGGCCAAAAACCAATCAAAAAACTTTCATTTCAAATGGAAAAAAATTAAAACCCGAGCTTCGGCTAAAATTTGAATATGGATTATGCATCATGGATTCAGGACTTTGGGACCTAGGGACTTAGGGGTATCGGATTATGGATTATGGCCAAAGGATAATGGATTATGGATTATGGATTATGGCCATGTTTGCATTCGTAATTAGTGTGCTGGCTTATTGGCCTGCTCGATATCCCGGCTAGATGGCTTGATATTTAATATTTTTAGTAAATATACACATTATCCTTATCCTTAAATATTTATGCCATTATCCTTAATTTTTTTTTTAACAGGATATCCCCGTAGTTTTTATTGATTTTCGTGGCTTGTCAAGTGTCTTTCCTCCGTGCCCACTTAAGGTTTTCCTGCCAACCACCTGAAACCTTCGCATTTCCTTTCTTACCCCCCACCACCCATCGAGTTTTCTTTGCTTTTCTAACAATGACATCCTGCTGCCAGAAAGAGACGGCATTAGGCGGGCGAAAAAGAGACAGGGAGTGCGGTTACCCAAGCGGCTTGCATCGCTGAGTTGCCATAATTGGAGCTGGCCGGCAATTGTTCCTCCAATCAGTCTAGCCGTCAGTCAATCATTCAATCAATCAATGATTTCGATCCCAGGACTATATAATTTCCCAGGACGAAAGGACGAAAGGTGGCGGCGGGGAGGGGTAGACAAAGAGGCAGCTATACAAGGTGCAAGTGTTGCTCCTAATTGCTGCGACCAAGAGGCCACTCGAGTGCAAGTGGAAATGGTTGTGAAAGTGGGTGGATAATGGGGTGGAAGGGTGGGTGGAAAATCGAGTGAAAAGGTGGGAGACAGTGGGCACCTGTTCCGTGTTGATTATTGCAAAACTTTTCCAGGTTGAAAACTTTTCTGCAGGTCCAACACATGAAAAGTGAAAATTGTAGGCCATGGGTCATAAAAAATAAGTAATATTAAAGGGCATAGGATTGTATTTATGCGAAATACCCATAGTTTTATTAAATAAAGTTATTTCAGACTAGGAGATCCCTGCCTAAGAATATATCTTCGCCCATATATATCCGAATCCCAAGCAGATCTGCATCAACATATTGAATCAAACTTTCGAATCCTTTTTTTTTTCAATTTTTTCGAATTTTTCTGATGGACCCCCTTTCCTAAAAGTGATGTTGCCATAGATATCCCTTTTTTAAGATATATTTTGTCCAATTTTCAGCCATTTTCTGAATGATTTGTGGCTTCTGAAGTCCAAGATTACAATTTCCTGTTCAAGGATGAGAAACTATTTCGGTGTTTTTGCAAATTGCCGAAAACGCAGCGTTGAATTGCCAGACGGGTGTGAGAACTTCCATATTTAATGCAGATAACTTTTCCGGCTTTTCCTCGCATTTCCCCAACCATAACTGACACTATTCCTCTCTCTATCATTGCCTCTATCCCTATCTCTCTCAGGTTTCCTTCTCATCTTCCTTTTGGCTTTCATGTGCTCACATAAAAATGATGTAGAATTATTAAGTTTTCCGTTTGGCCTTCACAAAGAAACCTCTGGCTCCACCCAGAGGAGGTAAAAATATATAATAAAAACTGGTCCTGGGGGCAGGTCATGGATGCCGGAGCCTTCTCTGCTTTTTTTCGGGGAATAATAAATAGTAAAGGGCGCTATTTTATAGGGAATTTATGCGAAAGAAAACGGCAAAGAAATCAAATAAATATGAGTGGCGATCTATTGTGCGGAAAATTGAAAAAGGAATTATGTTTCTGAGGGAAAAAGTGAAACAAAAGCGGCGGAAAAGCCGTAAAAAAGTTAGTTGGAAAAGTCGGTTCAACAAGTGGCGGAAAAGCCAGGTGAGGGAAATTAAAAAGGGGCCAAGTAATTTTCACAAAAGAAAAAAATAGTGAAAAAATTCGAAACTAAATAGGTTTTTTTTGCAGCCACTTCTGGCAACCTTTGGCATTTTTAACCTGTTTTCCCAGCAATATGAAAATACTCTGGGGAAAAACTTTAAAGTGTCAAACTGTGAGCTGGCCAAGGAGCAAGGACGAGGAGGTCCTGGGATGTGCCAGGCAAAAAGGCAAAAGCCTAGAACAAATCAAACTTTTTACAGAAAAACAGAGAAAATATATAATTCAAGAGGTTATGCAGAGAGAGAAAATATTCAAATTAAATAGAAAATAAATAATAAATTAGGCTTATTATATTTTAAGATGAAAAACTCCATTATTTATATTTTATATACAACCTTTAGTTTGCTGCCAAGTGTTTATAAATATTCCAATTGTGAGTTGAAACAGAAAGGACATTTTCTGGGACTGTATAAAGACTTATCCTTAGATAAAACTAGGACTAAGGACTAAAACCAAAAGGGACTACAGGGACTGGGAGGTGAGGACGAAGCCAGGAGACTTTGGTGCCGTTTGACAGCCGCAAGTGTTGGCCTGACTCCTCCGAAAAGGACACTCGAGGACTCTCGAGTGGCGGACAAAGGCAAGTGCTCCGGAAAAACAAAAGGCGCGAGGCAGAACCAGAGCAAACTCAAGTGGTTGGCCTTTGCCAAAGGACCCACAAAAGGACTCGAACAGATTTCGCAAAATCGTGATCCGCTCTAATTACAATCTTGCCACAATTGCGTGTTGCTAGTCCTTCATTGAATCCTTCATTGAATCCCCGAAAGATTTGCCTAATCGTTGGGACTCTCCAGCCACCACCATATATCCTTTTCGCATTCCCTCGAATCCTAGCATGTCGCGTGCTCTCTGCGGTGTGAAATCTGGGCGAAGATTAGAGCGGATCTGGCAGATATGGGATATATATGTTCAGATATATAGGATCAAGCGGGCGAGATTAGAGGGAGACAGAGGGAGGCTGGTAGCAGGGGGGGCGTGGTTAAGCTTCTAAATCCTCGACCAGGATTAGGACATCTTGCGGTTTTAATGCCAGCCAGCAGCTGTGGCTATCAGACCGCTTTCTAAGCCACATTTAAGCCATTTAGAGACGCTGATGAATTTATGGGCGACACACTTGCCACTCTGGACTTGCCACTTTTTGTTTTCGAAAAAAAAGTACACTATGATACAAAAATAAATGTTAAGTTTATCCATCTTACAATTAAGGACAGTTTCCATCCTTCAGGTAGTTTAAGGACCTTTAAAATTCGTGTAGCATACTTTTGGACGGCTTTTTAAATTTATTTCTCCAGGAAGTACTGTCTATTTATTGCAATTCAAAATCCAAAGGGTCCTGGCTTTCTACAATTCCTCAAAAATATTTAAATAAAATACGACTTCAATAGAGAGAGTATAATATTTCTCTCTCCTTCCAAAAAAAAAAAAAACGAAAACTCACATCCTTTGTTTTCTATTGATTTTCATCATGTGTGCGTTTGTGGTTTTTGTGGGTGCGGAAAGTGGAAAAGTGGAAAAACAGGGAATTCGATGCGTGCCAGCATCAAAAACTCCTAAAAGGAAAACTGGTGAGGGCCCGAAGGGGGTCGCAGTGGGGTCACAGTTCAAGCTGATGGATAGTTCGCTTGATTGGAGCTGGCAGCAGGGCATCCCCGAGCCCCCACGACCCAACCTCCTCCACCTCCTCTTCATCGAAATTGAAAACCAAGTTAAACAAAACTTGAACAAACTCAATTATAGAAGCCACCAAAAAAATGAGTTATTAAAGCTATTTAATTTTAAAGGATATACAATACAGGGAACTCTTTAGTTCTGTGCCTGGAATATTCCGTAAAGGGTATCCCTGAAAACTAAACCCCCTAAACAACGTGAACTTGAAAATCATTTATCAGTTGAGGGGTCAGTATATTGTAAACAAAAGACAGTCAAGTCGGTTTCCCCCCATAAATATATACAAACTACATAGAATATATATAAACACATATAAAATATATGTGTGTAGGTGTATAGTTTTTGTTTAGACTGTGTCAAAATCGCATTAGATGCTGTTAACTTTTCTGGGTGACTGTGCTTTTATGCTTTTTTTGGTCAATTTGTTTGTTTGCCCGCAAATTGATTGATTGCCATTGATGCGTGATTTGTCCTTAACCCTGCTCACACAGTGTCCTTGCCCTTATCCTTATCCTTATCCCTTATCCTTATCATCCGTATCCTCTGGGTGGATTTGCGGTCATCCCACTAAATTGCAAAAGACAAAGTTAACTGGCTTTGGAAGTGTGTTTTCTCTTAACTTGATTGAGTGTCTTTTCTTTTATATTATTAACTTTTGGATAAACTTTCTAATCTATAAAGATTGATAGAGATGGATTTCAAGAAGTCCTGTGTCAAGGATCGAGTTTCTCTTTGCTTTGAAATTCGATTTTTGTTTAAAACTAAAGTTTGGAATGTCCTGGGAGAATTCGTTGACACCTCGTTGGCCAAAAAAATATTTGTAGAATGTGGCCAACAAAAAAAAATCCACAGGAAAAAGGACGATTTGCATACAAGGACTACACATCACAAAAAAAGACGGAAAAAAAGAGTTGAAAAGAATATTCCCAGTTGCATTTTTTATGTCCCTAAAAAAGGGTTAAATAAAAAAGCCATTTTTATGCCATTTGCCTTCCCTTTTTGCATTTATTTTTCTAAAAATGGTAAAGTGCTCCGGCCAGGTAGAAGTTGTGCAAAAAAAAAGGCTTAAATGGAAAATAGAAACTGCACTTAATTGAAAATATAACAGCTGCTGGCATTTGGAAAATCAAATTGAATTTTGTCAGGGCCCATATCCTTTGACATTGACACTGACAAATGGGAGTTTATAAAATATTTAAAATATTTAAAAATTTATATAAAATTTATACACAAACACAGAGCAATTAATGGCCAGCCGCAAAATGTTCAATTAAGCGAACTGCGGCGTATCTCATGGCTGCTGCTGGTACAGATACAAATGTATCTGCGACTCTCCTCTCTCCTAACAAATGGCAGCAATTAAGTGGAATTTATCCTAGAAAGGGAATGCTTTTCAAGGGTCAAAGTTGAATCATGGCCTCGGGTTTGAATGGCTAGGACAGAAAACCAAAAAAAAAATGTACTCTGCAGTCTGCAGGTGACAATGAAATGCTTTTTAAACAAAAAATGAGGTTTCCATAAACTATATTATACTCTAACTATAAATTTTTGTTTAAAATATATTTTAAAAAATGTTGAAACTAAGTTATTTATAGATTTTTTAGAGCTTGTTGTAGTAATATTGATTGTTCATATCCTTTCGACCCTCAAAACTCATTCCATTCACAGGACGTACTACTGTCAGGAATTTGCAAATGAATTTTCAGCTCTTTTGTTCGGCCTGGAGAATGAAAAGCGGAAAATTTTTGCTCCAATACAATTGGACACTACAGGACACCGCCAGACCACCGAACCCACTGACCCTTTTGTGCCCCGACCTTGTGCAGGAGGCAGGAGGGGCCACTCTCACTCTCAGCCACACGCAGCACCCATGTCCTTTCGGTTTCGTGTGCTTTTAACACAATTAGAGAGTGCATCGAATGCTGAAAAATAAATGGAATTAATGGTGAATTACGAGAACTAAAAGCACTACATTTTTCGCCAGTGTAATTGGCTTAATTTATTTATCTTTCTTGTGTAATATTGGGCCACTGTAAGTAGTAGTAGAGTCTAATTTTAATGAAGGCAAAGCAGCTTATGTCCTCACCCAACCAATTACTTACACACACATATATATATATAACCACAAACACACACGCACACACTTATTTGAAGGGATCATTGATGGCGGAGGCTCTGCTGACATGCAAAGGCTGATTGACACACAAAGGAGGCATTTTGCCAGGATGCTTAGCCATGGACACTCCGCCATGAAATTGCCTATGCGCCAGTCACGCCCCCTCTTTCAGGACCAGACACCAAGCACTGAGAGAAAAGTCTATAAGAATAGATAGTACCTTCGATTTCTATAAACCTAGAGATATACATAATCTCTTGAAAATAAAGACAAGCTTTTATTTAATTTGAAATTTTGATTTACAATCTCTTTATTTTCAGGACACCTGACAAAATCACATTGTGTATGATCCACATTTGTCATCGTATCGTATAACCCGAGATCCTTTATAATAAAAGCCTAAAAGTCGTGCCTGTCTCTAATAAAACCATACTCCTTCCTCGCAAATGAAAGCCAAAGCCAAGCCCAGATTCAAATCCATATCAAACTCCACATCCATAAACCATGTCCATATCCATGTCAGTGTCCATCTGCTGCAATGTCCGTCTATCGAAATCTGTGGAGATACGGATGGCGCAGGGACCGGGACAAATCGATCTCGGATGTATAGCCATAGACCACGTCCGGTTCGCTTGGGGGGGCAACGGTAACTGGGGGGACGACTTGTTTGGCCTGCCTCTCGCGCTCCTGCTCGCTGAGGATCTGGAGGAGGTCAGCTGGGAGCCAGTAGAGCTCTTTCTCCTTCTTAAAGAATCCCAACGGTTCGTAAGTCTCCAGCAGGATCTTGAGGTCGTCCACTAGCATCCAGGAGGGGATTCCCAGCATGCTGCTCAAGTACTTGGAGAGACGGTTGATGGAGGCGGGCTTGCCAATGGAAAAAAGTCCCCTGCTCACGGCGGCGATGTCCGAATATATAATTTTGGTCTTCCGACTCATTTTACTCGAAAAATTTGTAGCTTTACTTCCGAATTTTTAAAACTTTCCAAACTAGTTTAATTTTTTTTTTGGATTTTTGTTCTTTAAGATTTTCCTGACTACGTAATTCTGCTTGGATAAAATATGTTTTTGGGAATGGGACAGGTGGAGCAATGGCTGGCGAAGTATTCTTTCTAGACTACTTGGATAGGGATTCTATTTGTCTCAGTGTCTGGGAGCCACTTTGTTGCATTTCATTAGATATTTCCGCCCTCCCAACCCCCCTCGTTCAGTGTTGAGCGCGAGCCTGCATCCTTTCGCCAGGCAATTATGTCTCAAGCATATCCTGGCCAACTGCCAGCTCGCCGGCAGGCCATTAAATGCCTACTGCCTGCCTGGGTGTCCTTAGCGGAGGACATGCACGTGCAAGGATTGCAAAGGGGGTCATAAAAAAAATCGCAACCCAAGCAAAACCCAAAGGACTAAAACCAAAAGTCCTGACCAAATGTTGCCTCATAAAACTATGCAAAACAAGGGGATTATGGTCAGGGATCGGGGGTTTTGGTTTTATAGAGGTCACATATCGTAAGGAGGTAGCGAATAAGAGGTTCTGCCCGACCCTATAGGACCTGCTACCTGAAGCGCCAAGGAATATATATAGTCCTGCCTGTCCTGGCAATCAGCATCAGTTGAAACCAAACAGTCGAAGTGACAACATCATCTCAGAGACATTTCTGAATACTTTGAAAAATAAACCTATAATCTCGAAAAATGGGCGTAACACAATCTGTGGAGAACATGAAGAGCAGCGAGGATACCACTGTGGCGGCTGCAGGACCTGGCGGCATGTGCTGCCTCTTGCCACGCCCTCGTCTGAGGGGCCTGCTCACCAAGATCCAGAGGATCCTGCGCCACAAAGTCAGCATCTCTTCGAGGAAGCACAAGAGCAAGACCAGCAAGCTGAGCCGATCCCGCTCCAAGTCGAACCTACTGCGCACCATGCCCCGGTGCTCGTCCTTCGGATCCTGCGGCACCCTTCTGACTGCCGCCAAGGCAACTGGGCTAACCACCATGGACCGGCATTACGCCCAGTGGAAGTGCAGCTTCGAGCACTCCGTCGGCCTGGAGAAGCGTCCGCTCCACGACATCAGCGAGGCCATCGCCGGCCAGGTCACACCACGCGGCTTTCCCTCCCACACTGACGCTCGCCGCTGTCTCATTCCCGAGGCGGAGGACTCCATTCCCGAGTCGCCGCTGTACGAGGCGAAGGTGCGCCGCCGCCTCAGTCTGCGCATTCCTGTCCAGCCCCGCCTCCCAGTGCGTCGGCCCTCCGCCCGTCAAAAGGCCGCCCAGGCTCGCATGGAGGCTCAGATCCAGAAGGAGCTCTGCGACCTGGAGGACTACTACGGGGGCTTCCACTTTGCCCAGCGCAACGAGCGCTTGGTGCGCATCTAAGACTCTACTTTTGAGGACTTTGTATCCAGAATTGAAAAACTATTTTTTTTTATTAATTTTTTTGATTGTAAAGCCAACATTGTGATAGCTTGTAAGCCTAGGGACTTGAATAAAATTCGCATATTAAGATTTAAACTTTAAATTATTTAGAGTACTTACTGGATACTCTATAAATGAGTCTTTAATCCTTTCTAATTTTTCTAGTTTTTAGAGGGAAACTAATAGAACTACCATCTACCAGCTTCCAGGACTCTTTAAACCATTTAGGCTTCAAGCTATCAAGTCTTTAAACATTTTTTTTAGAATATTTAACTTACAAACTCCCAAAGTGTTTAATAATATGAAACACTTTGAGGTGAAAAGTTTTAAAAAGTGCAATTTATATTAGTGATTTATGATTTAATTGCCAAAACAAACATTTAAATGCAATTAGAGGCAGGTTTTCGGCACTTTTAGGAGCAAACTATTTTTAGAGAATTAAATTATTGACCTGAAACGCATAGAGCGGATTTTGGCGGCGGTATCTGGGGCAGGGCTAGGGGGGGCTGAGTGAGAAAAAAAGAGGCAAGGCAATTAATCAGCTGCCAACTAACAGAAAACAACAAAAGCCCCCATGAGCCAGAATAACAAGAAAATGCAGCAAAAACAGACAAAAGCCAGACAAAAATGAAAAATTTGCAAAAAAAAAAATATGGGAGGGGGAGGCCATCAAGGGAAGACCTTGTCCGAGTTTCCTCTTTTTTTCTTTGTCTTTTTTTCTATCACAAATAATTATTTTCTTTTATTTTTTTGGCAGCCAATTGGACACGTTAACATATGAAATATATCAAGAAATGATTTCAATTTTCTTTTCAATTACAAATTTATGAGAAGCAGTGTGGCAAGAAAAAATCCTAGACTTTATGCGTTTGTTCAACTTATTCTTCGGCGTAAATTAAAGTCTCCGGAGGATGTGAGTGCCCCCTCTGAAAAAAATAATAATGCAAATGCCTCAATGAAATATTTGTGGCACTGTCGTCGCCGTTTCTGCGTCGCCGAGTTGAATGAACCGCCAAAAAGCCCCAATGACCGCCACGAAAAATTCTCAAATAAAACACAAAAATTCCCAACAATCCTAACGTGTTTTTTGTAAAAAAAAAAAACTTAAACAAAGGGATTTGACAAAACTTTAATAAGCCAAATGCTAGGACCCCCTGGGGGACGTGGCCTGAAATAATTCCCGATTGATCGGAACTGACAGTAGTCGAGCTATTAGCCGCCATGTGTACACCACAAATGTCAAATCGATACAAGAAATTCAAGTCCAATATCAATAACCGAACCAGGACTAAGGCAGGACTCGGGCTGAGGCCCCCAAACAATCCAAAAACTAAAATCCAAATCCAAATCAAAACCAAAACCAAAGTCAATGTCACGTGCAGGCGAAACCAAATCAACAAATGAAAACTAATAGGCAATTATAGGCAAATGTCCAATAAGACAGGGGCGGCTGGAGGCGGTGCTGGGGGCATGTGGGGGTACCTGCCACACGCCACCCACCCAGCCACCTCCAAGGGGCGCGTACAACATGCGGTTAACCGAATGCCACAAAATGAATGAGAGCCTTTAACAAAAACTACAAGATTCTCCACAAATATTTTTAAGTCATTCTGTTTAGGATTTATATATTTATTTTGTAATTAATTGCAAGTGATGTTTATGGGATGGTTTTATTAGCGAATATTTTTAAGATTAAAGGAAGAAATATTTTCTTTTGGTAAATTTTAGCTATAACATTGTTAAAATTAATGCAATATTTAAAAACTAAACTGTTCTTGTCTCTTTGAATCCTTATTTTTGAAACCTCTTCAAAATTTATTCCATTTATCTAATGTAGATTTTTAAAACAATTTTCAAAGTTGTTCAAAAAATATGCAAAATAATTTTAGATTTTTTATTTTTTTATTTCTTCATAACTTTGCCAATTTTTAACATATTTTCAAATGCCATACCTTAAATTCAGAGATTTGGCATCTTTTCAGCCTCATTAAAAATTAACCAACTGAAAATTGAACCATTTTTTTCAAAATTTTCACAGGGGTACATAAAAAATAAGAGAAAAATTTTTCAAAAATGATGTATCAAAATTTAAATGTAGTTAAAAGAAGATTTTTCATATGAATATTTTAAGATATTTCTTAATAAAATCCATTTAGAACTCAAAGAGATATACACTTTCAAATGCTTAAATATTTTCTAAAACCATATTTTCATATTAAAAATATGTAAATCGAAATGACATTATGCGAAAATCCTGGCTATAAATTGTAATTCGGAAAAGCACCATGTTTTCTAATAACTTTATTGGCAGTCAATTTTCCTTTGGCTTCCCCGGTGTTTGGTTTTTCTTTTTGAAAAATTTTCACGCCAATTTTTTTGTCGCCCCTTGATTATATTTTTTTTTTTGCATCTTCGCTCTAGGAAATTTGATTTTGCGCTATTTATTTAAATTTATTTATACTTTATCTGCCATTTGGTCGTTGAGAACATCAGCGAGCGACGAGCAATCTCCGCGTCATCCTCGTCTCATCCTGTTCGGGGTTTTCTTTCTTTCTTACATATTTTTTTTTGTTGCGACGCACCCCGCCCTTTGCATACATTACCGCCCACCACCCACCGCCCTTTGACCCCCCCTGCCCCCTGCCCCCATCGTAACTGCCTTTTTTTTTCCTTTCGTTTCGCATCCCGTTGACGTTGACGCTGATTGTGTGCAAATGATAGCAATATGGCAACAATCTTTATATCGCAGGACTCGAGACTCCGGCAGGACTCAAAGGAAACCCGAAGGAAACCCCACTTTTCTGGCCTCGTTTGTTATTGTTATCATTATCATGCTTGGCTGATGATGACGCTGACAATCGCAATGGCGATGATGATGATGATGATGTCCTGTACCCTTGTACGAGTGTAGGGGATCTTGGCTAATTGAGAGTGAGACGTAAAGGATATTTTACAGTCAAAATTTGGCAAGAAAAAGCTGTGATTTATAGTTTAAAAAAAAGGTCCCCAACTGGACCTATTATTTACATGTGTGTGTGAGTGTAGAGGGTGTGTGTGCAGATGTCCTTGAAGGAAGACCACAAGTTCATTGTGTTATGAATTATTACATGTCCCTGTCAGTATGAGGACACAAAACGTATTTCGTGCTTTGATGTACTGACGGATGTGGCCAATGTTAATCATAAGGTCCTTGCCAAGATGGGGATGTGCATTTCTGTTTAATTAAATTTTAACGAGTCGACAAACACTACTAAATCAAGGCCACAAATCCTCCAAAGAATGCGATTCCTGGAGCTCCGCTCGGGATCATCGGGAACTAAGCCCTTAGAACAGCTTGTCCTTGCCGCGTTGTCCTTGGCAAAGCCCACTTAAGGCACACGCGGCGTATACGCAATTAGTTGACTTTAATTTATGTCGCAGCCTGACAAAAAAGGATAAAAAGCGTTTTTGGCAAGTGAAGACAACAAGAGGGAAGGGAAAAAATAGCCTGGGGATGGAGCTGGCAAGGACATTGGCGAAAAAGGCATCAAGGGCTTTTCGACGGGGCTTTCGGTCTAAGCCAGAACGCGTAAGTGGCAATTAAAAAGCCAGCAAAAGATGCCAACAAAATGGCTCTAAAAGAAGCCCCAAGGATGTGCGGGAGGGGGAGTGAATAAGACAAGAAAAATAAAGTCGGCAGGAGACCATTTTCCTCTTCAGCCATTTTGTGGCTTGATTTATTTTCGCTTCACTTTCACTTCATTTCCTTTTCATTTCCGTTGAGGTTCTTTTTTATCTCATCTCTCCTTAAGACCTTAATTTTAAATATTTAAATTTAGTTAATTTAAAAAACCCTTTTGATAAAACTTTCTCTCGCTTAAAGTTCAACTTTTAATTGACCATTTTGGTTGGGGCTGCTTGGAAGAGTCTCCGCCGAGCGTCCTGCTAAGGATATTTACCTTGGAAGCACCTCCTTTACACTTTCCTCTATGGTATATATTTATTTTCTGGCCTCTGTTTGCCTTTCATATTTACTTTCACTTTGCACTTGTTTCAGTTCAAGTTTTTCAGTTTGTTTACCTTTCTCATCCACCGATCTCCCCCCCTCCCCCAAAAAAAAAATTATGAGAAGTAATGGAGCTTAGATTTTTTTTTCAAACCGAAAAAAATGTATATTGAAGGCAAAGTTATGGCCACTTTTTGTTTTAGCCTCCTTCAGCCATTAGCCCTGTTTTTTTTCCCCCTTATTTTTCGAGTGCGCTTCTCCACTATTTCTGAGTAAATTCACAACAATGAGCGGAAAAAAGCAGTAACAATGTTGGCATTCCCATTCTTCTCATCATTTGGCCATCATCCATCTCTATATAGTGGTTATTCAGCCACCCATCCTCCCCCTTTCTTTCCAAAAACAAAAGAAGGCGGAAAAGAAAGCAGAAGAAAAGTTGTGGTAAATTTTTGTAGCATACTTAGCAGCGCAGCTCAGCGAGCAAAGTGGCATTCGGGAAGTAACAAAAAGAAGCAGACAACACAGACACACACACACACATACAAGTGAACTGATACACACAAAGAAAAATGAGTAAAAGGTTTTTCTATTTTTCAAAATCTTCTCATAAGCTAATGCAAAAGAATGAAGTATTTCCTTTCCACGACCTATTTATTCTTTATTCTATTAAGATTTTTCTCTGTAAATGATACACTTTTACTTAACAAACCCCTGATTTCTTCCAGTGCAGTGCAGTATATGTGGGGTTGCCAAAGCTGGGTGTCATGGATTGGCCATTTGGAAGGCAAGAATGTAAATGACGCCATAATTGCACGCATCAAATCAAGCAGCAGAGGAAACAGGACGAAAAAGGAGCAGGGAAAGGAGCATAACAAGAAAAGCCAAAAGGACTGGAGAAAGCAGAAAGTTGTAGGAAGAGATGGAGAGGGAAAAAAATGAAAAACAATTGTGGAAAAGAAGCGGAAATAATTTCAAT